TAGAACAGGGATGCAGTGCCACTTTCTCTGCTCACTGTTGGGACCTCCCTGAGGGGCCAAGAAAGCACATCCCATAGGCCAGCACATTGAGATGTTTGCTCTCAACCAGAGTTGTCACCACCAGCACTGTTTGACTCTGCTGTTTGACTCTTGGTTCCTTATCTGTGCAAATCAGCACCTGCCTGCAGGAAAGAAGTTGGGCGGAGCCAGTCCTGCTGACTCTGAAGCAGGAGGCGCTATTGGCCACCAAGGTGAGGGCAGCATAAGGCAGGTGGGGCCACCCTGAGGCCTCCCAACCCCTGTGGCTTTGGTGAAGATGAGATGAGACGAGATTGGTTTTACTTTTGGCAGTACTGGGGTTTTGAACTCAGGGCCTTGCACTTGCTAGGCAGGCGCTCTATTGCTTGAGTCATGTCCCCAGCCCTTTTTTCACTTGTCATTTTTCAGACAGGGACTCACATTTTTACCTGGGGCTGGTCTTGAACTGTTATCTTCCTACCTCCACTGCCTACATAGCTGGAACTACAGGAACACACCACCGCACTCAGTTTGTTGGCTGAGATGGGAACTTGCTAACTTTTTGCCTAGGCTGGCCTCAAATTATGATCCTTCCCATCTCTGTCTCCTAAGTGGTAGGATTACAGGCGTGAGTCACTACACAGGACTGAGACCAGCTTCCAAGCACTTAGCTCCATGGAGACTCAGCTGAGGAGCCACCAAATCCACGTTCTCTGCAGAAAACCCCCCAGGGGCCAGGGCCAAGCAACAGCTTCTGGGGTCAGTGAGGATGTGGGGGCTCACTGGTTGACATTTCTTGGAGGGGGCAAGGGCTACTTCCAAAGGAGCTCATTCAGCCAGGCTGGGTGGCAGGCCTGGGGTCCACAGCCAGCTGTGGGATGACCATCTCCCCTTCCAGAGCCCTCACTCTACTTCAGAGCCTTCCCATGGGATCCTCACTGCTGGAGGCCCTGCTGGAGGCTGCCTACAGGTCACGTGGCGTCCACAGCTCCTGTGGCGTCCACAGCTTCTGCACACCTTTGTGTCCCCATGAGACCTCCATGAAGGAGGACTGTATCTGCCTCCTCCTTTACCTTAGCGTCTCCTTGGCACTTCACAAAGGCTGGACAGAACACATGCCCAATAAACACACAAGGGATGGCCTCGTGGCCAACACTGTGCTCAAGGCTTAGACGGCCGGATCAGGCTTGATGGCTCAGGCAGAACACCTGCAGCCCTTACTCCTCTGCATCAGTCACCATATGCCCATCTCCAAGCCTGGGAAGATTAAATGAGACAGTGCTGACAAAACTTTGTATTGCTGTTTGAACAACATCCTCTGAGGCTATTTCCTCATCTCATTTGTACCAGAGGAAACTGAGGCTCAGAGCAGCCAAGAATGGCTCAAGTTCACTCAAGGGAAGAACCAATTCCAGAATGCAGGCACCTTGACCACAACAGCCCCTCCCCTTGTAGAGGTGAGGAGCCAGCTCTAGAAGGACCAGTGGACTCTGTAAGCCCAGTCAGAAGAGCCACAAGAGGCCATCTGGGGCCTCCGGCCTGCAGTCCTGCCTGGGGCTCTGCCAAGCAGAGGGTGAGGTGTCTGTGCTGTGCCAGCTTTCCCTGTCCCTCAAAGTCTCAGCTTAGTCTCAAGCAAGTAAGGAAGGTAAAGGGGTTTGTGCACACCCAGGCCAAGATAACTGAGTCAGCAAAGGTCCAGCAGGGAAGGGTGGCCCAGACAAAGGGACACCATTGAGACCAGAATGGAGGTGTCCTTCTGGACCCTCATCTGCACGGCAGGAAGTGGGATGGGCTAAGGGAGCCCTGTCATGGCCACACAGGTCTGTACATGTCCGTGTCAGGCCCAATGACTCGAGTCCAACACCACTTACCAAGGGCACAGGTCGTGCCAGGTGTCCTGGCACAAGGAAAGGTGGTGAATGAAGCTGGACCCATCAGGGGGTCTATCCCTCTGCTGGGGCTCCAGGAACTACCCAAGCAGAATCGCATTAGGAAAAATGGAGCCACGTGTCTTTTCACTTCTAACCACCCCACCCTAATCTAGGTCACAGGCAGTATACCTCGCCTTGGGGACTGAATGTGATTCCAACCCTGAGACCAGGGCTGGGTTGCCCAGGGCACTGCCAGGCTTGGCGGGGGGGTGGCTCTTAGCTCCCCTGTTCCTCCCCAGCCAAAGGCCCTGGCAGGAATCGGATTGGCCTCTCTTGGTAGACCCAGCCTAGATGGACTCTCAAACACCAGTCCCCCACAGCTCTTCAGTCCCTGAGCCTCTGGTCCCCTGCCACTCCCCCCACCCCAGGTGCTAAATTACCTACTGAGAATGTAACTCCCTTCCTTCACCTGTGCTTCCCATCTCAGGAACAAGTGCCCTCTTCCTGCCAGAGGTGCGCTATTCCCAGAGCTCTTTAGGGAAAAAGGTTTTTAATCCATTTCCGTTTTTTTTTTTCAGCATGCAAGTAACTTGTGGGTATTGTGGAAAGATCTAAAAAACCAAAGGTGGAAAACAAAAGGCAAAGTTAATACCCGCAATTCTTTTTTTCCTTTCTGGCTTCTGTGCTTAATTTTTCGTAAGTATCTTTGAAAGCAGGAAAAGCAGTTGCATTTTCCAAAATCCTCACAGCCATTACTACCTTGTCCATGGAGATGGAGTAAACAGATGAGGGACAAGGGTGCAGACTTCTGCTGCTTCACCCAGTTTCTGTAGCCGCCTTCTCCACTTAACAGATCATAAGAATCTTTCCAGAAGAATAAACGTACCGGCCTGTAACCTGATAGCCATTGTGTAACTGCAACGTGGGCCTTTGACAATCCCCAACTGTTGCACACATAGGGTATTTCCAGGGTTTTCTTAAGATATGTCACGCTAACGAATGCTGCTGGAGGGAGGACCTTGCCTGGCTGGTTCACTGCAGTATTCCAGCACCCAAACAGGGCTTTGGGCAGAGGCCTCCATCCCCATTTGCTGAGCAAGTATAGAACTGCAGGCCTGGCCAGTACCTCTCAGTCCAGCTGATACTTACTCTCTTACCTCCCCTGCCAATTTCAGCCGGCAGACACAAAGGCTTCTCCTTCCCCTTTTCTCTCTGCCATCCTAGCTCACCCTCTTCTCTCCCCAGTATGCTGCACCTCCCCTTCAGAAGTACAGTGCCCTCCGTACTGTGCTCTCTGAGGTCTCGCCCCTCCAGCGCTGGCCATCCAGCCTCAGGACAGCAGTGGCTACCCTGCCCTGCCCCCCTTTTTGCCTTGCTTCTTCCTGATGGATCCTCTCATGAATCTCACCCTCCCCTAAGTTTCCAGAACCCCTCTGCAGGGAGGGCTCTGACTCTATCCTGGCTACTCACAGGTGTGTCCTAAGTGCCTGCAATGCAAGACACCCTCCTGGGGATTACAGGAAATGAGACAAACAGATCCTTCCCCACCCCGGGAGCAGCAATGGTGGCTACTGAGAGTAGGGGCAGGCCACAGCCAGCCTCACACTCACCAATCTCCACCAGCTCCACAAGGAACCCCAAATAAAGCTGGGCTTGCAGCGTAAACAGCCCCTCAACTCTCAGCACCACCCACCCCAGGCAGCTGCCCCTCCCTCATCCTGGGCTACAGAATGAGATCCATCTGAAAACAAAAGGCTCATGGAGCAGCTGCTGGATACAGGTAAGCATAGTTACATGCACCCAGGGCTCAGTGGGGAAGGGATGACCATGGTCTAGGAGGCCATGTGAGGTCTCTCAAAGAAAGAGAGGCCGCATCTGAGCCCTGAAGAATGACCAGGGGCTCCCCAGTGGGAAACAGACAAACTGATCAGCTGGAGGAACAGAGAGGCCAGTGTAGCTGACTGGCAGCAAGGGGATGGCTGGGGGATTTAGACTGGAGCCCTAGCAGACCTAGGGAGGATTCTAAGAGTCCCCGCACAGGCAGCCTCACCCAGCCTAAGGTGGGATCTTGGCAGCCCTGCCAGCCTCAAGATCGACCAGGTCCAGTATGTCTGCCCAGCAAAGCTTTCCAAGTTGGTGCCCCTCACTGACTTCAAGGTCTTCCCCCACGACCTGCTCCTTTTCCTTAACTCATCTCAGGCACCGAGGGGACCAATCCGGGCTTGTTGAGAACTCCCTCTCTCTTATGAGCACAGAATCCTCCCTCCATCTCCCTCCTCGCAACCCAAGGCCTCTCTCTGGCCCACACGGGGCCTCAGTATCTTACCTGGATGAGGCACCTGCCCCACTGCTGATACCCAGTGTCTAGCCCAGCACCTGGCTAGCTTACTGCCTGCCATTTCCCAGCTCCCCATCCAGGTCTCACATGCTATCCCACACAGAGGTGCCCACTAAGCATCTTCCCTGGGCTTCCCAACTTCCTGACGTCTCCCCTCTGAACTGCTGGTTCACAATGGGTACCTGTTGCCTGCCAGTCTCTATTGGGCACTGGGATGAACGCACTGAGCAGAGCACTTCACCCCTGCTCTCCTGTGGCTCATCTGGAAGAGCAGAGAAATGCACATGCATTTCACAGAGAATTAAATGCAGTTGGGTTAAGATTCAAAGTGAGACGTGGAGTGCTATGGGTGTCTATGGTCTCAAAGCCCCAGGAGGCCGCTGTACCAGACCCCACAGCTTTGCCTCCTGCTACCCACACCTCCACACCTCTGCTGTGATGGGTCCCGCCAGACATCCTTGGTCTGTGCCCGCTGTTCAGAGTCCGGCTCACAGGCTCCTCCACAGCCTTCCCTGAATGGTGCCAGGGTCTGGCGGTCTTTGTCACTGGCCACCTTTCTCCACACTGGTCCACCACGTTTCTCCAAGCTGGAAAGTTTCTTGAAGGCAGTATTCTCACCCTGTCTTATCGCCACATTTCCCTAAGTACCTTTGTTTTTTTTGGCAGTACTGGGGTTTGAACTCAGGGTCTCACACTTGCTAGGCAGGTGCTCTACCACTGGTACTCCACCAGCCATTTTGCATTAAATATTTTTTCTAGGAAAGTCTCACAAACTATTTGCCTGGGCTGGCTTTGAACCGCAATTATCCTGATCTGTCTCCTTAGTAGCTAGGATTACAGGCCTGAGCCACCAGTGCCCTAAAGACCTTTAACTAACATGTCCTTAATGCTAGTTGGACTTAAGAAGAACACGTCACTTGACTTGGGCTTGTCTTGAGCCTCTGAGCCCTGGCTTTGTTTCCCTTCCAACCCTGACAACCCTTCTCACACACAAAACTAAGACTATTCTCCAAACTCATCAGCAAAACCAAGGAGGCCCCCAGCTCCCAGTCCCTGGCCCTGTGCTGCCCTGGCCTGTAGCAGACCTATGGCCCTGCCTCCCCGCCGGGGTTTCTATTCCTGGTCCTGCTCTCCAGTCCTTCTTGATCTGCTACCTCAGGAAGCTCCCTACTGTTGTCTCCTTCATAATATGCACATTACAGACATTGCTATCTTCTGATTCAAGGCTCTCGTGAATATACACCCACCATTTGTGACATGAACGAGTCCTCTAGACCAATGATGTATCATTATGCCTGTTTTTCACATCAGGAAACTGAGGCTCAGGGAGATAAAGTATCATGGGTTTCCTAGTTAATTAGCATCTGGACTTGGGTTTGAATTCAGGTGTGCCTGAATCCAGAGACAAGACTCTAGACCACCAGGAAAGGATAAAGTGATACCTCTGTACCAGCTCTCCAGGGCCAGAAGGCTGAGGGCTTCTGAAGTCAAAACAGGAGTGTCCAGTGTCTAAGGAGTCCCACAGCACAGCAGCTGAGACTTGACCTGAGCACAACAGGAACAGAAGGGGTAGAGGAGGAAGGGACTCCAGAAGAACACAGGCACATGTTGCAGTGTCAAGCCTCCGCCTGACTGACCTAGGAGCCCAGAAGAGCTGCCTACATCACAAGCAGCCACATATGCTGGGAAGTGGCTTGTGCTTAGCCTCTGAGTTCCACTGTCAGCACACCCCCCCCCAGTCACAGTGACAGTGTGGCATCTGCTTGGTGCTAGGGCTGAGTACTTCACTCCATCACCCACTCCTGACAGTTGCTGTCCATCTTATAGATTCAGTAACCTACCCACAACCTTGCTGCTGGGGTGGGGATGGCAGAGATTTGAACCTACAGTTCTGTTCCAAAGCCTGCCCTGTCACATGTCCCTCTCCCAGGAAAGTCAACCCAAACAGAAATACCAACCTCAAGCTCCAGACCTGTGGCCCAAAATGAGTGGATCTCATGGGGGACAAATAGTCATTCAGATGTGGAATGTGTCAGAAAAAGTTGTATCTCACACAGGCAACAGGTGCAAAACAGAGGCTTTAATCCAAACAGCAATGAAGGTTCAGGGCTGGGGGCTGCCCTTGGGGAGGAGCAGGCGTGGGCGGAGCCAGGAAAGTGGTGGTCTGGCCCTGGGAGGGAGGCCTCTCCTGGGAAACTGTCTGCGATTCTGATGACTTCTGTCCTAGCCTCTGCCGGACCACTGCTGGTCCCAGGCCAACCCACAGGTTGTGCTCCTCAGTGTCCCCTCCCCAAAGGCTGTGTGGACCAGGACATAGGAAGGGGCAGTGGAGAAGGGCAGGCCTAGGCAGGGCAGGAAGCCTGTAGGCACTGGACTAGACTGGCAGAAAACGGGAGCTGCTGTCAGCACCCCCACCCTTGGTGGGCCTGCCTGGCAGCCCTGCCCACGCTCATAAGCCTGGGGCCAGTAACTTTGTCCTGTAATGGGAGGTGGGAGAAGGGAGTGTGAGGCTGCTGCCCTCTAGGTCTCCCAAGGGACCCTCACCCACCCAAGAGAGTAGAGCATCAGGCCAAGAACCTCAGGTGGAGCTAACAGCAGTGAGGAGGTAGCAGCAGCAGCCAGCCTAAGACTGCCAGAAGTAACCCAGGCTCTCCACTGAACACATAACCCCGGCCCCTCCCTGAGACTATCGCTCCCTCCCTACCAGGCAAAGTTCTGGAAAAACAGGCCTCATCCACACAGGCCTCTCCCAGGAGCCCAGAGCCTACCTACCTAAAGGACAACTTTCATAGTTAGGGGAGGTGGAAGTGAAATCTACCAACGCAAAGGGCCAGAGAGCATCAAAGTCAGGATGAGGCTCTGGACACAGCTGCCTGGGCCCAGGAGCCACCTTGAAAAGGCCCAAAAGGCCCGTCGAAGAGACAGGGCCTCTCCACCAAGGTCTCTAGCCCCACCAGAGGCATCTAGCAGATACCAGCCCTGGAGGACAGACGCTCCAACTGACAGCAAGGCATCACGGGAAGGGAAAGGAAAGGAAAGCAATGAAATAGCATGGTGCCCCTTAGCCCTGGTCTCAACCCAGGGCTGCAAAGGAGAGTACAGGGAGGCCAGCAACAGGAATAGGGGCCCAAGGACCAGGTCCCAGGCCCTCTCTTCTTGTCTGCCTGCCACTGGGTCGGTCAGAAACTGGCCACACTTTGGTCCTTCGGCCTTCTGCTCTGAGCCCTCAGCCCCTGCTCATCACCTACCCTAGTAAACAGCCTCTCATCAAACAGAAAGAACAGAGGGAGGGCAGGAGGGGCACTGGGCTGGGGAGGGCACAGGGCACAGGAGCCTGGTCTAGTGGCTCTGGTGGCTCAGCACCTCCTAACCAGACTTGACAGGATGAATGGGCAGCAGGCTCCCGAACTTGAAGTGCTGGATCACAGGAAACTTCTCCAGGCACTGAGAAAGACAGAGAGAACAGAAGTAAGAGCTACACTGTACCCTGCCAAGACCTGCCCGACCTCTCAGGCCTAAGGAGACCCAAACACCACAGGAGCCCAGACCAGAGCCACTCCTAGTGGGTGTCTATCACGGCCAAAGGCACGGTCCAATGAGAGCAGCCCCCAGGCCTTTGAGGAAGAGCAACATCTGCTTTTCCTGCCCCCACCAGCCTCCATCCAAAGTCATCTCCTGTACCACAGACTCACAAGTCACTCGTGTGTATGTGTGTGTGTGTGTGTGTGTGTGTGTATGTGTGTGTGTGTGTGAATGAACAGCCTAAACCCACAAAGCAAAAGCTAAGAAGAAATGTAGCCAAGTGCCTAGCCCAGAATGGGAAGCTGTCCACAAGAAATGGACACTCCTGATTACCCAGCCCTGGAGGTGTGGAGACATCTGAACGCCAGCCTGAGAAGAGGCCAGGACCTGTTTTCTGGTTTTCAGTACTCTGGACTGAAAAAGGCTTCTTGGCACTTCAGAGTGAGACAATAGGAACCAGCTGACATCCCCCAGGCAATTCCCAGCAGCCCTAGGGTGGGGGGAATGACAGAACAGGGGGATGGTGACTCCCTGAGCCCAACCCAGGCCCCTCATTGCCTGCTGAGAGTGGGTAGAAACCACAGGGTCCACCACAGCCACTAAAGCTAGCCTGGTCCTCCCTGGTGGGTGGGGGGGAAGGGCCCACAAGGCCAGAGGAAGGGGGCAGGAGGGGAAAAGGAAGAACAAGGACTAAGCTTGGGGGAAGAACAGAGCCACAGGATCCGGGGCCTGAGCAGAGAAAGTGGGGATCAGGAGGCTGGGGGTGGTCCCTGGGGGAGGAGCAGCAGGTCCAAGGCAGCTGCCATGGTGCTTATGTCATCAGGAAGTGGTGGGAGTTTGGAAAGCTGCCCCCCCCAACCCCAGGGCCCTGGAATTTCAGAAAGGGTCAAAGGTAAACCTGCCTCCAGATCTCCCATAAGAAGCCCCAAAAAAGGAAGTGCAGACAGGGACAGAGGTTGTCTTTACTCTGTTTTTAGGACCCCCAGGGCCAGAAGACAGACTAGGGCTGGGCTAGAAGAGACTGCTGGGGCAGATGATGCCAAGACCCCAGGGCAATGCCTGATCCTTTATGTGGGCAGAACACAGCTTCACCTGCCCCTATCCTCTCAGCCCCTCCAGCACCAGGCCCAGGACTGCAGTGGGTACAGTTCAGGGGGGAACAGAGGCTCTCCAGGCAGGCAGTCCTCAGTGGACACAGACCCCAATGTGCCAAGCCCTGATGGTTCTGCACTTCAGAGGCCCGGGCCAGGGCAGGCATCGTGGAGGAGGGAGGTAGTCCCAAGACCTGAGGCCATCTATTGCCAGGCCTGGTCAGGCCCTGTGGCAGCTCAGGGCCTACTCCCCTCTAGCAGCCACCTTTTGACTGATGGCCCTGGTCCTGCTACTCTCCCCCTCCCCATCTGGACTTCAAGACTGGTGGGCCTCAAAGGTCCTCCCTGTGAACTGAGAGAGCAAGTCCTTTTCTGGGCCCTCTGGGCAGTGTGCCAACAGCCCATGGACTCTCAGGCACCAGAGAGAAGGAAGATGTGCTCATAGGTCATCAGTGAGAAAGGACCACTACAAGGACCTGGAGTCCCTAAACTTGGTTCAGCAAGTCCCAGTGTTATCCTATCCTACACAGAAGTGTGGCCTGACAGCACCCAAGACAGTGGCCAGCACCTCTGCCTGTGTGCACCAAGCTGAAGTGTCCTGTCTTCAAAAGGACACTTTGTTACTCACTGATGCCTGCTCCACTCTTCCAGTCAATGGTACTTTCAGTTGTATCCTCCTTGTGTTCTGACCACCTTTACACCAAGGCCTGCCCAGCTGTGCTGCAGCACTGATTTTGAATCCTAATTTGCTCCTCCCTCAGCCTATCACCCTGTAGTTCTTCTGCCTCTGGAAGCGGGTTAGGGTCTCCAGTCCTGCCACAGGGGACACTGGGTCAAGATAAGTTTGGAGCCATTCAAGGCAAGAGATGTGCAGACAGGACAGCATTTAACATTCTAAGCAAGAAAGGCAGCTAGAGTCTTGGTAAGAGTTATGCATTCCTCCGTTCATGATAGCCCTGGCAGGGTGGCCACCTTCCTAGGCAGTACCCACTGTGGGACAGGCAGAGCAGGGTTGTTGAAAAAGACAGGACCAAGGGCAATGCCCCGGGCGTTGGAGCTAGAGTGCAGAGCCGGAAGGAGCCTGGGCAGCCCCAGCAAAGGCCTCTCAGATTAGAGAGGTATGTGGGCTGGAGCCTAAACACAGGATGTGAAGTCCAGAGGAAGAGGATCCAGAGGGGAGGGTGGAAGGAGAGAGGGCCAGGCCCAGTCAGTTCATGTACTGTTAACCCCTTCGGGGCCAACCTGAGGGAGCCAGGCCACTGAAAGCATCTGTGTTACCACATTAGGCTGGCCCTCATCCCCCGCTTCCTGTTGTCCTGCATCTGCTGATATGTACAGAAAGCTTGTGGTACAGCCAAGCTCACCTGTGCACCCCCTCCAAAAAGAGAAGGAAAGATGGCCAAGAATTAGGATGGGTAGCCCTCGGTCACTAGGACCAATCTGAAGGAAAAAAAAAAAGGCACTTTGGGAACTCATGGGTCCAGGTAGGAGACTGCACAGCCAGGCCAAAGTCAAGCAATTCCAGGTTTGGGAAAAGGAAAAAGGAGAAAGATGTCCCTTCTCTTTCTGCAACAGAAAGAGAAAAAGCCATCTCCTTGGTCTGCTGGGAGATGGGGAGGGCAGGAGTCCCACAGGCAGGCTGAGGAAGGGCAGCCGCCTCCCAGCAGGGGGAGCTCCAGGACCCAAGGTCCCTGGCAGCAGCAGACTAGCTTTTTCAACCAGGGAAGACCATCTGCTTCCTTCCCAAGGACCTCATCATTAAAAGTATCAGTTCCCACCTCCCCCAAACCTGCCACTACTATGGTCACACACACTAATCTGAGATACCCCTTTCAATGATGCTCTTAAAGGATCACACCAAACCCAAGACCCTCTGCCATCTTAGCAGAGACACTCAGGCCACCTGAGCATGGAGTCATTTGACAGTGGGGAAGTCTCCTTCCCCAGAAGCAGAACCTGCCTCTGCCTCTGCCTCTGGGGTAATCAGGACAGAGCTGAGCCTCAGCCCATTGCTGCCTGTGACTGCCATCCCCTAAGAACCAGAGAGAAACAGTGTGGAACCAGGGGCAGGCACACTGGTGAGCCCCCACTCACCTCAGCCTTATACATCCGAATGAGACCCTGATTCACTTTGGCCCAGGAGGGGACAGCACTGATATTCCACAGTTGGTTGGAGTGCTCTGCAAAAGGGCCGGTTTTCATCTGGAAAAGAAGGTCCACAGCTGGAGAGGCAGAGGCCAACTAGGATTCCAGGCCAGCAGCAGCATGGTCTCTCTCTCATATACACATGCACACACGCACACCAGAGTCAAGTCAGAGCGTATGCCTATGGGGAACACACACACATGCAGGAGGTCTGCTGGCCTTTGAGTCTCATGGGAAAAATACAACCTCCTTTGCCCGCCCCTCCCAAATCACTTTTCCCACAGCCAAAACAGGGGCCTGATTCCTACTGCCCACCAAATCTAGCAGCCCCAATAAAATCAAATCTCCACCCAGGTTCCTGGTGTGGCTCCCACCAGCTCAGAGTACCTCACCAGCATAGGACTTGCTCATTCTCATTCAGAGAACAGCAACAGCCACGCGGACCCACTCTATAGGCTCCTCTTCCCCACCCTGCAGGGCACTTGGTCTGCACCTGCCAGGCAGTTAGAAGGGCAGAAGGGGACTGTGAGAAGGGCATGGACATCAGGCTGTCCTCTGCTTGGTGGGCAGGGGGAGGGGAGAAAAGGAGCAGAACCACAGCACAGACACTAGCAGCAGTTCAGGAGGTCTGTTTAGGAAGCCAGTCTGACCTGGCCAGAAGGGAAGGGATAACCACCACAGCAGCAAGACCAGCAGGAGCACTGCTGGTGATCATCGGACAGTCTATTGTGGTCCCGACTGAGGACCTGATTGTACCCAAGAGTCTGACCCTCTGGGAAGGAAAAGAAACATCCTACGGCAAGCACTCCCTGACATCAGAAACCATGGCAAAGAGGGAAGCTGTGCCTGCATGTATTCCTCTCCTGACGCCAGGCCAGCACGCTTATTAACCACGCAGTTCACAGCTCCCTGCTTTTAGGTAGCATTTATGCTGGGGAACAGGGTTCTGCACCTGACTCCAAGCTACAGAGAAAGACTGAAAAGCAAAGTGGCTGAGTCTGGCAAGGAAGCAGAGACTTGGACCCTGAGTGGGTGGGAGGTTCCAGAAGAAGCTGTGCTTGGAGGCTTGGGGGTGGGGAGCTATTCCAGGGAGAAAGGATAAGCTCAAAGCTCTCTCCACAATGAGGCATTATGACCATTGAGGCCCTTAGGAGCACAGAGGCCACCCTCTGCCCAAGCCAAGCCTGCTCTGGTCTCCGACTCCCACAGGTCTTGGACTTCCCCACTAAGGGCAACTCCGAATAAACTTTGCAGTTTTAAGTCAAAAAGTCTGCCATGTTATCTCTGTCACCTCCCTCTCTAGGTCCAAGTCCCCAGAGAAAGCCTACCTCAATGGCCCCCTCAGCAACAAGGGCAACAGGATCCTACCAAAGCACTAAACAAAGCCCACCCTGGTGCCTGCCAGGCTTCTGGGCTTTCCCTTCCCTGGAACGGGGGAAGTGCCCAGCATACAGGTCCCTCACCCCCGAGTTCTGTTCCCATTGCAGGACCCACTCAGACTCTACGCCCAGTCTCTCTGCCCTATTCCTCCCCAGGCACCAGCCCTGTGTCCCACACTGCAGGTCCTGAGAGGCTCAAGGATCATGGGAGCTGTGGACCAGGTCTGTGAGCAAACCACTTAGGTAGCACCTGCTGGCAGTGTCCCTCAGCAGCAGCTCAAGGGTCTGCTCTGCAAAGGCTCTGAGGCAAAAGCAGGCAGACGGACACCAGACTCTTCCTTCTGGACCAGCCTGGCCCACCAAAAGCACTGGACACATCCCCAAAAGGCTTCTCCGGTCTGCTTGTGGAACCAGCTGGAGGCTCGTGCTCTGCAGAGCCCCAGTGGTGAAATGCTGCTTCTCTGCAGGGGCTGAGCCCCCGCCCCAGGCCTTCAGTGCCCCCAGGTCCTCCTAAGTCCTTCAGAAGGAGACTGCAAAACAGACAAGGAGAAAAAAAGGAATACAGGGCAAGACGACCAAAAAAAAAAAAAAAAAAAGCTCATTCTAGCCACAAAGGGAGAAGAGACGAGCGAGAACGAGCACGAGCGAGCAAGCTGCAGTCCCGCAGCGACCCCAGGGGAATCGTGTGAGTCAGAGCAGCCATATTGAGCAGGAAATTACTCACAGACGCTGCGTTCCTGCCTCTCCACTCCCCAGAGAATCGGCCTTTTGTAAATGGTTCCTCTGTCAGTAACTGAGGGGGATGGGCGGGGGTGGGGAGGCTCTGCACAGTGCCTTCCTGTCAGCTCCTTCCCTTCCAGCTGAAATCTGATCCCTCCCTTCCCAAAACTCCAAATTTAGAAGCCAGATTGAAACTGAAATTCTTTTCCTGCCTGCCCTGGACTCTTAAAGGAGCCAGAGCTGTATTTCCCTCAACAGCAGAAGCTGGGCAAGGAGAGCTCTCTCATCCGGAATGCCCAAGGCTACCAAGCAGTCCCGGCATAAAACCAGGGCACTCTGCTTAATCCCCTAGTTGCCCTTAGGGATTTCCAGGTCTAGAGAGGAAACACTGCCCCTTTCCTGACCAGAACTCTATGCAGGCCTCCAGGTTCCTAAGCCCCAGGGTCCACGTGAGACAAATCAGGCTATTAACTCACTGACCAAGGGTTGCAAAACCGTCCACTGGTCTGAAGTGGGAGGGGCTCTGGTGAACAGTGTGCGGTGAAGCAGTACACACTCAGCCCAGGCTAGGCTGGCCATGCGGGCAAAAGGGGGCCCCTGGAGCAGCAGCCTAACACCATGCCTTGGGCCAAAAAGAATACCAGGCCATGTAGAGAAGGTGCAGAACAGTCAAAAACTACCCTCCCCCTTACCCCCAGGTCCTACCTCTCCCTTAATTACATGTTATAAAACCTCCAAGTTCAACGTGTTTTTGGCACCACCTTGTGGCTACCATAAGCTACCTTCTAGCAGAGGATCTGGGTCTCAAACTTTGGGAAAGCTTTTGGAGTTTTGTATCAGCATAAACAAACACAAATACAAAGTCTAGGCATGGAATCGATTCCTACAGTCCCTGAAGACTGGCCTGGCCTGCTCCCTGGCTAGAATTACTGACGAGGATGCAAAAGGGTTGGCCAGCCACTAGGGGGAGCAAAACCAGCCTTTTGGCCCCAGGCAACTAACTGCAGAATCTGCACTCCTGCCTCCATTCTTGTTCCTACGTCTCACCCTGGGGTCTCCTGGGGCCCCGCAGCCCCTCACACTCCACTCCAAAAGGAGTAGTGCGTGACCAGCATTCAAGGCAGCAAGCCAGGCCTGCCCCAGAGTCCTTCCGACCTTGGGCCTGCTACACTGCTGAAGGCAGCAGATCTGTGAGACTAAAAAGCAGTGGCCGCCCAGCCATCAGTCCCAGCGCCATTTGCTGACAGGGAAAAAATGTGTCATTCCCCTCTGGCCCCTGGAGTTTGGCAGAAGCCTAAGCCAAATGCTGACCAGGAGCCACTGCTCACCAGGCTCCTCCCTCTTTGGGGCTCAGAACAGGCCAGAAGCAGTGGCCCCTGGGCAGGCATCCACAGTATGCCAGGCAGCAGGCATGCACGTGCACATCAGGGAACAGAAAGAACATGAGAACCATCTCCGGAAAGCAGGACGAGGGTTCCCTTTGCAAATGTGGGGTGGGGGGTTTGCAGGGACAGGTAGAGAGAGAAGGGAAAATCCTGACACCTCTGGGAAGCAAGGCCCTGAGAGCTTGGGTCTCCAGGTTCTCTATGCAGTTAATCTGACAGGTATGCTTAAACACAGGCTCCCAGCTCTAGTCCCTAAGATCATGTTCAAAAAGCTGGGATGGGGCGCAGGGCTGCATTTCAACAAGTCCCCAGCAATCTTGACGAGTAACCAGTGCTGCACTATGACAGGGAATCTTCAGTTAGAGCTCTGCCAGGTGCAGGCTGCTATTCTCACCACCAGCACCTTGCTCATGCCCACATCCTCAAGCACTTACAGACATGGGTCCCCTCAGCTGAAAAGCTATCTACTCCAGAAAGTCACTCCAGCTCCTCCACGGCTTTCAGCCCGCTGTCAGTCCAGAAGCACATGGCTCCCCAGACCTTGCCACCTGGAAGATGCTGCCCCACACACACCACAATGCATAACCACCCTTTCAGACTTGCAGTGACTCTCAGCTCTTAAGTCCCGTGGGGTGTGGAGGGACCCTGGATTTGGGCAAGGAGAACCTGGTTAACCCTTTTAGGAGAGACGTAGTGAGACTTTTGCTTTGGGAGGTGGGGCTTCAATACCCACTTCTGGTGCCAACTGTGCCATCTTTGGGCAGCTCCTCTGGCTGCTCTAACCTGCCGAAAAGCCACTATCCCCAACTCATATGAGCCCACAGGTGGCTCTCCTCCCCCCTCACCTCAGTGATAAATAGGATGCACTCCAGGAACATGTAGTCCTTGTGGTTCTCAGTCACGGCCTTCTCATCCACAAAGTGTCGGGGCTCCAGGTGCGGGTGGTCTGGGAAGAGCAAAGAGCCCTGGGGTTTAGCACCAGGTCTCACACCACCTGAGTGCCCTCCCTAGCTTGTGGTTGAGTGTACAGACATTCACTGCACGGTACATCATGCTTAATGACAGCCACGTATAGGACATTGATCCCATGAGATTAGTAGGAAGGGGCTGGGGGGGTGCTCAGTGGCAGAGCTCTTGCCTAGCACATGAGGCCCTAGGCTCACTCCCCAGAATGTAAAAAAGGATTATAATCAAGGTGAGAAGTTCCTATCACCTAGCGATGCACTCATCACATCATAACCCAAACCTACCATTCACCCTTGTGGTGATGCTGTGCAAGTAAGCCTACTGCACAACCAGTCACAGGAAATATAACACACACACTCACGTGTTACACACAGCACACACAACAGACATACTTACTATACTTACATATTTACTATACTTTTATCATTAGAATACACTCCTGTTTATAAAAAAGTCACTGTAAAGCTGTCTTGTCGCACTGACAAGCAGCTTCCTCCATCTCATGCTTCCAGTCTCTGATGGCATCATGACACCATATTGAGAGGCTGGCCCACACCACGCAGCTGTGTGGAAGCATACGCTATGACACACAATGAAACCACCCAGCGGCATGTCCCAGTCCATGTTCAACAGCTCATCTCAGACCAGACCAGGCTCTAACTCACGAGGCTCCAGCTCTGCCTCTCTAGCTGATGACCTAAGATGAATGATGTCAGCGCTCCAAGGTTCAGTTTCCTCATCTGGGTAGCAGGGATAAGAACAGCACCCCTGGGATACTGAGGCCCACATGACAATAACCAGCACACTGAACACTTAAGTGCTGGTCTGGTCTTCAATTCTCAAAAGCCCTTCCTTCCCATGGTATCTGAGGTCTGTGGGGGTGCCTAGCACAGAGCAAGTCCTCAACCACCAGGCATGTATGAGTACTATTTTGGGCAGCTCATTCTAAAACGAAGAGAATCACCGCTTCCACCTCCAACCCACTGGTAGATCCTGAGCTGCTGACCATGTCTGGAAAACTGTTTTAAAGTGGGGGTGTCACAGAGCAGATCTGTCTGAGTGCACAGGAAACAGACCCACCACACAGCACGTGGCAACAGCTCCCTGATGGGCCCCCTTGTACACAGCTCGATAATAACAGTGGTTAACGTTGGTCACTGAATCAAAAGAGCCCCTCATTTTCAACATAAAACCCTGCAGCTGCTGCCAGGAGCTGGGTGCGTCTCACACAGTCCGTTATGCCGGGCGCACGCCCTTGCTCCAGCCCATGTCACTTTCCATTATCTTAGCAGCACTCGGGCGCCACCTCCCCCAGCCGGCCACACTGGCTCAAGGCAGAAGGTTGACAGCAAACAGCCTCCGTCAATAGTCCATCTAATGCCCTGCTTTACAAGCTGCCACTGTGTGCCCTGGGCAGGAGGAAGGGAACCGGAAAAGAAGAGGAGGATGGGCACAGAACACACCATTGTGGGGACAGGGTAGAGGGATGGGGCACCCAGCTCTTGTACCTATCAGCTGTGAACTGCCCCAGATGAAGGGCAGAAATTGGAAATCATCCAGGCCCCACACTCCCTGGCTGCCGGCAGGTTCCATCCTGTATGTTTTCTGGAGTTTCCGCATAACCTCAAGGTACCTACACAGGAGGGACAAGAAGGGAAGGGGGTCGGAGGTAAGAGGACACTCTCCACTTTCTGCGCTGGGAGCACAAGGAGGCCAGGAAGAGGCACTAGGAGTGGCTGGGCTCCATCTCAAATGGACCCCATGCAGGTGACAAGTAAGTGAGGCAGGCAGCAGCTGCACCCTCAGAATACTGGAGCTTTATTTTCCCACACTCAAGTGACACCTCTCAGCCTGGGAAAGGCACAGAAGATGGGCTGGGAAACTGTACCATCAACTCCTGACAGTTTGTAAGACCTTGGGCAAGAGCTGCAATTCTCTAACCTCGGTCAGTCCGTGCCACCTGCAGAGCTGCACCCATGTTCTCCCGCTCTAGGGCCTAGCTGCCCTAGCACGCAGAGTGCGCCCAGAAGGGAACAGGTGCAGTAAGAGCTCAAGGGGGAGGGGCTCTGCACACACCTGTGCTGCCCGGCAGGAGGTAGGGCAGCAGGTCAGAGCCTGACTGCCTAGCTTCAGCAGGCTCTGTGACCTCGGTGGAGAAATCAGATTTTCCTGTGCCTCAGTTTCTTCTTCTATAAGAGGGAGACAACAGTTGCTACTCCCTAGAGTTGTTGCAACAATAAACACGTTACAGATATAGCACTCAATGGGTCCTGCAGGTGGTAAGCACCAGGTAGGCCATTCCATGCCACCTTGCCTTGGTTTTACACACAGCTGAGTGTGAACACACTGGATGGAGTCTTGGATGGCCCAACCACAGCTTGACAAGGACCGGACAAGAACCATGAGCTACAGGAAAAGCTTCCCACTCCCTGTGGCAAGGCCCCCTGGTCCCTCTCTGCAGTGCCCGCTCCTTCCTCCCCCTCACCCTCACCGATTGAACACCTTGAAGACAATAGCCACTTGGTCGTCCACCCGGAGCACCCCGATCTTGCAGAGACAGCAGAGGAAAGCAGCAAAGGCCGCCTCGTGCCCTGAGGAGGAAAAACAGCACAAGCTGACAATCATGAAGAACGAGGACTGGACTGTTCTCTGTCTCCCAAGATCCAGCCCATCTGAGGAGGAAGGCCAACATGGATATGACAGGGCGCATTCCCTACTACCCAAAAAGACCTAGACCCCTTCAAAAACTACCAGTACTGTAAGACTGTAAGACTACTCCTAAGAGGCCCAGCCTACAGCGTTCATAAGGCATTTACATTTGACTTTATGAGTTTGACAACTATCCCAACACAATTTGTTGAGCACCTGCTAAGTGGGCAGTCACCATCCGTATTAGGTACTAGGAAAGCAGTGACAAATGAGTTCCTGCCCTCGTGGAGCTTATGATCTATCAGAGATAACAGTCACTACTATGATTCTAGAGCTAAAGGAAAAACAGGTTGATAAGCAGGGTGTATCACAGGGAAACCCTGACATAAGGGTTCAAGGTTGCCCCTAAGGAAATAACAATTATCTCTGAAAGATGAATGGGAATTTGGAAGACAAAGGGAGTGAAGGAAGTAGGAAATGCATTCTAAGCAGAAGAAACAGCTTGCGCAAAGGCCCTAAGACAAGAAAAGTCTTGATGTGTTTAAAGAACCCTAGAAGGCCAGTATGTCTAAAGCAGAGAAAGCAAGGGGAAAGGCTACAGGTCAGATGAGCCTTAGTGGCCATGGAAAAGAACTCAGACTTCATCCCAAGAGCACCAGGGAGCCATGGCAGGCTTCTAAGCAGGGGATGCACGGACAGATTATAAGGTCATAGGCACCTTGCTTTCTTTCCTGGTCATGTCAATAAGAACAGTCGGCACTACAGAAACTACTGCCTGGATTTTGGACTGAGTCCCATGATTCACTGTGTCCTAAAAACCCTAGTTGGGGGGATTTGTAAGGAAAGGCTGTTTCTGCAGAATGAAGATCCCTCCAGGACCTGTAGAACCCAAGAACTCAGCTCCTTTCACCCACCACAGTTTCCGAGTGACAGCCAGGGTGTCAGCCTTGACTCAGGCTCCTGGACACCCTGGAGTGAACACCTACTGCCCTGCCAGTCAGCCCCTTGTTGGTCGTAGTAGTCGAAAGCCCCACCCTGGAGGTCTCAGAACACTTGGCAACAGTGTTCCCTGGCCACAGCGGGGCAGGGATGAGACTCTCAGGCCTCTGTCCAGAGAAACCTGCTTCAGGGCCTGCTAAGGCCTAGCTCCCTCTGGCCCACGCTCCCCAGGCAGGACAGGGGTCTCCTGGGCAGGCAACAGGGGCCACCCCTGACCAGAGAACACTTCTTATTAAGGTGCCCAGCCCTCTCTCCAAGTCCAAGGCAGCTTGACTAAAATGTCAGATCCAAGGAGCTCAAAAGCACAGAGATGTGGCTAGGAGACAAGGGGCATCAGGCAGAGGGTGACCATGATGCTGCCAGTAGCTATCAAAGAAGCTCTTTCGCTTCTCAAAGCTTCAGTTAACAGTTGCCTTAAGATGCAACTGGTTAATATATGAGTAAGTTAATTTTTGAGTACGGGGCCAGCTCAGCACAGGCACCATGCATGCGGCACCAGCTCCCCCTGGTGGACCAAGCTAGAACCACAGGACCAGGCCACCCACACCCACACCCTGGAGATGCTTGCTCAGGGAGTCCCCCAGACAGTCCTGAGCAAGAAGAAAGCAGCTCACGAAAAGAAAACTCAGCAGTGAGGCCAAGCAAGCGCAGAACCACGCAAGCAGCAGGTACCTGTGCCATAATCAATGCGGGTGGAGTTCCCCACCGCCTCCTTCAGGTAGACAGCCACTTCAGGGATGGCAGCTGCCAGGTGGGTGGGGACCACTGTGGCCACCAAGTTCTCTGCTTCCTGATAACACAAGAGAACAAAGTGGTAGCAGCAGATTAGGCAGCAAGGGGTGGGCAGGCATCTGCTGGCCAGGGCTGATTCTCACTGTGGGTGGCCAGAACAGGAGGGAGCATTTATTCTCACACAACAGAAGAACTGCCCTGGGAGGCTTATCATCTGCTAGCTCTTCCTCCAGGGCACCAGGTGTGGTGGCAAGAGGGGAACCTATTCTTGCATCTGGTAACATACTGCAGGCCCACAGAGATTCTGTGAGGTCAGGACAATTCCCCATAGTCACCAACTCCCTTCACACTCCAGGGGCAGTAAGAGTCTGTGCCCTAAGTTTGCCAAAAGACATACACAAGAATATTTCCAAACAGCATTATATATAGCAACCAAAACATAAGAACACAACTAAAATGTCCAACAGCGGAATGAATAATCTGTGGTATATTCCTACAATGAAATACTACCCAGCGAAGAAAAAGATCTACCATTACATGCCACAGCGTGGATGACGCTCACAGACATCAAGCAAGAGGCCAGACGCTGGACTGAAGGCCTGGCCCAAGTGGTAGAGCGCTTGCCTAGCAAGTGAGAGGCCCTGAGTTCAATCCCCAGAGTGGAGGGTGGGGGCACAATGTTGACATGAAGTTCAAAAATCAACATGTGGCGTAGAAATCAGGAGCGCCTAGGGGACACCATGTGGAAGACGATTCTGCTGAAGAGCTGGACAGTCCTGCAGCTGGACATGAATGACAGGATGGTTAAAAACATGTAAAGCTGGGACATGTCAGCTCTCTTCTAAGTTATAAGAAGCTGGAGACCAGCAGTAGGAGAACCTCCTGGAGATGGCAGACATCTGCTGCTGCCTGGTCCTGCCCTGTTCACAGGCTCTGCTAGTCTATGCAGAGGGCCTGAGAGCCTGCATTCTCACTGCTTGTTTGCTTTCAGCAGGAAACAGCTTTTTCTTTCTTCTCTTTATTTTTTTGGGGGAGGGGGGAGTTTAACTTTAAGACAGGGCCTCACCATTTGCCCAGGCTGGCCTCAAACTCTTGATCCTCCTGCCTAAGCCTCCTGAATGTTGGTATTACAAGTGTGCACCACCATGCCTGGCACACCAGCTCTTCTTTAACCTAACAATGAGTCACAGAGTCCCCTTCCACTGAATTCCCTAGAGAGCCTTATTCTTTTTTTCAGCTGCACAATACTCCATGGTATGTGTGGCACAGTATATTTAACTGACCTCCTCCAGGCATAGGTACCTGGGACATTTCCAACCTGCTGCTAAAACAATGACTTAATAAGCATCCTCACGCAGGGCACTGTGCAACCACAGTAGTAGTTCCCAGAAGATTGTTGTAACGGATGGTAAACACATTTGTAGTCTGGATAAATGGAACTGTCATTTCAAAAACTCCGTTATTTTCACATGCCTAATTGCTTGACATGCCTGCTCTGACCAACACAGGCCTTCCCCTTCAGCCCAACCCCAGCCTGTGCTGCAGCACCCTCACCTGGTCAAGTTTGGCATACCACGTCCTATAGGCCTTGTTCCCAAAACGGGAGGGCTGGTCCACTGGAGGGGTCTCATCAATCCATCTGTCCAGCGTGTTGAGAAGAGCCACCAGCTTCTCAATGGCCTATAAGGTGATACAGAGGGGCCAAGTGAGTGACTGGTGTGGCCAGAGCCATAGAGAGAAGTCTCGATAGCTGCTAGGTGGTGACCTCCAGGCATGGTACCTGCTGGCCACTCTTCTTCCCAACTGTCCTGCATGTGAAGGACGGTCAGGGGAGCTGGAGAGCTGATGGGAAGAGCACTAGGCCGACATGACAGGGCTAGGAGTGGCTCAACACCATTTCCACAGCCACCCACCAGCAGAGGCTGCTGGACAAGCACAAGCCCCAGCCCCGAGCTTCACCAAGACATTTCATTGAGGCCCTTCACCGAACATGCAATACCAAACCCAAAAATATAGAAGCATGGAAGGAGGAAAGGAAAAAGACCAGGAACCCTGCACCCCAAAACACACACTATCTGTGTTTTAACACAGCCTCTGCTTTGTCTATGTGTGTTCTATTCAGCACAGTAAGGATTTGAAGGCAGATGGGCCTAGATTCAAATCTCAGCTACAACACTACCAGACTGCTGTGAGACCTTAAGCAAGCAACTAACTGAGCCCCCGCATCTTCCTGTCAAACATGGGCACGGCCACGTCTCCTAGGCAGTGTGCCAGGCACTCAGTGATGAGCTATACTTAGGCACGGACTCAAACACGGATCGTGGGGCCCAGGCTGCTCTGCAGTCTGCTCATTTTCCTCATGAACCACAAGCCACATAGCCTTTAAGAAGTGAGTAATGTCTGATTGTACCAATATATGGTGATTTTTTTAAGGTAATTCCTGTTAAATTGCTGGGTTATTCAATTATTTCTCCGCCACAGACAATACTGTGGTCAACAATCTTGCAATTCGACCCTCACGGAAATCCCGGGTCACTGTGTACAATGCTCTGGAAGGCTGGCGGGGCCAAAAGCCCACATCTCTACACCTTGCCCAAGGAGAACAGGGATCAAGAACTAGAACTGGTGTCAAGGGTGTGGGAGGCATTAGCACCAAATGTTACCAAACAGAAAATCAGACAAAGCCATGAGGGTAGCTTCAGAGTGCTCCTTGTAGGTGTGGCTAGGAGAAACTGGCCAGAACTAAGGGCTAGAGGAAAACACCATAGAGAGGCAATTCGAAGTCAGGCCACCCTGGGAAGAGGGTTCCTGCCAGGCAGCAGAAGCTGCCTGTGTCTACGGGAACAAATGGCACAAAGCAAAACCTCCAGGACATCCTGGCATTGGGTAAGAACTAGTAGGCAAGGCCAGCAGGAAGCTGTGCCTGGGCCGGGCAACGCACAGTCAGGCTTCCCACTGCCCAGGGCAAGATCCCTACCTGCAGGGAGGGCTCAGCTAATGGACACGTGCTGGGAGCGACCTGCTGCAGCGCTCCAGGAGGCACACAGCACAGTCCAGCCACGCTCCCTGGCACTGCACAGCAGGACAATGCCATGACCACTGCTCTCTCCCTCGCCTCCCTCATCAAAGCTTTGAGCATGGAGTTGCCTGTAGGCTGAGGCAGAGTCTGGGATGGCATAAAGCTGCGTTGGTGAACTGTGACAGCAAGTGCTACCAGAGAAGAACCAGCTCACCAGGAACTGCTGCTGGCACAAAGCAAAGCTGGCCTCCCACAGCAAGTAGGGCTTCTGAGAGGTCTGGGAAGCCCCCAAGACCAGGGTACCCTGGAGCTCTCAGTCTATGACCTTGTAGAGACACTGAAAGGGACAAAGAAGGTGGCTCTGAGGCCAGCAGGAGCCAGACCACAGCTGCTAGCAAGACTGGGCCAATGAATAATTAAGAAGACTCCAGCTCCTCCTTCTGGCAGGGCTTTTGGAACTCAGGGGGTTGGGTGGCCTCCATTGTTTGGCCTGCTGTGACAGCAGGGTTGCAGAGGGAGGGAGTGGTGAGCTGGAGCCCCTTGGAGGCACAAAGAATAATTTGAGCTATCTTCTCCTCCTCTCCCTAGAACAGCACTTCCTTTGGACTAGTAAAGCCTTCCCCAAAATTTTACTGACCAACTTCTTCTGCCTTTTTTATGCTTAAAAAAAGGAAGCGTGACTCAAGTGGTTGAACGACTGCTTTGCAAGTACAAATTTCTGAGGTTCAAACTCCAGTCCCACCAAAAACAAAAATAACAAAAACAAGCTTCCTCTCTACTACTACCTTTACTCTGCAAAATTACCAAAAACTAATTCCTTAAGTCTAGGATGGGCATGATGGAAAACAATGTAATCACAGGTCTGGACAACCTCCCAGTGTGCTTGCTCTCTCCAGCCCCGCTCACGCGGGCCAGGCCCAGCAGCAGAGCCCCATGTTGGGAGAAAAGCCCTCGGTATAGCTTCACCTGCCATGAATGGCTGCTCTGCCAGTTACAAGCAGAAACTGGGAGACTTGTGGAGATGGCTTCAGTCCCTCTGAACACTGGGTGAGGAGCAACCCAGCACTGGCACACTGGGATGAACCCAGCTCAGGAAGGGCCCCAGCTGAAGCAACAGCAGCTATTGAAAACTATAATCAAGTAAGGACACAGAGGGTCAAGAAGGACAAGGTCACTCAGCTGAGAAGCACATTAGCAAACCCTGCTGGCCTGACCCCAGAGCCCTAGCACATAAGCACACAGCAATCCTCCCAAAAGAATATCTCCTGACCAAGACTGTAATCCTAGCTACTCAGGAGGCAGAGATCAAGAGACTGTGGTTTGAAGCCAGTCCAGGTAAATAGTTCACAAGACCCTATCTTGAAGAAAATCCGTCACAAGAAAAATGGCTGGTGGAGTGGCTCAAAGTGTAGGCCCTGAGTTCAAGCCCCAGTACCGGAAAAAAAAAAGAAAAATGAAAAATCTCTTGAGCCAAGACAACACCTGGTTAGTGTGAATGCCTTCCATAAAGCCTCAGGGGCAACAGAAGACCAAAAGGGATTTGGCACTGGGGTGCTGGGGTAATTACAACATTCCCCTTTAATTAGCCCTAACCCCACAATATTCCCAGCCCACTGGACACGGCTGAGCATCTCTTGCCACGAGCTCAAGGAGAAGTCTTCTCTCCCCTAGCCATCCTGCACCTAGGCCACAGCATGAGAAGAACCAATCCAAAAAGCCACTAGTGGGATGGATGGCTCCCAAGGGAAAGCTGTCTATCTCCAGCACAGACCTTGTTCCCCTCAAGGGGACAGAAAAGGATCTGGGTGCAGCAGCCACCGAGGACAAGAAGAGGCAGCTCCACCAGAAGAATGGTGTGAGGGTTAGAAAGGCAACGTTAGCCAGGGGCAAGTGAAGAAACTGGACCAGGGCAAGGTCAGACCTTACTCAACAGGCCTGAGCCTTTGGCTAGGGGGCTGGGTGAGCCAAAGCATTGAGACAGGCTGTTCAGGCCCTGGTGAGCGATAAAGAGGCCCAAGGTGGCTATGAGGCCCACTGGGACAAATCCTAAGAGGCCACTAGAAGCCTGGAACCTCATCATGGGAGATGGCACTGCAACAGCAAATAGCATGAGACCACATTCTCTGAAGGGCCCAGTGCCTGCCTGCAGTTCCTGCCATTGCTATACAAACAAGTCTGTCTCTGAAACCACCAAAGGGCACCCACTGGGCAGGGTGAACCCAAAGGCAAAAAAAAAAAAAATACACATGCCCTTGGACCAGCACTTCTACTTTGGGGGATAAACCCTCAGGAAATAAGGCCCACAGATCTATGTGCAAGCATGCTCAGATCAGCAATGCCCAAGGCACAGTGACAAATGCAAGGCTAGGAGAGTTTTAAGTCAAGGCAAAGGTCATCTGCACCACTGCCTACTCCGTGCATCTCGGGCAGCCCAGGAGCTAGCTACAAAGCATCACAAAGAGGGTCAGCTTTCTTACTACCGGCAGACACATCTCTTCCTCATCTCTCCAAGGAGCACTTTTACTTCTTTTAGCATCTCTGTTTTCTTTTTGCCATGCTGGGGCTTGAACTCGGGGCCCTGCACAAGTGTGGTACCACTAAACTATAGACACTCCCAGCTCCTTTTATCATCTTTAATTTCAAGTTACATAAAAACACCAGTTAAAAAGAAAAAAAAAAAAATGCCAGTTAGAGGGAGTGAATTTGATTAAATGTATGTATGGAAATACCACAATGAAGTCCCTATGTATAATTAATATACACTAAAAAAAATTTTTTTTAAACATCAGTTAGCAAAAACTGGAAGGCTACAAAACTGCATATTTACCTTGACTCAAATTATAAATTTTATAAATGTAAAAGTTACACTTATGGACAGCAGATGCAAACTGCACATGTACTTGAGCAACCTTGTATTCTGCACTGGCCTGTGTGGCAATGAGCCTGCCTGGCACTCCAGCAGGCTCTCTGCCTGTGCCTACCTCAGAGACTCTGTACTCAAAGGTCAGCTTCTTCCCCTTCACACCTTCGTTGAGGGTAAGGATGAATCCGATGTAGTCAGCGTATGCCTGTCAAACAGAGGGGAGGGGGAGAACGAGAGGGATGTCAGACCCTACATGCCTTAGCTATACCCAAGCTGCCCCTAGCTCCCAAACCCAGGACAAGTAGACAGGCAATGCCAAATGCTCCCCTAATAAAACTGGCAATCCAGTAACCACAATGACACCAAACCCCCAGCCAGGTTTACTGAGTGCTCACAATGGCTGCCTTCCTGGGACTGGGACTCAAATGGTAGAGCACTTGCCTAGGAAGCCATGGCCCTAAGTTCAATCCCTAGTACCACCATGAAAATAAGTTTAAGCTGGGCACCAGTGGCTCATGCCTGTAATCCTAGCTACTTGGGAAGCTGAGATCAGAAGGATGAAGGTTCAAGGCCAGCCCAGGCAAATACTTTGCAAGACCCCCATCTCTAAAATATCCAGAGCAAAATGGTCTGGAGGTGTTGCTCAAGTGGTAGAGTGCCTGCTTTGCAAGCTCAAAGCCCTGGGTTAAAACCCCAGTCCAACAACAACAAAAAAACCCAACAACAAAAACAATGATTGCTACAGTTTCTTTACACAACACCCCCATGAGGTGTTCTCCCCATTTTACAGAAGAGAAAAACCAAGGCTTCCCGGAGAGAAGGGATCTTCCAAGATCCAGATCTCATCAGATCTAGAGCTAGAACCCAGACAGCCAAGCTCCCAAGCTGAGTAGCCAGGTGTCTGACCACTACGCTATGTCACTAGAAGTTCAAGAAGTGCTACTAAGGGTCCTTCCCCCAGCATCTTCCAAATGCTGCTCCACCACAGACAGGTCAGTGTCTGATTTCAATGTAGAAGACCTATTTTCTGCCTACAGCCAGGTGTCCCAGCATACCTGGTCCAGCTTCCAACTGGACCCTCTCTTCCAAGTTGGGCTGCAGGTTCCCAGCACAAGGATAAGGAAGCACTGAGGGAGGCAGTTGCTGGAAGCAAGTGACTCCCACTCGGTCTTCTTTCTTCTTCATCCCTTTTTCCTCTTACTTTCTTGCTTCCTCCTCATTCAAGCCTGTGACAAGCCCTGAGAACCATCATGTGATACCTAGAAGGGAGCACTCCTCCTTTGGGTCCTCCTTACAGCCCAAGGAATGGCCCCCAGCAAGCCAGGTGGACCATACAGAGTAACTCTCCTGGCCCAGGCAAGTCTGAGCCCTTGTCCTGACTGCAGCCAGTGTACAGTCATTCAGAGCACAGTGAATGTAGGAAGCAGAACCACGTTTGGATTCAAACAAACCAGCAGGCTCAGGATAAGGAATGGTCCCCAGCTGGGTCAATGTAGTTCCCAGAGAACATCTAACAACGTCTGGATACACTTTTGGTTGTGACAACTAAGTGAAGGGAAGTTGCTGGCATCCAGTCGGTAGTGCTACTATGATGCACAGGACAGCCCCTACAAGAATCATCTGCCCCCAAATGTCAACAGTGCTATGGGTGAGAAACTCAGAAAGAACTCGAACCATGTCCTTTAAGCAGCTAAAGGGACTAAGGCATTCGTCCTCATGGAGGTTCAGAGAGGAGTAGGATAACCACCTGCAAATTTTTAGAGGGCAGGTTACGAAGAGAAACTGATGAGCTCGTGTGACTATAAACCCCGATGAAAGCAGGGCACAAAAGGCACGGCATCTGGGTTCATCCTGCGCCTGCATCTGCACAGTGGCTCTGTCCACTGCAGCCCCCCAGATCTGCCAGGGGTTCCTGACCAAAGCTGGGCCCACACAGCCTTCCCTGACAATTCAAAACTGGCTCTCTTTTTCTCAGTTCCCACCTTTCCACAGACTGGACCAGAAGCCTGGAAGGCACAGTTATTTTCCTCTGCCCACCATCTGGGCTGAGAAGCACAGAAAGCCAGCCTGCTGCCCAGTGCTCTAGGTCCCAGTTCCCAGCTATTTTTAGGCTCAGCCACGTCCCCGGCAAAGGGACATGATATAGAGAGCCTCCTCTCTCTCTGCAGCACGGGTTCCCACATTTGCAACTTAGAACTTCCAACTAATAACCAGCGATCATCACCAATCAGGAGACTCATGTTCAGCTAATACAACAATATGCAAAGGCAGTGGTTTAAACCAGAGTGGAACTCTGCAGATTTACCCGGACCCAGGACAATACGCTCCCTTTGTCATCTCTCACCCTAGATTCTGCCAGCTCAGGGTCCAATAGCAACAAAGGCCAGGAGTTCACAACACCATTATGTCTAGAAAGCCCAGTTCTGACCCAAGTGCAAACACCAGTACCTGAGAACGCTTCCATTTCCCCATGTCTGGAACTGTGTGGATCTCCTTTTTTGGAATGATAAAGTTCTGAGTAGCAGGAGTGGTCTCCTCTGAAGAATCTTGACAAAAAAAAAGAAATTGAAAAGATAAACAGAATCTCCCCCTCTGTCTTCAGGGGTCTCTCTTATCTCTCTCTCTCACATGTATTTCCAGGACTGAATAATGCCTGTTAAGCCAAATCTACTGCCCTTGTCTTCCTCACTCTGAAAGGAGTAAAAAACAGGCCAACTTGTAACCCCTTCAATAACCATGTCCTTGCCTTCCACTCCTAAACTGGCCAGGTCAGCTAGGACAATAAACCAAACTGACTTTTTATACATACATGGGCAATTAAAAAGGAAAAAGAAATACAAACTGCAACCAACATTTGAAAAAAATCACCAACCTCCTGAATAAGCAAAGATAGGTGAATTATACGTGGTCTCTTTTCCCACATAAAGTTGGCAGATTAATACCATCTGACATTCATTCAGGGAAAGAGAAATGGGAACCTTCTGCGGCTGACATGGGGTGGGATTGCTAGTTGGGAGGACCTGCTTGGGGCAACTGGGCTCTCTCTTTTGAGGTAAGAACTGCATTCAGTAACCTCAGAGCCAACAATTCCACCTACAGCAATCTACCCTCAAAAGTGCTCAGAGAAGATGCTTGTTGCATCTAAAAAAATGATACCCACCCCAAGCATCAATCAATAAGGGATGCCTGTATACTGGAAATCTTCATAGCTTTTAAAAGGAGTAACGTCTATATTAGGGGTATGGGAAGACAGCCTAGATATTTAAAAGTAAATAAAGTGCACTGTATTTTATAAAATCCCATTCTTGTAAAAACTGTACATCCTAACGTTAGTAACACATACAGTACATTCACCAGAAGAATATATGGGATTAAACACCAAAGTTATTGATGGTCTCCAGGGGGTGCAATTTACAAAGCACTTCCATTTTTGAAATTACATATTACTTTAAAAAACAAGCACACAGTACTTTTATAATCAGACAAAAAAAAAAAAAAAAACCTCCACAAAGGATTTCTATATTTTCAGAAGCTGAGGAAAAGGAAAACCCAGGACAGTTCAATGTGCCAAACTAGAAACAAACTTCACATCAAAGCCAGAAACATCCTTCGTACACTGCAGGACTACCTCCTTTTTGTGACACTGGAAAATACAAGCCCTCAATTCCTTATTCATAATTTCAAAATCCCAAAAGAACTGAAAACCCAAAGCTTTTTTTGATGTTTATAAACCAATCTGGGGATATTGACAGGTTTTGTCTATCCCACTTAGTGAGGGTATTTATACATTTTGCTGAACTAATTTTGATTACAGGGTGCTACCTTCTAAATATGAGAAACTATGGATTCCAAGCACATGTGGCCCCTGGCGTTTGGGATAGGGAGTTGTGGGCCTGAACCTACAATTGGAGTCGTGGGTTGGTAAGCATTTTCTTTAAAAATGCAATGCTCAGTCGGGCACTGGTGGCTCATGTCTATAATCCTAGCTACTTTGGGAGACTGAGATAGGGCGCATCACGTTTTGAGGCCAGCCCCAGGCCCCATCTCCAAAATAACCAGATCAAAATGGACTGGAGGCATGGCTCAAGCAGTACAGTACCTGCTTGGCAAGTGCAAAGCCCTGAGTTCAAGCCCCCATCTCACAAAAAAAAAAGCAACGCTCAAGAAGAGTAAAGCTGGGAGCTGGCCAAAGGCTCACGCTGCTCATTCCAAGCTTCCTGTGAGGCTGAAATGGGGAGGATGGTGGTTCTAGGTCAGCCCAGGCAAAAAAGGCTGCAAGACCCAACCTCAATGGGAAAAAGCTGGGCATGGGGATACACGCCTCATCCCAGTGACAGTAGGACTGTGAGCAGGGCATCTGCTTTGCAAGCATGAAGCCCTGAGTTCAAACCCCAGTACGGTCATTAAAAACAAAAAAAGCTAGGGGCATGCCAAATGGTAACACACCTGACTAGGAAGAGTGAAAACCTAAGTTTAAAACCCAGTATGACCAAACAAAAAATAAAAGACTACGTCATTCTATGTAACATGAATTTTCCCCACTGCCTTCCTCCTAAAACCTAGGTAACATCAGTGCATGGAGAAAAAGGGACAGGGACCTAAGAAAGTTCTGGAACATGTGACATGTGGGTGAGCAGAGCCTGTGTGGAGAGGTCCTGAGGAAAGAAAAAGCACCAGGAGACCTGGAGCCCTAAGGAGGACAGAGAACCAGATACAGCAAGACCAGCCTCCAAGCCTTTGTCTAATTCAAAAGTCAAAACAGGGCCCCACAAAGAGACCAAAAGCTCTTATTCTCCTCCCACCCATCCTGCAACCTATTCCCAGACTCCCAACTGAGGTCCCTGTCATTAGTAAATTGCTACTTCAAGTAAGATGCTAAATAAAAAGTTTTGTAGGCCAGGCTGGTGACCCAACCACACTGATTTTTTTTAATGGGAAAATGTGTTCCACATTCCAAATAATCAACTTGCAAATGCTCTTTGGGAAGCCAGCCCTTTTCCAAGTGGGAGAGAAAGTTCCTTGCAAGTAACAGCCCTCCAAACAGTATTTCACAGGAAAGGGCAAAAGTTACCTTGCAATGCAACAAGTCATTGTCACCGAGAAACACACATAAATTGCCAGAATATACATCCCACGTCAAGAAAATAAACCTTCAAAGACAGGACTCTGCTAAATGAGGTCACATCTACGGTCTCTTCAACCTGTGCATGTCCCAAAAGCCTAACAGCAATCAGCCTTCACTGACTGCCTCCCATGCCTGGGCTCCGCTCACATTTTCCCATTGACCACACACTACATACAACCCCATGAAGAAATACAGTGGCTTCATTTTAAGAGACTGGGGCTCACCAGAGACTGTGACTTGCCACAATCTGTGTGGCAACCAAATCGAAAATTTTCATCACTGCCATTAATAAGCACAACTTCTACTTGATCCAAAAAGTCCTGTTTCAAAAGGACCCAGATCCCTCGGATCTTCAAAAGGCATGGATAACCTCCCTGAGCCTTCTTTCTGTGCAGTTTCTCCTCGCCAACGGCTGTCCCCAATCATCTTCAGAGCCACACGCCTTGTATCTCATCTCTTTCGATATCGTCACCAGAATTTATAAGGACACAGACAGGCACAGAGATTTTATACAAATTAAAATAAAGGCCCCCTTTTGAACTCCGTAACAGACTAAACCCTACACTTGGCTCATCTATTTCGGGGGGCACAGACAAAATGCCTCTTCTGCCTTTCCCCGGGACCACAACATGCCAAATGTTTTCAACCTATTCGCCCCTCTGTCAGAATTTAAAAGTTATCCATGGCATCCTTCTTAGCTCAAGGGGGTCCGCAAACACGCCGGCCTTCACCATCTCCAGGATCAGGGTCTCTGTAAAATGACCTTTCCAGCACCTCCATCCCAAGTCATCCGAGAAGAACCGAAATGAGGCCACGGTACAAAAAAAAGTTCAGGCAGCGATGCCACCGACTCTCTCAGTTCCTTGCTCAATCAGCCTTTTTTAAATTAGTGGTTTGGACACAAGGGCAGTTTCTCTCCATAAATTCCCAGGCGCCGAAACTCCAGAAGGAAAGAGGAAAGATGGCAAGGGGCGGGCAGGGCGTGGAGGAGCTGGCTGCGGGCCAGGAGCCGGGGCCCAAGCGGAGTCCCGTACGGCCAGTTCGCCCGCGTCCCGGAAACTCTCCCGGAGGGTCTGGCACGCGCGGCCCGCCTGGGATGGGAAGGGCTCCTCGGGCCTCGGCGCTGCCTCCCGCTTGGCAGCCCGGGCACCCCAGGCCCCCGCGGCGTCCCGCCCACCACCTAGGCTGCCCCGGTTCTGGTCCTTTCCGCCAGTTCCCAACCCCACGCACTGCACCCCTTCCCCGCCCCCACCCCACCCGAGCGCGCTGGCCCTACCTGGCGATGGCTGCCGCTCGCCTTCGGCCATCTTCTCCCAACCAGCCGCTGACCCCGATACCTGCGGTCTCCTCTCCCCTTTCACCCCTCTCTTGCCCCGGCTCCACCGTAGGCTCCGAGCTTTTAGAAAAGAAACGAGAGCCGGCCGGCTATTACCGGAAACAGGGAATTGATGTCACCCCCGCGAAGACGGCCGCCATGCTGATGCGGGGCACTCAGGGAGCATGCTCATCAACGGCCGGCGCACAACGCCCGCGCCGACGCAGGTGGCGGCCATGTTGGTGCGGGGCGCCGTAGGGGCGGGGGAGGGGGAACCGACGCATGCGCACTAACGGCTGCCAACAGCCCGCCTGGATGGGACCGCGCAGCAACCATACATCTGCGGGGCGTCAGGCTCCCGGGGGGTGTTGGGGGGGGGGAGGTTGGCAGCCATGTCTTTGCGGGGCAGGCGTCATCTGTCATTTTTGTGCGTGGCACTGAGCCCGACCCAATATGAGCGGACATTCCCCTGTCAACATGGTTGTGTTTTCCCATCACTCTGACAGTAAAACTCAAGGACACCAGGCGGACTTGAAGGGCGGACACTACCGTCTCCAACAACTTAGATGACATTTGGAGGTGAGGGAACGAGCGAAATAAACGGTGCCCTCCGCTGCGCCCCTCTGCCCGAGCTCCAGCCTCGAGGAGTCTCCAACCGATAACTGCGCCCTCGGCCCCGTCCCGACAAGCCCCGCCCCCGAGGCCCCGCCCCCGGCTCGCGCCTAGCCTCCCGCTCGGTCACCTACCCGAGGCTCCGCCCCGCGCGTTCTCCTCCCGGGACCGCCAGCCCGCTGCCCGCCCGGCCAGGTGGGCTCTAGGCCGCCTCTACCAGCTTGCTGAGGTGACTCGACGACCTTGGCCTAGAGCTCTAGCACGGGACCCACTGGCCCCAGCGTGGCACGGACTTTGCACAGCGCGAGGGGTGGAGCGCACTGAGTGTCCACCGGCGGACAGTAACGATGTTAGCCTTTGCCGCCAGAACCGTGGTGAGTGCGCCTCGAGCCCTGCCCCAAGGGCCCTGGACCCGTCGGGTGGGCCGCGAGCTGGGCCGGCTGCGCAGCTGCTCCCGGATGAGGAAACGGGCCCTGGAGAGCCGCGGGGCGTGGAGCAGCCGCTGTCCAGCCCGGCCTCCGCTGGTAGGGTGGGGTCAGTAGGTGGGCAGAGGAGAGGGATAAGATTCGAGGCGGGATCGAACCCGTGTCCTGAAGCGCTCAGTTCCAACGACCCGGAAAATTTAGCGGAGTCTTTGACTTCAGTCAACAACTCCCACCCCGAGCCAAGTGGAGAAGAGAGACCGGGAATGTCCACGTCTCTCAGTTATTCTGACTCACACACCCGTCCCAGGGTTGGCTCCGCTAGGACTCAGGCCTAGCTGCCCCGTCCAGGCCAGAGCCATCTCTCCAAGCCTGGCCAGTTGGTCAGTCTCCTTGGGTTTATCAAATGGCCCCCCAAGAAAAAAAAAATCAAATGCTCCCCCAGGGATTTGTATGTGGGCAGAGAAACTCACATGGAGGCGGCAAGCTGGGGCTGCACAGGAAGTCTTCAGAACTGGCAGGGAAGCAGCAGGTGGCAGCCCCTTTCCCCAACCTGCCCACCCACATCTATCCCTTGCCCCCACCCTCTCCAGCCTCACAGAGGGCAGCCTGGATGCTGCTGTACTGACTTGGGTTCCTTTCCTGTCTCATCTAAGCATCTTTTTGCTTGTGTTGCTGTCTCAAATAGACCCAGGACTGTGGCTTGAGGCTACATAGCTGGGCTCAGAACTAGAGTCTTCTAAGCATCCCAGCAGAGCCTGAGACTCTATCTTGCCCCTTCTACTGCAGACAGAGCTGTGCCCCGTGCCACAGACAGCCTTTAGGTCATCACCTGAGACCACCAGACTTATCTGATCACTTTACTGCAGGGGAAACTAAGGCAAGAAGGGACTTAGCCAGGTGTCCAGGATCTGCTAATTCAAAGTTAGCCCAATTCCAAAGCCAGTGTCCTTTGGCTTTTTTTTTTTTTTTTTTTTTTGATACCAAAAGTCCTCTGTCTTTGCCCGCCAGCTGCACAGCCCACAACTCAGAAAAACCAGACTTTGTTTTTTCTTAGGCCCAAAGGGGTCCTAAGAGTCCAGGAGAGAACCGGTGGGTAGGACCCTTGGCAGCCACTGCCCACTGGTGGCCCTTTTCTGGTATCTACAGCCTTGCACCAACCCTAATGTCAGGGCCATGGTGATTCAGTGGGCAAACAGTTTCTGCCCTCCAGCCAAGTTTTCCCACATCAAAAAGATCTCTAAGCAGATTTTAACAGGTGGATTTTTTTTAATACCTCTTGGCCTGCCTTCCTGGCTCTGGGCCCATCCAGGGAAGGAAGGAGAAATTTTCCAAGTTTTCTCCTACTCTAGTTCCTACCACCCACCAGTCCACTCACCTGCTCCCATTCCTCCTCTTCTGGGTGGCGCAACTGCTAGTCTAATAGGTTCCCCTGCCACTATCCCAGATGCCGCCACAGCAGTCACCTCTGCCACCCTACCACTCCCCTGAACCTTGGCTCTTGTCTTCTCTTTCCAGCCCAGACAGGAGGCTGCCTCTTGCTAGCCTCCACTCGCCCACCCAGTTGGTAGCACAGTTAGGCTTAGAGATCCAGCCAAGGCAGACAGACAGGGCTCAGAACTCGGTCCTACCATGGAGGACGGGCAGCAGACAGAGAAGGTATGCAACGGAGCTTCTGCTGCTTGTCTTCCACTATGCCAGCAGCCTGGGATCTTCCTGTCTCTCTTTCTGCCACCTCCAAAGTCTCACAGACTCCACCTTTGAGTGTGTTTCTCTCTCTCTCTCTCTCTGCCACCTCTTACCCTCCATGCCAGGCCACTTAGCTCTCTTTTGCTGTAGTACCATCCACACCCTTTATCCCCACCCCACTGGCAGGAAAAAGCCAGAGACCTCGGCCTCACCCAGAGGTGCTACCTGTCATTGTCTGGCTCTCTGATTTTCTCTTCTCTCTTGTTCCTCAACCTGGAAAGGGTGGGAGAAAAGAAAGTGGGGACCTTAAAAAGCAAGCTGTCACTTTTCTGCTGGCTGACTCATCTTCCCAAGGCATGAGGGATGGGGCCCCTATATCCACACAGGTGGGAGGTCACCCTCCCCTCTGCCACCCCAACAGTGTCATTCATCCTGAATGGGGTCCTCTGAACCCTGCCAAGATCAATGGCCACACCCCCCACCCTGTACCTCCAGGCCACTGAGAGGCGGGGACACCTACAACTCCATGGCCAGGAGGCCAGGGCAGGCACCACCCATGAGGCCATCTCTGCTCCCAGGATTGGCACATAAGTGCCCAAGCCCGTAGTTTGGGGAGTGTCGTGCTTCCAGAATCAGAGAGAGAATGAGCAGGCTGTTCTGCTTCCCACAGGTGAAGCCCCTGGGCTTTATCAAGCCCTCCTCTTTAATGAAGGTTTCCAGCCGCTTCAAGGCCCACCAGGATGCACTGCCACGGCTGCCTGTGCCCCAACTCCAGCAGTCCCTGGACCATTACCTCAAGGCACTGCAGCCCATTGTGAGCGAGGAGGAATGGGCCCACACCAAGCAGCTGGTGGAAGAATTTCAGACCTCAGGGGGTGTAGGGGAACGCCTGCAGAAGGGGCTGGAGCGCAGAGCCAGGAAGATGGAGAACTGGGTGAGTGAGATGGGAGGGCCCCAGCAGGCCCCACAGGCTCAAGGTCCTCCTGAGCTCCTCAGTGGCCTATTGCTGGCTGTACAGCCAGAACCTTCCAGGACCAGCTGTTCTAGCATGTTCATTTGTTGCTCCACAGAGTTTCCTGAGTACTTATGCCATGCCTAGCACCCTGCAGGTGCTGGGTGGGCCAAAAGGACCTGGTCACCACCTCTTGGAGCTGACATTCAAAGCAGGGGGAAGGAGCTAGCAGAGTGACTCAAGTGGCACCTTGAGAGCCACTTGAGAGCCTCAGAGCACCTGCCTAGCAAGCATGAGGCCCTGAGTTCAAACCCCAGTACTGACAAAAGAAAAAAATTCAAAGAGGTGGGAGAGAGAAGTGGTAAACAGGACACAGGCAGTTTCAGGCATTTCAGGTGGGGAAGTTGTTGGAAATAAGAAGAAGTACTATGATGAGGGTCTGGGGCACGGCTCAGTGGTAAAGTACTTGCCTAGCATGTGTGAGACCAAGGGCCCATCCCCAGCACTGGAAGAAAAGGGAGGGAGTGATGAGAAAGAGTGAGGGCTGTCAATGGCCGCATCTCTATGTGGAGTTTCTGGCACAGAGGCTAGACTGGAGTGCAGTGCAGGGGCCGGGGCAGGCAAGGAGGAGGAGGGCAGACTTGAGCTGAGTGATGGCCTCGGACAGGGGATTAGTGTCAGGATATGATCATGGCCCTGGTTCTGTGTCTGAGTTGTTCCACAGGTGTGTTGGGTTTGGAAAATGTGTCTACATGGGTACATCATGTGCCCTATATTCGTATTCGTCTCCTACCTCAGCAGCCCCAGATGCTGGGAGGAAAGCAAGATGGAAAGCCAAGGTCAATGGGGCAGCCCATGTCCTGAGGGAGATGCTGGGGCCCTAGGCCTGGTGCTGCAGGGAGATGGGGGTGGTCCAGGATTGTTTGAGAGGCAGCCAGTGGCACTTGCTACTGAGGTGGGGTGGGGGCAGTTCCCACCTAAAGCAACTGGGAGACCAGGAGGGAGGCTGCCATATGGAATAACCAAGGGAGAAGCTGGCTTGTGGGAGAATCAGAGCCAAGTCTGGCCCTAAGAAGAACAGTCTCCCTTGGTATCCATGGAGGATAATTTCAGGGCCTCTGCAGATACCAAAATCCACAGATGTTCAAGTGCCTTATATAAAAGAACAGTGTTTGCACAAAACCTAAGCACATTCTCCTGTATGTAAACTCTGTAAATAGTTGTTACATTGGGGAGTTCAAGGTAAAAAGTCTGTACACGTTAAGTACAGATGCAAGGTTTTTCCGAATGTTCTCCATTCTGGGTTGGTTGAATCTGTGAATAAGACATCCGCAATCCAGAGGACTCTGTAGGAGGTGCCACAGGCAAGAAAGAGGAACTCGGACCCTGGTGCTCAAAGGAGGTGGGAGGCAGGAGGAAGGCATTGATTGGGAGGGGTCATTTACTAACCCTTGGCAGGTTAGGACCTTGGGCTGTGGAGTCAAGATGCTGCTCAGTAGCTTAGAGGGTCTGGGGTCCAGTGGTTTTCCAGCTTTGTTTAGCCAACAACTCCTTCAAACCGAAGCTTCTGCCTGAAGGGGTGGAACCACGCCTCCCACTCACAGAGCCCCTGCAGCAGCTCTGCCTCCACCTGGCACGTTCTCCCTTGGAGGATACCCACACCTGCAGTCTCCCCTTGTCTCCCAAACGGCAGCCAGGGGTTCTGAGATCCTTAGCAAAATGCAGGCCCTGGCTGAGAGGGAGTTCCTATCTGCACCTCTCTACCAGTGAGGAAACTGAGGCCCAGAGAGACAGACCAAAGCCAGGGCCTCACAGCAGCTCTCAAGAAAGCTCTGAGCTATGCAGGAAGACCTGGTTGACTCGGGTCCAGTCACCAGGATCCAACCTGGAGCAAGTCACCTTCCCCTTGTTTCTTACCAAGAGCAAGAGGCTTGGGATGGTAGAGGAAACCCAGTGAGGGCCTGCCAGAGAGAGGTTTGCAGTGGGGAGACCTGTGCTGGAGAGGGGTTGCAGTCAGCACAGGAGGCTCCAGGGTACCAGGCACCTGGAAGTGTGCACAGCCCCAGACAACCTTTAACATGGTGCCCATGCTGGTCCCGAGAGCCCTACACCCCAGGTAAAAAGGAACATGACCCCAGGATGTGTCATCCACATCTTGCCACGGACAGTAATTTACTCTCGCAGTGAGTTCCCCCTTCAAGATTGTCCTGATCTTGAGATCAAAGTGAGTGTCCACTTCCTGGTATGACACCAATATAACCAGGTCCTGTGGTGCCCTGATGCCAGGTTCCCCCTTGGACAAGTCCCAGCTGGGGTGATCAAAAACTCACTGGATTTTTTTCCAGTACTAGGGGTTGGAACCAGGGCTTCAGGCATTCTAGGCAAGCACATGTCTACCTGAGCCATGCCCCCAGCCCTGTTGTGTTTTTTGATTTATTTATTAGTTTTTTTGTTTTGTTTTGTTTTGTTTTTTTGGTGGTTGGTACTGGGGTTTGAACTCAGGGTTTCATGCTTGCTAGGCGGGTGCTCTACCTCTTGATCAATGCCTCTAGCCCTTTTTTCTCTGGTTTATTTTGAAATTAGTTATTGCTTTTTGCCCAGGCTGGCCCCCATCCTATTTTAAGCTTTCCTCTATAGTTCAGTGGTAGGCACTCACCACCGTGCCCAGCTATTGGTTGAGATGCAGTCTTGCAAACTTTTTGCCCAAGCTGGTCTCAAACTGAGAGTCTCTCAAGTAGCTAGGATTACAGGAAACACCGGTGCCCAGCTTTATTTTGTTTTCGAGATGGGATTCAGCTGCCTCTGCCTCCGGAGTATCTAGGATTAACAGGCATGTACCACCACACCTGGCTTGAACTTTCTTTTAATGCCTCTTTCTCTCTTTACCTTTCTATCTATCCAGGGATGCATTTTTATTTACTAGTGTTTTATAATCATTGGCAGAAAATTGTATGACAAAGAGAAAAGTCAGGGCTAAAGGTGTAGCTCAGTGGCACAATATGTGTTTATTAGCACACACAAAGCCCTGGGTTCAATCTCCAGCACCACAAAAAAAAAATTGTTCACCTTTCTGCCCCCATCCCACGTTGTCTTCCAGTCTTTTTTCTCTTGTATCATTTTCTTGGCAGTGTTGACTGCTGCAACTAAAGGGAAGAGTCACGGAGGTGGTAAGTGTCCTCTGAACCTCGGCATTCACTTAGAGTGTCTATGCTGCAAACAGGGCCGAGGCCACCAGGGCCAGCCGGTTCCCCATACCCCTACTCCTGATACACTCTGGTTCTTGTCCAGCTGTCTGATTGGTGGCTCAAGACTGCCTACCTGCAGTTCCGCCAGCCTGTGGTCATCTACTCCAGCCCGGGTGTGATGCTGCCCAAGCAGGACTTCGTGGATCTGCAAGGACAGCTCCGGTGAGTGGCTGGGACCAGCACAAGCTGGGAGTAGCAGGCCCACAGCCCTGTGGGCGTCAGAGCCCTCAAGTCTACTCCCCAGGAGATTAGAGGGGGCCAACCCTGTTCATTTTTTGGGGGGAGAAGGGACTGCTCTTTTGGGGGTACTATGGTTTAAACCCAGGGCCTCACACCCGCTAGGCAGGCACTCCAGCCACTCTTTCAGCCCACAAACAGCCTTGTGAAGTAGAAAATGTCATTCCTGTTTTACAGAAGGGGAAACTGGGGCACAGAGCACTGAAATGACATGCCCTGGATCACCATTTAGGACAGGAGGCAGGGTCTCCAGTGTTGGAGCTCTATAACCATTAAGCACCAAACTTCATTAAGCACTCACTCTCCTCAACTGGCCACAGGGGTGACCTTTGTACACAGTCCCCTTTTCCACATTCAAGCATGTCACCCGCCCTACCCTAGTCCCTGGTCCAGTCTTACCAGAGATAAAAATACCAACAACAGGATCTCTTGCCCAGGGGCCTGCCACTCACTGGTGCCACCTGCTTTTCTTAAAGGGACCAAGCAAGAAAAAGAAAGAGACGGCTGAGGGTGTGACTCACTGGCAGAGCTTTGCCTAGCATGAGTTAGGCCCTGGGTTCAGTCCCCAGCACCATGCAAAACAATAAATAATAATGCCAGGTGCAGTGGTGCATGCCTATAATCCCAGCACTTGGGAGGCTGAGGAAGGAGAATCATAAGAATTCAAGGCATGGGCTACACAGTAAGACCCTGTCTGAAAAAGCCAGGGCTGGGGATGCAGCTCAGGGATACAGTGCTTACTTAACACACACAAGGCCCTGGGTGTGATCCCAGCACTGCAGAACGCAATAATAACAATAAAACAAGCAGGGCCCACCAGGGTTCAAGCCCACGGGCTCAGTCAGTTGGGGTGGCACTAGGCATCAGGGATGGTTGGTATGAGCCAGGAAACCAGGTAGTCCAGGGAGGAAGGCTAGGTTGAGGGCAGTGGCCTGGGGGACGTAAAGGCTCAGGAGGAAATAGGGACCTAGCAGCGGAGACGCCTTGAGCCATGCCCTCACCTTCCCACCCCCAAGGCCCTGGGTGCCCCACAACTGATATTTCAAGGCAGAGTGACCTCCCCTCCAAAGCCCAGGCTGTGACTGAGGCCATTGGTGGATGGAACTGGCCAGCACCAACTTCTGATCCAGTCACAGTTATCAGCATCTCCCTGAGCCCTGGAGATGAGGAGGAAGTGGACTCAGAGGGACCTCCCACGACTGGGGCTCACAGGTCCTACCCTGAGCTGCCAGGTTCTGTAAACTCCAAGGAGGAGGAGGGCTCAGTAGGAACTTGCCCTTGGCCAGGCCTCCCTCTCACACAGCACACGTCCCTGGCCCTGTCCACATGGCAACTTAATGTCTCTGATCCATCCCTCCAGGTTTGCTGCCAAACTCATCGAGGGTGTGCTGGATTTCAAGACCATGATTGACAAGTGAGCAGCCCCAGCCCCCACCCTGACCCCAGGCCTGCCTGATACTAGAGCCACCCTTGACCCCGAGTCCTGACCAGCCAGTGTGTCAGCCTGGGCACTGGGCAGGCTCAGAGGTCAGTCATTTTCACTTCCTGTTGGGCCAGCAAGCATTGGGATGCTTAAGTCCTCTGCTCCAGCCACTGGGACTTCCTCCTAGTGACCTTGCTCCATCCCAACCACACTGTCCAATCCCAATCCAGAGGTTAACTCCCTGCCTCACTTCCCCTTGGCAGACTGAAGACCAGAGAGGCAGAGTGTGGGACTCATAAAGAGTGCCACTCCAGGGGGAATGCAGGTCTCCTGACCCTAGTCCAGTCCCCATGGCCCCTGCTCATGCTGGGGGATGGATGGGACACAGGTGGTCTGTCCCTGTGTGAGCCCCCACCAGCTGGCCAGGCCCCAGCAGTACTAGCAGGTAGCTGGCCTCTTCCCTGTCCACTTGCCCAGTGGCCCCTCATCGTACCCTCCGTCACAGTGAGACGCTACCTGTAGAGTACCTGGCGGGGAAGCCGCTGTGCATGAACCAGTACTATCAGATCCTGTCGTCCTGCCGCCTGCCAGGCACGAAGCAGGACTCAGTTGTAAACTTCATAAAGGCCAAGAAGCCGCCCATGCACATCACGGTGGTACACAACTACCAGGTAGGCGCCCTCACTCCCCTGCGGGGCCTGGCAGCTTCCACAGCACGCAGCCCACTGGGGAGATTTCCTTCCTCCCTCCCTCTCCCGAGACCTGACTCCATTCCCTCTGCAGGCCCCAGGAGGCCCTTGCTATGACCTCTGGGCTGCCAAGCTGGGAGCAGGCTGATGGGGAGCAGGTGCTTCTCTCAGCCCAAGACCCACCCAACCCCCTTCTCTCTCCTGCCTGTGCCTGGACAGTTCTTTGAGCTGGATGTGTACCACAGCGATGGGACACCCCTCACCTCGGATCAGATCTTTGCGCAGCTGGAGAAGATCTGGAACTCATCACTGCAGACCAACAAGGAGCCTGTGGGCATCCTCACCTCCAACCACCGCAACACCTGGGCCAAGGCCTACAACACCCTCATCAAAGGTGCCTCTAGGGCAGGGGCTTCTGCACACCAGAAGGGCCCAGCACCAGGCTGGGCAGCCATGTGTCTCACTGGTCCTCTCAACTTAGAGCAGGTGTTGTTTGCCCATTATAGACAAACAAACCAAAGCTCGGTTCAGTTAGGCCAGTTTCCGTCTGTTAAGTAGCAAGTTGGGATTAGAGTCCAAGGCCTCTGGCTAAGGCGCTCACCTCTGCCTCCATACTCCCTCTGCCCCCTAGAGTCCCAAACCTCCAAATCTCTTACTGGTCAGGGCATTGTCCAAGTCAGATGTCTGCTTGGATCCCTGACTGCCACACTAGCTCTCCATGTGTGACCCTAGGTTTCTGCCCCTCAAATGCCTACAGTGGTCCAGGTGGTGGGTTCTGCTCCTTGGGTGTGGGGGGAGGAAGGGTGACTGCAGGATCCTGTTGAGGGAGTTGCTCTGAATATGCACCCAGCACTCAGTAAGTGCCCTGGAAGCCCTGAGGCAGGGAACTCCCCACCCCAGAGGGGCACAAACAGGCCAAGAGAGCCCAGGGCAGGAGGCCACAGGCCCTGAGACTCCCCCCGTCTTGCACCCTCACCCCCATGCCCAGACAAGGTGAACCGGGAGTCTGTGAATTCCATCCAGAAGAGCATCTTCACCGTGTGTCTGGACAAGCCAGTGCCCAGGGTGTCGGAAGACGTCTACCGCAATCATGTGGCCGGCCAGATGTTGCACGGAGGTGGCAGCCAGCTCAATAGTGGCAACCGCTGGTTCGACAAGACGCTGCAGGTGAGTGAGGACCGACAGGGCCACGACTCCCAGACATACCCCAGCCTGGTCCACTGCGACTTGGGACTTCCTGCCCCTCCCTGGGCCTGGCATCCCAGCCTCCCAATTGTAAACCAGGTGAGAAGCCACCAGGCTGGACGCTGCTATAATTACCAAGCAGTCAGCCTGTCATTACTGGACCTGCACACTGCTGGTCTAGAAGCCACTGTCACCCCCAGCACAGCCCTTCAACACATTAGAGAGAGCCTGGAGCTTGGGTCAGGCAGAGCTGACTAGCACCTTAAACATGGGTGTGGCAGGTCTCTGGGGGTGGAGATAGTTTTCAAGGACCCGCCGAGGTGTACTGAGTGTGAGCTGTAGTCCATGGTACCTGCTGAGTGTCAGCATAGCCCCAAGAAGGCTTTAGGACCCACCCAGAGAGTGGCCAGGTCGGGAGCTGGGAGCCACCATCCAGGGACCTTTGGCTGACACAGTCCTCTCCCCTCTACAGTTCATTGTGGCAGAAGACGGTTCCTGTGGGCTTGTTTATGAGCACGCAGCAGGGGAGGGGCCTGCCCTTATTTCCCTTGTGGACCATGTCATTGAGTACACGTGAGTATGGTTTCAGCCCCATTCCCCAGGTCCTGGTGACAGGTGGTGTGCAAGTGACAGACCTGGCTTGTGGAAAAACACCACTCTTTTTCACCTGGGAGTCTGTCTCTTCAAAGGAAGCAGTGGAGGACATGGTTTGTGGAGTCCATTAGACCTAGGTTTGAATGCTGGCTCTGCTACTACCCAGTCTGGTGACCTTGGACAAGTCCCTTCCCTTTCCCAGGACTTCTCTATTGGCCACTTGAAAGCTGGAGCAAAGGCAGTTTTCAGAAGATTAAACCCAAAAAGTGTCCCTGGACCAGCCCCTCCAGCTTCAGGGATCCCTGCTTCTCACCCCATTCCCCAGGATGAGCCTGAGACCCCAGTGTCATTTGCAGAAGGAAGCCGGAGCTTGTGCGATCTCCCATGGTTCCTCTGCCCATGCCCAAGAAGCTGCGGTTCAACATCACCCCCGAGATCAAGAACGACATCGAGAAGGCCAAGCAGAACCTCGGCATGTAAGGAGTCACATGGCCTGGGCCGGGGCAAGGCTGGCCACTGGGCCCAGCCTTATTCCTTTTGTTGTTGTTGTTGTTGTTTGCAGTACTGGGGCTTAAACTCAGGGCCTTCACCTTAAGCCATTTCACCAGCCCTATTTTTGTGAAGGGTTTTTCCATGATAGGGTCTCTTGAACTATTTGCCTGGACTGTCTTCAAACTGCGATCCTCCTGCTCTCTGCCTCCTGAGTAGCTGGGATTACAGGCGTGAGCCACCGGTGCCCAGCAACCCAGCCTTGTTCTTGTTCTGAGATGGTGCTCCCTGGGGTCAGCAGGGACTGCCAGGTGCTTGCTTCTCATCCACTGTCCCCACCCCAGCATGATCCAGGACCTGGACATCACAGTGATGGTGTTCCACCACTTTGGGAAGGACTTTCCCAAGTCAGAGAAGCTGAGCCCAGATGCCTTTATCCAGATGGCCCTACAGCTGGCCTACTACAGGTGTGCATCACCCCCTCCCCGTGGAGGAGCAGTGATATCCGGGGGCAGGGATGTGGGCAACCTTGGAGGGGTGTGTTCAGTCCCATTTCCCACCCAGGATCTACGGGCAGGCGTGTGCCACGTATGAAAGCGCCTCCCTGCGCATGTTCCACCTGGGCCGCACCGACACCATCCGCTCGGCCTCCACAGACTCGCTGGCCTTTGTCAAGGCCATGGATGACTGCAACGTGCCGGTGAGAGGTCTGGGGCAAGGGTACACTTGAGTCATCTCTTTTCCTGTCACTCTATCAACATGCATTTATCAGCATCTTATACTCTAGCCCTATGGTGGGCAATGGACTCTAACAGAAGATGGAGCCATGAATTTAGTTCTGAGCTTCCTGGCAGCCATTCATTCATTCATTCACTCACTCCCCAGCAGTGAGCATCTGCCCTATGTTGGGCTCTGTCTGGGGACCAAGAGCTGGCAGTTCCAATACTTGCTCTGAAAGAGTTTGGAACCTAGCGCTGGGTGGAGAGTGGGCTACTGACGTGTGGGAGAAGCAGAGCAAGGGACAGTACCACAGCTTTCTCTGACCCTCATACCCCACCCAGGAGCGGCAGAAGGTGGAGCTGCTGCGGAAGGCTGTGCAGGCCCACCGAGCCTACACTGACCGAGTGAGTAAGACGGCTGGCCCTTCTTACTGTCAATCAGCATCCCCCCGTCTGTCCGTCTTCCTGAAGCAGATGGCTAACCCTCAGCTAGAACCACACTCCCTGAGCCCTGGGATGACTGTAGCAGTATCTCATTTTAGATGAGCGTCCCCACTTTAAAGTGGAAAACCAAGGAGGCCCAGTACCTGCCCTGGTCCTGGTCCCCGTTTAGCACAGGCCCCGGGACCTTGTGCTGTGCTCACTCCCTGGTGCTGCATCCAGAAGGTGGTAGGTTTCCTGCCCTCCGGCACTCAAGCTGCAGCCAGGGAAGTGGAGATCTGGGTGCCCATCCTGGCTCTGGCTGAGCATGTGTACAGTGTGAGTGTGTGTAGATGTTGCTGGGTACACGCAGACACCATCTGGCTCTCACTGCTACTCATTTTACAGATGAAGACACAGGGCTCCTGCCACAGTACCACAGCCAGGGTGGGGCAGAGCCACTCATCTCCAGAGCCTGTCCTCTCAAGTCTACGCTGTCCTGCCTCTCTGGCCAGTTTCCTCACCTGGGAGGAGAGGGCTCTTCTGCCTGGACACTCTGGTCTCATGGTTCTCTAAGGAAGGTAGAGATGCCCTGTGGGCCCACAGCACCTGCTCCTGACCCTCTCCCCTCCCCTGCAGGCCATCCGTGGAGAGGCCTTCGACCGGCACCTGCTGGGCCTGAAGCTGCAGGCCATTGAAGACCTGGTGAGCATGCCGGACATCTTCATGGACACCTCCTATGCCATCGCCATGCACTTCAACCTCTCCACCAGCCAGGTAGGCCACTGTCCCAGCTGCCCTGAGGACAGGAAGAAGAGACCCACTGGCACCTGGACCTTGGGGGTGAAACAGTCCACATAGGCTGCCATAGGCCCACTGCCAAAGTGGCTGAGTCCTGAGTAGGAACTGGGGGCAGGGGTGTCACTGCAGCTCAGGGAGGCTGAGAAGGTGTCAGGGCCCCCACAGGACAATCAGCTGACTTAAGCTAGCCTGCGTGAGGTGCTGGGATACAGCCAGGTCCCCTGGAGCGGGGAGGCCATGCCTCTGGAAGTACTGGAGGCCAGGAAGTGGAGGGGCGGGGCAGCTAGAGCCATCCAGGAAACATCATATCACAAAAGGCTCTTTGGAGGAGGTGACCACAGGACTGAACCATGAAAGATAGGGAGCAGGGCTCATGCCTGTAATCCTAGCTACTAGACAGACATCAGGAGGATCACAGTTTGAAGCCAGCCTGGGAAATAGTTCACGAGACCCTATCTCCAAAAAACCCATTACAAAGAAGGGCTGGCTGAGCACCTCAAGCGGTAGAGCACCTGCCTAGCAAGAGCAAGGGCCCTGAGTTCACACCCCAGAACTGCCAATAAAAAAGGAGCAACCATCTGTGGGAAAGAGGTAGAAAACAGCAGTGGGAGCAGACAGGGAAAAGCAGACTGGTGCCCCACAGGGCTGGAGGGGAGCAGTGGTCCTGGGCATGAGAGCGTTGGTACTGCTGTTCCCAGGTCCCTGCCAAGACAGACTGCGTCATGTTCTTTGGGCCTGTGGTCCCAGACGGCTATGGTGTCTGCTATAACCCCATGGAGGCCCACATCAACTTCTCCGTGTCAGCCTACAACAGCTGTGCTGAGACCAACGCCGCCCGCATGGCTCACTACCTGGAGAAGGCACTCCTGGACATGCGGGTGCTGCTGCAGAGCCACCCCCGGGCCAAGCTCTGAGCCCCACACGAAGGTGCTTGCCAGCACCACAGCCAACCCCGCCTGGGGCTGGGCTCAGTTCCTGTGCTTCTGTGCCCCCGGTCCCAGATCTGACTGAGCCCCAGGATCAGCATCCTCTAGTGGGGCCTACAGGCCCAAGCCAAGTGCCTTCCATGGGCTGTACCCAGGGCCTGCAGGGACCCAAGCGCTGGGGCTGAGTTCAGAGGCTAAGCAGGACATAAGGCCCTGGTCCCCAGCAAGGCCTCTCTGGGGAAGGACCCTTGTCAGAGCCAGGGGAATGGAAAGAGCTCCGCTTCTTCTCAGCTCTGGCCAGTCCCTGCCATCTCCAAGACCAGGTTCTGTACCCTGATCCCCAGCTACCTGGAGACAGAAAATTGTCTAGAGCCAAGGGTTTCTGAGCCTCCCTGAGGCTGAAGGGTCAAGGGACCGGGCTTCCTGGTCTATGGGATGCCCGAGGCCTTCTTAGCCCACCCACATGGAGGTGTCTTCTCCTGTGTGGCTGCCGTGCTTTGTTGGATAATGTGACTCACAAACCTCGGCCCTCCTGCTTCCACTCAGCTTGATTCCTGAACCACGCTCATGGTTACACAGCATGGTCATGTGGGCAATTAAATAATAAAGGGAAGCTGATAAAGAGGTGTTTCAGCTGATGGCGGGGGGGGGAACAGGCACCTGGCCTTGCCTTCCAGCTTTTCCTGGGTCTGGATCTGGGAGTCGGTGTCCAAGCAACCAGTGGGTCCAAGGATTCCCAGAGGAGCCAAGAGGGAGCCAAAGGTCAGCTTCCAACCTCAGGGCACTGGGCCAAGGATGGTGCAAGACACAGGGCTGTGTTCTTCACCCGCAACTTCCTGCCTCTCCTTGCTTGGCCTTCCCAAGTCCCATGTGCTGTGGGCTACCATAGGTCCATCTCTGGTGGACTGGGCAGTATGGCCAACACCCAGGGGTCCAACAGTTGGCTCAGCAGGAGGTGCAGAGGAGTAGACATGCTCACCCCAAGCCCAGCTGCCATGAAGCAAACACTTGCTGCAGGTGGACTGGGGAAGCAGCCACTCAACTAGAACCATAGACGTGTCCCTGGCCGATGTACCTGTAGAAGCAGCATGTCCTGCAACACCATTGGGGCACATGTGAAACTACAAGAGCAGTGTTGGGGCGGGGCAGGGAGGGAGGGAGGGGGTAGGGCTGGGAGGCTGGCAAATCTGTTAGTTAGTAAAGTACTACATGGCCTGCAACCATCACCTGAAGCTCAGGCCTCTGGTTTCCTGTTTTTCAGACAAGGAAACAGGCTCACAGTTAATGTCACCAGGACACTAGATGGCAGAGTAGAGAGTCCAAGTGGCAGGATCCAAGGAGCCCCTGTAGCTGAACCCTAAGCCCCACACACATCCATCCATCTGTCCCAGGGCAAGTGGTAGAGAAAAGGGAGGCTGTGGATGGAAACAAGAGTCAGGTTCACAAGCTGGTGAGGGAGGCACAGATAAGAACTGGTCAACCTGGGGTGTTGCAGGCCCTGGGGCCTGCCGGGCCTGCCTGAATCTCTCCAGAGCCATATGGAGGTAGACTCAGATTCTTTATTCTCCTGATGAGGCCCCAGAGAACAAAAGTTGGGCCCAAACAATGGGCTCTGGTGTAACTTAAATACAATTTTAAAAACTGTTTGACAACTCACCTGGGTGCCAACAGCTCAAGCCTGTAATCCTAGCTACTAGGGAAGCAGAGATCAGGAGCACTGTTCAAGGCCAGCCTGGGCAAGTAGTCCTGAGACACTATCTCAAAAATATCCAGGACAAAAAAGGGCTGGTGCAGTGGCTCAAGTGGTAGAGCACCTGCTTAGCAAGTGTGAAGCCCTGACTTCAAACACCAGTGCTGCCAAAAAGTCCTATTTGACCACTAATTTTAAGTCTAAAATGAATTATTCTTCCTGGGGTCAGTCTGAAGTTGCCTTAATTGAATGCCAAGGACCTGTGGCACAACCCAGCCTTCATACCTGCATGAAGTTGAGGTTGTTGCTGTTTTGCATCTCAGCTCATCCAGGGACAACTGATTCCCCAGCTCAAGCAGGGCCTGGCTCATCTCATCCTATAAGGCCTCTACCTACCCAGCTCTCTGCCAAAGCAAGAGAGTCATTCACTACACACACAAAAAAACACTAAGTTGACAAAGGAAGTGGAATGTTGGCCTTGCACCTTTGGAAGGGCAGATGCTGTCCCTAGTCCTCAAGGACGTGTGACAGCGAAGGAACCTCACTTACAGGGCAGAGAACCAGGGAAGGTCCCTCCGGCTGAGAGCCTGAGCTCAGGATGATAGGCATCTGTGAGGTACGACGAGCAGAATCTCGTGGGAAATGTCACAGGCAATTCAAACCCATTTGGGGTGGGAGGGGACGAAATATCTCAGAGCTGCTTATGACCCTGCGGTCTTAACCACATTCCTACCCCAAGGGTCACGCATCCTCACACCCGCCCCAGGCCTCCTCTTGAGCTCAGTCAACGTGCCCAAGCTGCCAGAGTTTAGGATTTTATTTTAAAACAATAGTAAACAATTTTATTTTTCTTAAACCACCTCACACACGGCTTGTCTCAGGCAAAAAGTGGAAAATAAAAATACTAGAGGAGGGGTGGGAAATGTGGACACTGACCCACCACCCTAGATTCAGCCCTGGTCCTGTCTGGAATGGCTTTGGACACTGCCTCCAACAAACGAGAAAGGAAAGCACCAAAAGCTTGTGCTTCAGCAGCAGCTTAGGAACCACCACAAAGGGGGAAGGTTTCAAACATGGGTCCCAAAACTGTGTCTGGAAGTTCTGGAAACTTCCAAGAGTCTGGAAGCATCTCTCCACAAGTGTGCAGAGTACTCAGAGACGAGTCTCCTCCAAGATGGGCAGGTGGGGGGTCTGTGAGCCCACACCCACCTCAGGCTCAAGGGTGCCCCTGCACAGGTTCCCAGACCGTGTGGGTGAGCCGGGGAGGACTGGACAAGACGTTCAGAGCACAGGGAAGAGCAGGGGCTTCAGACACTCACACTGCACCAGCATCCCAGCTACTGGTTCCTTTGCATTTTGTTCGAAGGGGGATGAGGATGACTGCTACTGGATGGCTGGACAAAGGGAGCTGGAAACACTTGGGTGTGGCTCACCCACATGTGCAGGCTCTTTTGTCAGAAAGGAACTACTGTCTTGGGGACAGGGAACCAGAGAAAGCCCTTGTTTGTCAGGTTGATACGGGGAAGAACACAATGACAGCAGCTGCCAGACGCGTGCTCACTCGGCCCTGTCCCCAGACAACGAAACACTGGCGAGGTTCTAGAATGGCAACGGTGTCAGAGAGTGCATGGGTGCTTCCCTCCTCCTGGCCCCAGGCCACCTCAGGCCCACGGGGAGGCAGGCTGCCCTGGCTCAGGGTGAGCTGCCTGGGGAGCCCAACTAGGCCTCCCTACACAGGACAGCCACTGGTGAACAGGCTCTTCCCCCACCTCCAAAATCCTATCTGCCTTCGACAAAACCAAAAAATAAATAGTGTGGACTTTTCACTCCACCTGGAATTTCTGGCCCCGAGACCAGAGGCACAAGCCTCAATCCTCTACCCCATACCTGGTGCCCATGCCAAGGGCACTTTCTGCCCAGCTTGGGGCTGGCAGCAGCAGAGCAAGGGTCTCTGGCCATGTGGCCCTCAGGCAGCAGGCACTCCTAAGGTCCTGGATGAGGGGCTGGCTTGGCCCTTTGGTCCACCTTGTCCATTAAAATTAAAATAAGAAAAAAAAAGGCTCCACTTGGTGACTTGGGTTGGTAGAGGTCTCTGCCTCATTCCTCTGTCATTCTGTCCATCCTGCAGGGCATTGTACAGGTCAGATCTGGAAGCTGAACCCAGCCACGCCCACCAGTCACTGCAGTTTGGCCCCCAGCTTGCGCTGTCTGTTCCTGCAAGATGGGATAAGGTTAGGATAAGACAAGCAAGGCAGGAGGTATCTGGCTGACTCCATCTAATCACAGGGGCTCCCCTTTAGAGACAAGCCAGCCCAAGAAGGTCCACTGTTACCACCAAAACAGAATTGCAGGAAGGTATTGAGTGCTGCAACGTGGCAGGTATCGCAGCAAAGATAGGAGGACTGGTGGGAGTCACACAGGGATTTCAGCATCTAGTTTGGAGTGTTGCACATATCAACAATGGGCTCATAAACCTGAGGGGAGCAGGAATAATCACCTGGAATTACAGGTGTGAACCACCATACCCGCCCATCACCCCTATTTTCTAGAGGAGCCAACCACTGCTCAGAAAGAAGAACAAGCTGGGTGCTGATGGCTCACGCCTGTAATCCTAGCTACTTGACAAACTGAGATGGGATGATCGTGGTTAGAGCCAGCCAGTCAAATACTTTGTAAAACTTCACCTCAACCAACAGGTAGGTGCAGTGGCACACACCTGCCATCCCAGTCACATCAGGAAGCATAAAATAGGAGTACTGTGGCCCAAGCTGGCCTAAGCAAAAAGCGAGACTCTATTTCCAAAATAACCAGAGCAAAAAGGGCTGGAGATGTGGCTCAAGTGGTAGAGCACCTGCCTAACAAGTGTAAAGCCTCAAGTTCAAACGCCAATAATAAGGACAAAAAAAAAAAAGAGAGAGAGAGAGAATAGGGCTTGTCTAGGGTGCCTGTTAAAACCTAGAAACCTGGCTGTGACCTACACAGCCCTGTGAGATGTGACACTAGCCTTCCCCTCTTACTTCCTGGGCTCCAGCACAAACTTCTCTGCTCCAGAGCTTCATGAAGCCTGCTCCCTCCACTGGGAACCTCCCCCCGCCCCCCCCACCAGCCCCACTTCAGAGGACTGTTCTTTCCCATTGGTCCTGGGAGGCCAGCTGGACCATCTTGCCCCCACACTGGGCTCTGGTCACAAGCTCACAAGCCTTGGACCTTTGTTCGCAGCATGGATCACCCAGGGAGGTCCTTCACTCCTCGTGACTCCCTGCTGCTGTGTGCACCACGAAGGTGGCACCCTGGCTCTGGGCTCCATGCTCCCCTGCACATGGCCTGGCACAGAGCAAGTGCGCATGGAGTTAGGTAAATGAAAGCAGGTGGCAGTCATCCACGCAGGGCAAGGCAGGCTGGCCACACTGGGAGTCATGTGGAGAACTGGGCGGGGCCAGCGGGGCCTTCCTGCCTCTAATGGGATTGCCCCGCTTTACCCTTAAGCTGGTTAGGGTAATTTGGACCTTGAGGTACGAACACGTTCCCTAGCTGCCAGACACCCCACCCTGCCTGCCTTCCTGCTCCAGGGCTCCTCTCACCTCTCTTTGGAAAATCTCCCAGGCTCCTCTGGAGCCTGACCTTCCTCAGCTCCCCTCTGAACCTGGGAAGGGGCCAGCCCTACCCACTCCTGCAGTACCCTACCCAGGACTTGGGGTGAGCTGAGAGGAAGAGCATGACTCAGGACACTGAAAAGCCCAGCTTTGTCCTAACTTGCGGTGCAGGCTGGCCCCAACACAGTGTGCCTCGGTTAACCCAAGTAGCAGAAAGCACCTGGCTAAATAGCCTGGGGGACAGCCACACTCTCAGTGCTCTGAGAATCCCAGCAGCCCAGCTCTCTGGTTCTGCTCTGCAGAGCTTAAACGCAAGCATTCAGGAATGACAGCTCGTGACCTAGCCCTCTCACCACTATCTGAAAAATCTCAGGCAAGAGACTTCCCTTCTCTGTGAGCCTCAGTATTCTCAGCTGTAAAATGGGGGCCACAGGAGACTTCAATGAGACAATGCCACAAAAGTAAGCAAATGTCTGGCTCCTGGGAAGCCCTTCCAGTACGGGGACAGTAACGACTGCTGTCCCCTTACTCACCTGGCTTCTGCCCGGGTTACTGTGTACTCAAACCACAGTACATTAGGAATGAGGCTTGTGTCCCGGATTAGGAAGAACTCGGAGATAGGCCTGGAGAGACAGATACCCAAAAAGCCAGGCCACATCAGAGCATGAACCTGCCACCATCACAGATAGCTGCCCACCAGTTCCTAGGGCCAGCTCTGCATCACCCTTCCCCATTGCCAATAGGGTCTTTGCCTGGCCTGAGACCTCAGACCCACTGAGAGATCGAGTTGTGTCACCCATATCACCTCAGGCAAGGACACTGTTCCCACAGCCTGGCAGGACTCTGACTACTTTCTAAGTCACTGAGAGCCTAAGCAAGGGCAGAGGGTGGCACTCTGGCTTCTGGGCCTGAGGAGAACCCGTGACTCCTATGACAAGCCCCTAGGAAGGAGGAAGTCAGGCCGGTGAGCCCTGAAGTCTCATGCCACCAGAGGCCTGTCACTGAGCCCTCCCACTGGTGGCTACGCCCGCAGGAAGGGGCAGGCCACAGCTCTGGGAAGGCAGAAGGGACATGAGCCGGTTACCAGGCTGCTATCCTGGGGAACAGCGGGGTGAGGACTTCCTGGGTGAAGATGAACCAGGCGATGGCCATAAGGCTTCCAGCGATGCCCCCGTAGAGCACCTGGCTCCAGGTGTGGTACAGCAGGTAGACCCTGGGCCAAGGCCAGAAGGGAAGTCCATGAGAGCCAGCCAGGGACAGGCAGGCCTGCACACTCCCCATGCCTTAGGGCCAGCTCCCCAGGGACCTGTGTGCACACATATGGAGACAAGTGCAAACAGGACAGGCTCCCAGAAACAGCCTCAGCTCCATTTCTAGAAGAAGGCAGGACATTAGACCCCAACAGCTGTTCCCATCTGGCTGGGATCTACCTCCCTCCTGTTCAGCCCTTAAACTCTGAGCTTGTCTGCAAGGAGCTCCTCCAACTAATCCTTGGAGCTTTCCCCAGAATCATGGCTCACTGGCTGGGCTAAACAGGAAAAATGGAGCCTGTCTCTTAAAACTAGAAGTCTAGGGCCCTTTCCCAGCGGGGGCCAACAAGGAACAAGAACCCAACAGGACTGCATGTGGGCAGGGTGCAGAGTGGGGCTCTCGCTCCCTCCATACCTGCTGTAGGAGACTAGAAAGGCTGCAGTGAGGAGCCCCAGGGAGAGCACATGCCTCCACAGCAAGTCCAGGAACCTGGCGTTATTCGTTTGGTGCATTCTGGGAAAATAGGCCCATCAGACAGCCTCAGCTCACAGCCTTGGGTCCAAGCCTCCCAAATAGCCCCTGGCCCCATCCAAATGCTCCCACGGTCTTGTGCCTCAGTGCAGCTCCTCCCACCCCAGGGTTATCCAAAGGACTAGTAGTGAGTCCCCAGTAGAGTCCAGCCTGGGTCAGTTCAGGGCCAGCCCAGCTGAGACAAAAGCCTACCTTAAATACAGGAAAAGGAAGGAATAGACAGAGAAGAACCACATAAACTGGGAATGGCTGGAGGGCATCCCGTACTTAGTGCCCACTGCTGTGTGGGGGCCTGGGGGAGAAAAGAGACCAGGACATCACCAGAGGACACAGGCCTCCCAGCCATGCCCCAACCAGGGGAACCCCAGACCCTTGCAGCCCAGCCCTACCTCCACAGGGCCGAGGCTCCTGGATGACGTGTTTGATCAGCCAGTTGACCCCTTCATTCAGTGCCAGGCCCCCAAGGAATGAGATCTGTCCAGAGAACATGTGCAGTCAGTCAGCTGGGCCTCTGTGAACATGCTAGCTGTGCCCAGTCCCAATGACTGCACCCAGCCAGCAGGCTCCAGACCTCCAGACAGGTGGAGGCAGAGAGGGGAAGGCAAAGCAGATGGGCTTTGCAGGATGGAGGCACTGCGGGCGGCAGAGGGAATAGGTGGGAACAGACTTACTGTGTGTAGTTCCCGCTTGAATATGATGAGGGTCACAAAACCAACGATGACAAAAATAGGGCTGAGGCTCAGGTAGGCAAGGAGGTGGCCAGAGAGATCACCTGCAGGAGACAGAGGAAGAGGATAAGGACAGGGCACAAGCTTCAGAAGACAGCCAGAGCCCTGGAGCTCAAGTAGGGCCTGGGCCGAAAGGAGGTTACAACAGGTCCTAGAGCCCAGGCCATAGCTGTGGACACCCAGTTGACCAGCTGACCATACTGACCGAGCCCCGTGTATAACAGGAAACTCAGACACCATAAACTTAAAGCAGGTGCTTCTACTGTCCTATTTGTATAAATGAAGGACTGAGTCCCAGAGGGGCTGTCACTTGCTCAGAGTCACATAGCCAAAGAGCTCGGACCTGGATGATACGATACCCACCACCCAGCCCCAGCAGGAATCTGAACCCTTCTTGGTTTGACCAGAGGCAGGCCCTGCACAGGGAGGTGGCAGAGCACGTATGAGGGAGCCTCTGTAGCCACAGTGCCACGCTGGGCCTTTGGAGAAGTCTGTCACTCTCTGGATACCACCCAGACTTGGGTCCACACTGAGGACTGACAGGGCCAAGCCTGACATGGCCCCCTGCCACAGTGAACAGCTTCTCACTGCTTCTCCATGGGCAGACATTGCTACCTAGTGGCTACTTGGTTTTACATTTCTAACAACCTGGATGGAGGCAGTATGTGGACCCCTGGCCAATCTGAGAGAGGGGGACACCGAAGCCAAGAGATGAGAGCCACTTTCTCCTCACCCACAGGCAAGGCCAAGTCCAAAGGCCAACCTTGCCATGTGAGACAAGGTGTCTGACTATGTGGCCATTTTGGGGTCAGAGGGCAGGGCACGGTGCTGCCTGCATAGACTCGGAAAGGATTTCGCCTCCCTGGGCCTCAGTGTGCTCTCCTGGGGGAGGGGCTATTTGTCCCTCTCTCACAGCTCTGTATGCAGACTGATACGATGGAGCCTGTGGCACACCCGCTCTGCTTCCACACTGGGGCTCATGCAGAAGCTGGGAGAGCCCAGTGTGGGAAATGGCTCACACCACCAGCCTGGGCTCACACAAGCAACAGGAAGTCACCCACAGAGGGCTGAGCGCAGATTCCAGGCCTGAAGAGGTGGGTGCCCCTACCCAGAGCACTGACTCACAGTTGGCCTGAGAGAAAGGGTAGTGAGCTGGGCTCAAGTGCAGGGGCTGCCACTGTCCCACTAGGTAAAACTCAGTCCCTTCCCCTTTTATTTATTTATTTATTTATTTTTGAGACGGGGTCTGGCTAGGTAGCCTGGCCTCCCACTGTGTTCCTTTTGCCTCAGTCTCCTGAGTGCTGGGACTACAGGCCTGCACCACCATGCCCGACAAACCCCTTCCTTTCTTTGAGCCTCTGTCTTCTTCCCATGCATCCCATCCCAGTCCTGAGGTTCTGGCTGTCTTTGCTACCCAACTGACAACTATGGCACTGAACTGGGAGGAGAGGGAGGGTTGGCACCTAAACTTTTGGCCATCTCAGCTTGTCCTGCAGCAGGCACTATCCGGGGGCTTTCCTGCATACTGGCCACATCACTCTCTGACCCAAGTCTCTCCATGGCTCCCACTGCCCTTGCAATGTTTTCCTTAGCCCAGCTCCCCAGGCTCCGCTTCCCTCCCACCCTCTGCTCCAGTTCCAGGGACAGAACTCTGGCTCCTTGAACACACTGTGCTCTGTCCTACTTCTGGATATTTGCACACATGGTTTCCCCACCTGGGATGCTGCTTAGCTGAATGTAAATGACAAAAAACATAAATTAAGTGCCCACCAGAGGCAAAAAAAAAAAAAAAAGACATGCAACCCAGTGTGGCAAAGCTCTCAGTCTGGTGGGGGAGTCTGCAATTACAACATGGCTCGTGATCTGCCAGTTAGTTACCAGGCCATTACTGTCTCTCCCTCTATACTGGAGGCCCCAGGAGAGGAGTGACAGTGTACATCCCACTCTACTCCCCAAGCCCAACACAGAGCCTGACACTTCACCAGATTCAACAACCCTATGAAATGATGGATACGGGAAGAAGTCTAGTGTGCTGAGGGGTACAAAGAGGATCCCAGAAGTGTTTGGAGGAGACTGATCTCACCAGATGTCCCCAGGCTCAGCCAGGCCCCTCATCACAGTCATATCTATCATGGTGCACCCAGCTCCTAGCCTCCTTGCCTGTAAGATGGTGAACACTCAAGAAGCTACTCTGAGGCCAGGGAGGAGAAGTCAGGAAGGTACTGAGGCTTTAGCCAAGTTCCTCCCCCTCTGCAGGCCTTGGTTTCCCTCCTATAAAGCAGATATTTTCCACAAAGCATGAGTGCAGGGACCTACTGAGCCGGTTCACTCTTCTAAACCCTGGGCTGTCCAGTGAATCCTGACTGACTGAATGAGTGGGTGGCAGGCAAGCAGGTAGGGCCTGGAACCTGCCAGGCTACGCCACCCCCAGTATAACCCAGAGTACTCAAAATTCACTAGCATGCAGTCCTGGTGCCCTCAGCCGGGCTGGTTCTCACGTCCCTGCCCAAAACAGCTGTAAGAGCAGACCCTTCCTGAACAACTAGGAGGGTCAGTGAGGGTCCCCAGGCTCACCTGGCCCTCAAACATCCCACCCAGGGAGGGGCCTGTAGGGAAGGGGGGTACCACTAGCTGCAGGTATTCACTGGGTGTGTACTGCGTGCTAGGCACCGCGCCCAGCACTCCTCTGGCCTGCTGTCATCTGATTCGCACACCATCATGGGAGGCAGGCACTGTGTCTAGTGCCACTTTGGAAATGGGAGTGACTGGGGGGTGGGGGGAAGCACCTGCAGGAGGCCTCAGCCTGAACTGGGGCCTGGATACGTCTGATCCCAAGCTCGGCACCACTCTACTAGAAATCACTGCTAATGGACCTCCCCCAGTGGAGAGCTGGGCGCTCCTTAGGGGTGTGTCTGATGGAAGCTCTAAGTCAAGATCCCGGGGCCGCCTGCTTCCTCGGCGGGTGCGCTGTGCTCTGCTGCTCAGGGCGTGGCACCACCACACTCTCAAGCCTGGCCTCAGTTTGCACACTCCCTGCAACAGGGAGCGCTTTCTGTAACACGCAGCCCGAAGCACTGGCTGAAGGAAACTGGCACTCCCTGCGCGCCGGAGGGAGAGGGCGGCCACTCAGGCTCCGAGGAGGGCGGGGCAGAAGGGCCAAGGTCCAGGTCAGGAATCCTTTCCGTCCTCCTGCAGACCCCCGGCCCCATTACAGCCCACCCGGGACCCGGGGGAGCGCCCCGGCCGCGCAGCCGCAGAGTGCGCGAGCGAGCGGCTCACAATTTCGCCCAGCTCATCGCCGCCCCACTGCGCCTGCGCGGCGCGCGCGCCGGCCGAGCCCCTCCATGGCTCACTATTTGACAGTTCCCACCCGTGTCTCTCGGCGCCCCCTTCGCGGGCCCGCGCGGACCGGAAAGTCCGGGACTCAGGGGCCGGCCCCAGGAGGGAGTCCTCGCAGCCGGGGCCGCCTTTTACCTGCAGGATATTCGACGTGGGTGAGGGTCACCGGCCGCCATGAAGCGGGGAGCGAGCACTGTCCGTCCGCTGCCATCTTACCCGGAGACCGGGCTTCGCCGAGCAGCCAATGGGGAACCAGGGGGGCGGTGGTCCTGACCTATCACGCTGGGGAGGCGCCACGCACCCAATCGGAGGCCGGTACAGGTAGTGGCGCAGCCATTCAGCGTGCAGGCTGTTTGGCTGACTCGAGCAGCGAATCAGAGAACAGGACCTCTAGGAGCCTGTGAGCCTGCCCAGCCAGCACCCAATCCGGGGAGAGCGCAAGTAGTTGCTTGGCCAATCGAGAAAGGGGAGGGTTCCAACTCAGAACAGAGAGCAGAACAGCCAATCAAAAGGTTAACCTGGCTCAAAGTGTGGGCAAGAGGAGCCAATCACCGCTCGCTTGGGGGGCGTGTTGTACTTTGGTGGGAGCTTTGGTTCGGCTGGGACTTGCTCCGAGTGAAGGCTTCCCGGGTACCTGGAGTGCGCGCGCTGTCGCCGGGAACCTCGGCACCACTGATTCTGAACCGACCCTCTTTTAGTTATGAGTAAACCGAGGCCAAAGACCCAGGGCGACTTATTTTTCTCTGATCGGCGGAAGGTCAAGTTGGAACTTGACAGCCGTTTTTGTCAACAGGGCTTGGGTTGGGAGGGAACTCCTGGGGCGGAGGGGCGCACACCGGTACCCTAAACGCTTTACAGGATGGAAGCTTCAGGCTCAGGACTCCTTCCTTCGTTCATGTAACGAAGATTTATTAATTCAGTCATATTTATGCATCTTAATGAGGCAAATTGGGAGCATGTTAAAACACAAATTCAGAACTAGGCGCCGGTGGCTTCTGTCTGTAATCCAAGGGTGGCTGAGATCGGCAGGTTCTAGGTTCCAGACCAGCCCTGGCAAATAGTTCACGAGACCCCCATCTCCAAAATAACCAGAGCAAAATGGACTGGAGGTGTGGCTCAAGCAGAAGAGGGCCTGCTTTGCAAGCGCAAGCCCTGAGTTCAAACCCCAATCCCACCAAAAAAAAAAAAAATCCCCAAAAAAGGTCAGTTTCCCACCTACCCTTCGTTTTTCCTAAAACATTCCCGATTAACAGCCACACCTTCGCAGCCACCCCTCCCTCTCTTTCTCCAGCTAGACGGAATTACAGTGCAGGGGAGGCGCTTCTGTTCCCTAGCTTCTGCACGTGCTGCCCCGCCACTCGGAATGCACCACCCCTCCAGTCTCACTTTGGCGAAATCTGGCTCAATGTGTGTTCATGCAGGTTTCCATGGTTAAGTGAGGGGCCACCAATGCGCTCCCACGCGCGCACCCCCTTCCCTACCTCAGCCCTGGCACATGGACTGTAACCGGTTCCTTGGCTGACTCTGCCAGGAAGCAATGACTCTATTTCATGGAGAACCAACCTCAGCATATAGACCCAGCAAATTCCTGGGTCCCCCTGGAGCTGGGTTGACCCAGCAGGGCTGGCTTGGAGCCTTGGCCTCTACAGTCTTCTGCACTCTGGGGTTTTTGATACAGGTGGTTTGTACCCCATCTGGAAGAGCCCTGGGCAACATCTCTGCTCCTGGCCCAGGCCAGACCTAGAACAAGTGTTTGCTAAGTGACATAATGCTTGTGAGGTGGAGTGGGGGTAAACGAGGGAATCCACTGACCAGAGTGGCTCACAATGCCAGCCTGCCCTACTGTGGGCTGACCTGGGTGAGCTGGGGACATGACGGTGACTCAGAACCCACCAGGGGGTAAATGGATGGAATTGGAGAACATCATTCTGAGTGAGGTTAGCCTGGCCCAAAAGACCAAAAATCGTATGTCCTCCCTCATATGTGGACATTAGATCAAGGGCAAACACAACAAGGGGATTGGACTTTGAGCACATGATAAAAGCGAGAGCACACAAGGGAGGGGTGAGGATAGGTAAGACACCTAAAAAACTAGCTAGCATTTGTTGCCCTTAACGCAGAGAAACTAAAGCAGATACCTTAAAAGCTACTGAGGCCAATAGGAAAAGGGGACCAGGAACTAGAGAAAAGTTTAGATCAAAAAGAATTAACCTAGAAGGTAACACCCACGCACAGGAAATCAATGTGAGTCAATGCCCTGTATAGCTATCCTTATCTCAACCAGTAAAAACCCTTGTTCCTTCCTATTATTGCTTATACTCTCTCTACAACAAAATTAGAAATAAGGGCAAAATAGTTTCTGCCGGGTAGCGAGGGGGGAGGGGGGAGTGGAGGGGTAAGGGAGGGGTGGGGGAGGGGGGAGAAATGACCCAAACATTGTATGCACATATGAATAAAATAAAAACTAAAAAAAAAAAAAGAACCCACCAGTGGGTCAGGAAGATCCCTTCACCCAGCTCAGCTTGTCTAGCCTCCTCCTTCCCAGGTCCCCAGCCAGCCTGTGCTTGTTGGAGTCAGCTGGCCTCACTTCCTTGTCACCTGTCTTCTGCTACTTCAGGCACTGCCATTATCAGCCTCTGAGAAGCAGGATGTGTGAGGAGCAGGCCACAAACTTCCCAGAATAGTTCTCTGGACCAGGCAGCCATGGCAGATGTGCTGCCCCTCCCAAGTAGGCCCAGAAAAGGAAAGTCCTCCACATGTTATCAGACCCCAGAGCTCAGCTCCTGGGAGGACATTCCTGAGGAAGTGACAGGAATGAGGAACCTCAAAATGAGTGGGAGTTTGGGGTCGTGTTTCCTGGCAGAGGGAGCAGCATAAGCCACTGGCCCAAGATGGACTGCAGCTGGATGAAATAACCCAAAAGGAGAGAGGGGAGTGAGGCACTGGTGAAGAGTAGGTCAGCACCCGGCACCTAAGGCTTTCAGGGCACTGCTGGTCCTGAGGATGGTGGTGGAGGGGAGGTGGAAACTCTGATGGTTGGGTGAGTTGTCTGGTTTGGTTTTGCTTTTGTTAAAAAAAGAAAAAATTAAATACAACATTTAGCCTGGCATGTTAGCATACATTTGTAATCCTAGCACTTGGGAAGCTGGGAGGCAGAGGTAGGAAGATTGCTAGTTTGAAGCCAGCCTGGGCTTCAGGAAGCCCTGTCTCAGGTAGGTGCATAAAAGAGAGAAAACGCTATATATGTGTGTATCATACAGAAAATTTCAGAAATCAAATGTATATAACTTGATGCAGTGTCACAAATTAGACATACTAAGGGGCCCCCAGATAAGGAACCAGGACCCCAGGAGTCCTGACACCCCCTCAGGTCACCCCAGGTGATTCCTAACACCGTACATTAGACAGGTCGGGTGTCGCAGCTTCTGTAGGAAGACTCCTACAGCACGTGTTGTTGTGACTTCTCTCACTGAGCGCTGTGAGAATTGTGCGTGCTGTGGCCGCTGGCTAAAATCTGTCCCGTCATTGCTGTGTGATGTCCCACGGTGCAGACACACTGCAGTGTACTTCCTGTGCCATTCTTGAAGTACATTTGGGGTGTCTCCAGGCTTGGGGTGTTACACTAGTGCTGCTGGGACTATGGTAGCTATCTTGGGTTTGGACTGCATTGCCCTTCCCAAACAGGCCTTCAGAGGCAGTTGCTGTGCTTGTCTTTGGTTGCATTTTTTTTAAGTAGTACTGGGATTTGAACTCAGGACCTTGCCCTTACTAGGCAGGCATGCTACCACTTGAGCCACATCCCCAGTCCTTTTTTTTTTTTTGCTTTAGTTTGTTTTTCAGTAGGGTCTCATGCTTTTGCCCAGGGCAGCCTTGTACCTTGTACTTCAGCTTCCTGCATAGCTGGGATTATGGCCATGTACTACCATGCCCAGCTCCTATAGATACATTTCTGATGGAGATGCTCCTAGGAGCCATTGCAGGGCCTCTGAGATGACATGGTCAGACTATCTGTATGGACAGGGGGGCTGGGCATTGCAGGTGAACATGTGAGGAGCCCAGTCTCCGCCCTCCAAGCTCAGGGATGTCTCTCTGGGCATCCTGTGAGCTGTTCCATCCTTAGGCTCTCCTATTACCTTCAAGCAGCCAGGCAAAGCAGCTCTTTTTTTTTTTTCATTTTTCTTTTATTATTCATATGTGCATACAAGGCTTGGTTCATTTCTCCCCCCTGCCCCCACCCCCTCCCTTACCACCCACTCCGCCCCCTCCCTCTCCCACCTCTCAATACCCAGCAGAAACTATTTTGCCCTTATTTCTAATTTCGTTGTAGAGAGAGTATAAGCAATAATTGGAAGGAACAAGGGTTTTTGCTGGTTGAGATAAGGATAGTTATACAGGACATTGACTCACATTGATTTCCTGTGCGTGGGTGTTACCTTCTAGGTTAATTCTTTTTGATCTAACCTTTTCTCTAGTACCTGTTCCCCTTTTCCTATTGGCCTCAGTTGCTTTAAGGTATCTGCTTTAGTTTCTCTGCATTAAGGGCAACAAATGCTAGCTAGTTTTTTAGGTGTCTTACCTATCCTCACCCCTCCCTTGTGTGCTCTCGACAAAGCAGCTCTTAATGTGCCCAGTTCATAGATGAGAACAGTGAGGCTCAAAGCATGCAGCCATTTGCCATGGCACCTGGCAAGTATGTGATAGAGCCAGCATTTGAGCCCTGCTCTACCGAACTACCAGCTGCTCCTCCCACTGCCTAGTGGGTTCCTTTACAAGCCTAGAACAAGGGCTGCTTATTGCCTCTGGCAGCAAGTTCACAGAGAGCATGACTCTGAGGTTAAAGGCACCACAGTAACTTCACATATCCCACCACACTGGTTTGTGGGCAAAGCCACAAGCCCTTAGGAAACTCTTCTCCCAGCCTGTTCCCCTGCAATGTGACAGGCCCTGTCCTCTGGGTCAGAAGTCCATTTATTCTTTCAGCAAATACTTGAGCTCCTCAGCAGAGCTAAGCCACATATGGCCTCTGGGATACAGAAAGAACCTGGCCAGCCTGGGCGCTGCCTCCCTGAAACTTCTATTCCATGGAGGCTGTGGGTCCCAAAGATGCCAGTTTTCTAGAAAGACAAACTACTGTCTAGCAAGCACAAAGCCCTGAGTTCGAAACCCCAGTACCACCACCCCCCAAAAATTTATCAGACTAACTAGAAGTAAGTGTTGGTTGTCAAAACGTCTGAGAGGAGCCATCCATTGTGTGTGTCACTTAGAAGCTTCTGGAAGCTTGAGGTTCCACACACTAAGTTCCTGAGACAGAAATAGTCAAACCCATCCCTGGGCTGCATGCTCCTATTTTGTGGTGTTTGCTGATTTCCCAGGAGTAAATAGTCTCTCCCAGGGTCACGCCAAGCTGCCACCAGGACGTAACTCAATGGGGAGATGTAGATGGCGACGGTTGCCTCACCCACCTGGGTGGGCACACAGCTGCATCACACAGGGAGTGTAAGGAAAATACCTGGTGGACAAGCAAATAACCATTTCTCAACTGTCCTGTCCCACTCGTGACAGTCCTGAAAACCATTTGTATTCTAATTAAAACCTGTTTGCTGAGTGCTGGGTGTTGAATTCCACCACAGGCCAAGCACTACACACTCCAGGATCTCAACCACATCACCCTCCCTACAATTGCATGGGCATTGCTCCCATACAGGTACAAAGGAAGCAAGCCCATGACTTCCTTTCTCATGACTTTGGAATACAAGTCCAAGGTTAGGGGTCTGAGGCAATGGATGGAGGAGCACTGGGCTGGGGCTCCATCTTGAGGCTGCCACAGACCAGCTGGATGCACTGGTCTGGTTCCCCTCAAGCTCCACTGTCATCAGTGAGGGAGCTGGGCTCAAGTTACCTACTGCCATCCCAAGACCTGGCACTTAAATAGCCATTGGAGCTTTATGCTAGGCATTGATCTGCATTCCTGCCTGGCCCACTGGGCCACTCATGCAGCTGCTGACTCAGCTGGGCCCAAATGGCCTCCCTTGAGCCTAGCAGTGGATGTTGAGCTTACAGGGCATTGTGTCATGCTTTGAGAAGTGCTCAAAGACTGGCTGGCTGGGTGGCTGGCAGGGGCTCCTGGTGGCCAGATCTGTGACTGAGCATCAAAGGAATGATTGTAATGCACCAAAATGCCAAAATAATTAAAAACCCATGGCCCCTCCCTGTGTCTTCCTGATTCCTGTCCGCCAGGAACCTCTGTCTCACCAAATGTGGGCCCAGAAGTAATGGAGCTAAGTGATCATGGGCTGAAACCTCTGAAACTGTAAGCCAAAATAAACCTTTCCTGCTTAGAAAACAACCAACCATGAGTACATAGCACTACTGAAAAAGGTGTAGTGGTACATGCTTTTAATCCCAGCACTTTGAGGGTGAAGCAGAAGGATCAGAATTTGAGGCCACCCTGGGCTACAGAGAGGAACTTCGTCTCAAGCAACAAACAAAAAAACCCAGTTCATTTGTGAACATTATGCAACAACAAAATAAACTACTATCTGCTGTAAAATGAATGAATCTCAAAAACATTATTCTACCTGAGGAAGTCAAAACCCAAAGACCACATATTGTATGATTCCACATACAGAAAATGTCTAGAAACAAGTCTAGAGAGAAAGAAAGTACACTGGCAGTGGCAGTCTACACTACCAGTTTACAGTGAGTGCAAGGGATTCTTGGGGTGACAGAAATGTTCTAAAACTGTATTGTAATAGTTGGTACACACCTCTGTAAACCGACTGAAAATCACGAAAGCGAGGCATTTTATGGCCTACAATTACACCTTAATGAGGCTCTCTAAACCAACCAACCAAAACAAATGCTCACTTGCCAGCACTGGAATGACTACTTCAGCTCGCCTGCACACTCAGTGAACAGACAGACTCCAGTACAGATCCTTCTTAGATGAACTGGATCCAGCCCCACCCTCTTGAGCAGGAAAGTCCCAGAAGACATGGGAGCGTCACCGACAGTGTTTCAGGTGCGACTATTGTGGTCACGCTGGAGAACTAGCTGATGTCTGAAACTTACTCTAAAACATCTTGGAAAGGAAAACTTCATAGTGGCAGCTGAGTACAGCCAGTAAATTTTTTTTTTTAAATAATACATGTATGAAAGAAAAATGGCAAAAATGTGAATTACTGCCTACAGGTGTTGATTTTAGGGGCATTCTTTGTAGCTTCTTTTTTTTTTGTGGTACTGGCATTTGAACTCAGGGCCTACACTTTGAGCTACTCCACCAGCCCTTCTTTGTGATGGTTTTGAGATATAGGGTCCAGTGAACTATCTGCTCATGCTGTTTTTGAACTGTGATCCTCCTGTTCTCTGTCTCCTGAGTAGTTAGGATTACAGGCGTGAGTCAGAGGCACCAGCTTCTTTATAGCTTTTTGAATTTTGTTTTACAGGACTGGAGCGCCCAGGGACTTAAACATGATAGGCAGGCACCCTACCACTGAGCCACACTCCCAGTCCCCAAATTTCTTAGTTTTTTTTAAAGACCTTTCAAGTCAAACTTGTGATTTTTAACATGACAACCCATGAAGACTTGATAATGTGGGGTCTGCTTTGTTCCCACCAGTGCCCCCTGCTCAGATCCTGAGCCTGGAAACCTGGGCCCAGTCCAATACCTACAGTTCACAGATGTGGAACTGAGGCCCAGAGAGAAGCCCCCTCCCTGTGATGGTTCCTGTGCTGGATCCAAGCGTGCCCACCTCACCTGGGCCACCCACTTCATGTCTGTGCTCGAGCACTACGCTCAAGGGGACATGTAGACTGTCAGGCTGCCACATGGCCCCAAGATGGATCACAGCCCTCAGCAGTCATGGAACCTCTACCCACTGCACCAAAGAGCAGGTCCCCAGAAGCAAACAGCAACCCTCTGCCCAGCAGCACAGCACCGCATGAGGTTGTTTCAATTGTTTATTTGACTCACAGCCGAGGCACACGCTCCAACAGAGTTGGAAGCTGCAACAGATTGCGTGCTAGAGGCAGTGCGTGGATGTGTAAACAAGGACAAAATGAAAACCCACTTGTGTGTGATTCAGGGGCAAATCAGAGCAGGCCTTGGTGTGCAAATGAATGGAATGTTGGGATGGGTGGAAGAGGGCTGCTCCCTCCCAGCATCGGCCTCAGACAGGGGGTCTGGAGCCAGAGTGATGCTAGCGCCCATGGCTCCTTCAGTCTCTGGACAAGGCTCATGGATGACAGATCAGGCCCAGCATCTCCTCATTGTGCCCTCCTGCCCCTGGGAGCCATTCCTGTTCTGAGGGACCTGGTCCCAGAAGCCAGTGCTTAATTCCAGACTGGAAAACCAGGCGGAGTCTTTTCTCCTGAAGGTCTCGCAACCTGGAAGGGGCAGACCTCCACATAAAGTGTTAAGGCAATAAATAAAATTTCCTGGCTCAGGCAAAAACACTGGCAGAGACGTGAGTCTGTAGGGCTGGCAGGACCCCTGCAGCTGCTGGGACAAATGCTAACAGGACTGTCTGCAGGACCAGCAGGACAGCACCAGCCCTGAGGCAGGCTTCCTGCCCCTTCGCAGCTCCAGAGCGTTTGTGCGTTGAGTTGAAGGCAAACTGCTGGGCGTGATTTCTTGTCCTAACGAGGGTGGAGAAGCTGGTCCAGCTGTGTGTATCCTCTGACCCACCCTCCCATGGTCCCTATGACCCTCATTCCTGCAGCCACTGATGGCAGCACAGGTGATGGGCCAAGTGACCCTTGGTTAAGAGTCCCCAGCTCCAAGCCTAGCACCGCCCAGGGAGTTCTGGGCTCACAGGAGGAGGTGGGTGGGAGTAGTGGTGCCAAGTCCCACCTCCTACATCTTTGGTGGTGGCAGAGGTGGGAGGAGAAATGAGTCTTTGGCAGGGTGCAGGAATGTGGTGGACAGGGACCTGGGTTGGTGCTTTAATTTGTCAAGGGCCAGACCCTGCCTAAATGTGAACAAAGGGAGAGGAGGTCCACCTCTGTACTACCTCTGGATAGCCAGGCCTGCAGCCACAGGGTATCCCACACCCACTCTCTACAGCTGCAAACTCTTTAGGGAGGTGAGTAGGGTGGGGATCTTCTGCACTAGTTGGTGGACAACCGATGCAGGCTGCTGCCAGCTCAGGACCCCATGAGCTTTATCAGAGAGTCCTAGCTAATCCCATCCTTCACCTCCCCCCTCCTAGCCCCCTTGTCTGCAGCCCTAGGGGTGGGAGAGGTCAGAGATTCTGGCGTCCCACACCCAGAGCACCCAGCTCCTCCTGTCCCAATTCTTCGCACCTTCCTTTCTCACTACTTTCCTGCTGGCCCCTGGCCTGACCTCTGCTTCCCCAGGGACCTCTAAGGACAAGCCGGGCTACCTCTAAGGGTTTCAGCCCTCTCCGTGGACATTTTCCCTCCCAGACAAGGGAGTGGGACAAGCTCAGGGGCAACTGCCCTGGGCCACCATGGACCTAGGATGCCAACCCAAAGGAAGGGGGTTAGCCTCCTCTCCGCTGTCACTCATGTGCGCAAGGTGCAGGCAGCTGCCTTCCCCTTCCCTGTGCCTGCCACTACTGCAACTCTGCCAGGGGCCCATTTTCCCTGGGCAACGCCCCATTCAGGCCAATGCTGCTGGCTGTTGGTGCCCCCAGGTAGCCCAGCAGGATCTCACTGCGGCGCCGAGACAGCTGCAAGATGTCGTCTGCCAGTGCTGGCACCGAAGCGTAGCGCACGTGATCCGGGTCGAACATGTCCCTCAGGTAGTACACAATCTGGTGCTGGGGACAGTGCAGGTATTGGTCTGGGCCCCCAGGATGTTCTCCACACCCCATAGTCTCCTTCTCAACCCTCACCCTCAGGCACCTCCCCACCCAGTGTCCTCTCTGGACCATTCCTCTGGGAGCAGCCCAGCCCTCATTCCCCCACCGACCCCCTCAGGGCTCGGGGGCTGGAGCTGCTCCCGTGTACCTTGAAGAATGCACAGACTTCAGCCAGCTGGGGCTTGGGTCCAAGGAAACCAAAGGCCAGAACAGGGCTAACGTGCTCCGATACGGAGTAGAAGTGGGAGATGAAGCCATCGGGCACCTGTGGCAGGTGGTAGAGCTAAGGAACCATGTTGGGGTCTGGGAACATGAGGGCTGCCAGGCCCTGGGAGTCATCTAAAGGCTCCTTTATGTCCTGGCTAGATCACCCTGGGCAAGTGACTTGAGCTTTCACAGGCCTGGTTTTCACTTCTGCAGAAAGTGAAAGGGGGTGGGGAGGGGGGGAGAGGCACTGTGAAAACTGCAAGAGGCAAGACCCTGGGTAGGTTCAGCAAGGAAGCACCCTGACACTGGCTACAGCAGCTGGTGCCAGCTGGGCAGCAGAGCCTGGTGGGCAGAGAGATGCGATGCATCACAGCTCAGACAGTGCAGCCAGCTGGGCTGGGCAGAAGGAGGGACTCTGCCTGCTGCCTGGGCATCCCACTGGTTGCTCATAGTCAGCCCACTCATGAATACAAGCCCCACCATCCCTGGGATGCCCTTTCCCCTAAGTCTTTGGACATGTGTTGATGGCTTGCTCTGGGCCAGGCCCCAGGGGAGGAGACAAAGTGGATCTACATGACCTTTGGAGAACTCCTGTCCAAGGGAGAGGCAAGGGAAGGACAGGTGGCTTGTGGGAAGTGAGAAAGGTTGACAGTGTCTCAGGGCCTGGGAGCCCCAGGAGGCCTCCCTGCACCAGACCCTTCCTTGCCCACTATGCCCTGACGAGGGCCACAAGGGGAATGCGGACCATATTCAGGGCCTCGACAAGCCCCAACCCGGGGTCTGGCTGGCTACTCACCATAAGGAGTCTCCTCTTGGCTTTCAGGACCGACCAGCAAGCAGTGGCCAGGGCCTAAAGCAGAGATGGGCCCCCACTCCAGGGTCAGAACAGGCCCCCAGCTCCTACCAACCCTTATCTACAGCTCACCCCCTACCCCCCAACAGGAAGACAGGGCTCACTGCCTGAGCTCTGCTGTTTCTCTCCCCTAAATCTACAATCAGGCACACCTGTACTTGAATCTGCACTCTAACCCTTACTGCTGCAGGTCTCCAGACTAAGTGCTGACCTTCTCTAAGCCTTAGTTACCTCCTATGTAAAATGGCCATTACGTGGCACCTTGTCTGGGGATTGTGGAGAGCCACAATGACCATCTGTCTATAAACTGCATAGCTGAAGCCAGCCTAGCATGGCATGGCTGCTGGAGTATTACAGCTGGCCCCTTCCACCTTCCTCAAAGGTGTTTTGGTGGATTTTCCCTAAACTTAACTGCATCAAGACTGCATTAAACCAGAATGAGACTGATGCCAGCTCAAGCAAGCCTGCCTAGGGAAAACAGAGTGTGGAGGAAATGTTCACCCTGCCAGGTCAGAACTGGGCGTGAGGAGCACGAGGATACCTAGAAGGACCCCCCAGGCCTGGCAGTCCCAGGTCTCAGGAGTGAGGGGAAGCCCAGGAGCTGCCTGATAGGTACCCCAGCAGGCATGGCAGAAAGGGACCCAAGTGGCTTCCTGGGATTGTGAGACATGCGTGTGTGGGAGGGGGATGATGGCCCACCGTCTCTTTGAAGCTGTCCGACAGCCAGCGGTTCCGCAGGACGGCGAGCACCGAGGATGGAGGGTTCTCCAGGTCCTCGAAGGCATCCATGAGGATGAAGTCAAGCACGATGTCAAAGAAACTCATGCACACTACCTGCAAGGGGGCTGTGCCTGAACCACCACGCACGTGGGCAGGCTGAGGGAGGGGCCTGGGCGTGACACATGAGGGTGTACTCTCCTCTGCTCTGCATGAGGTGTAGCTGAGGCTGCTGCCCTCACAAGACAGGGCAGAGCAGGAACTCTTCCCTTCCCCGCTTCAACCCCACCTGACGCAACAACTTCAAGAGGAAGGGACTCCAGGAAGATCAACACAAACCAACTCACCCCACGGCCCTCCAGCTCCAGCCGGGTGGTGGCCCAGGTCTCAGGCTGTAGGGCGTAATTCAGCATCTCCTCATAGCTCTCCAGGAAGCCTTTGGGGCTCTGTGGGAAGAAGCATAGCCTGGTCTGGTCATGGGAGAGGCCCTGAGACCTAGCTGGACATTCACAGAGACAGGCTGACCTATGAATGGAGATATGCCAAGGAAGGGTTGGGGCTTTGACTCAAAGCAAAGGAGACAGGATGCATTTCACGCCTGCTACCATGGGCCTCTACAGAGCACCTGCGGCCACAGTCCTTGCCACCCAGCCATTTACTAGGCACCTGCTGCCTTCCAGGAGTACGCATGGCCCAATAGCATCATCTCACTTTGGAGGAATGTGAGAATGTGAGGTTTGGAGTCAGACAGCCAAAGATCTCAATCTCTGTGACCTTCAGCTTCAGGAACGAGAAGAGAGAAGCTAGAGCGCCACAGGCCCTGTACACCACCAGCCTGAGCCTGGTGCCAGGCTCCTGAGCATCCAATAAACAGTGTGCAGGACTAGAGGGCGGGGGCTGGGGTTGAATGAGAGGCTTGCCTAGCATGGACGTGCAACTGACATGGAATGCACACCTACACACAGGGACACTGAGGTTCAGGTTTGGGGACTGGCCCATGTACACAAAGTAAAGAAATGACCCAACACTACAACTCCAGAACCTAGGTGCTTCTAATAGGGCCAGCATCTTTCCTGAAAGTGCCACCTGCCTGAGGAGCCCTGATGAGGCCTGGCATAGGTTCTGGTGCTCAGGAGCCACCCAGTGACCTCTTATACTTCATGATGGTGAAACTTAAGTGCTGAACTGGCCAGAGGCAAAGAGGCCAGAGAGTGGGGCCCAGCTACTTCACTCCTTGCCTGGCCTTCACCCGCCCTTTCTTTTACCCACTCATGCTTCAGGAGGCCAAAGAAAGCAAAATAAGGACACAGGCCAGGCTCCACATTTCATTTGCTCAGTGCTCTGAGTAGGCCAGGCTACTTTCCTTCTGTAGGCTCAGTTTCCACATCTGCCAAACAGATTGATAAGGCTCAGATAAACAACTGGAAGTCAAGAAATTCTAGTCTAGCGGCACACACCTGTAATCCTAGCTACTCAAGAGGAAGAGATCGCAATTAAAAGCCAGTCCCAGGGAACAGTTAGGGAGACCCTATCTTGTAAATACCCTATACAAAAAAAAGGGCTAGTGGAGTGGCTCAAGTGGTAGAGCACCTGCCTAGCATGTGTGAGGCCCTGAGTTCAAGCCCCACTACCACCAAAAAAAAACAGAAAGAAAGAAAGAAAAAAAAAAGAAAAAGCAATTCAAGTATAGCACAGTGCTGAGGGGCAAACGGTCCAACACACCAACACACCCTTATGGAGGACCTGCCCTGCACCAAGGCCTTGACCAGCACACCTGTGCCAGGCCTGCTCTGGTGTCGGCGCATAGTCCCGTCCTGTACGTGCTGTTTCACGTTTTCGTCTATGTGTATTTCACAACAAAGCTGTTTAAATAAAAAAAATAAGTAACAATTGAGACTAGAAGTGTGGCTCAAGGGGTAAAGTGCCTGCTTTGCAAGTACAAAGCCCTGGGTTCAAACCCCAGTCCCGCCAAAACAAAAACAAACAAACAAAAAACTGGAGATTAAAAAAAAAAAATTGAGGAACAGCATGCTAGGTGCAGAAGCACAGAACATGCAAAGACCCAGAGCAGGCAGAGGGTCTGGCTTGATCAAGAAACCCTGGCCTCTCAGTCTGGACAGGGTGAGGGGCTGCCTCTGGGGACAGAGGGAATGGAGATGAGGTGGTGTGGAGGAGTCTCAAGGTGGAGGATGAGAACAGATGTCATTTTAGAAGTATCACTGCAGCATGTGAGCGGAAAGGACTAAGGAGAGGCCTATTTGAAAGCTTTACTCCAACCCGTTAGTTAAAAAAAAGTGCAAGTGACCAATAAACAGGAAAAATTATGCAACCTCACCCACAATCAAAGAGTCATAAAGCAATGGATAAAAGAACAGATGTAAACGGTTACTGATATCTTACGTCAGACAAGGCACAAAGAAATGCATACTTAAGTCACTGGCAGGGACATAAGTGCAAGACCTCTCAAAGGGCAAACTGGCAAGATCCACCAACCCTCAAAATGCCCTGCTGAGACTTGAGACAGACTCACACATCCCCACAGGGATTTGTGTGAGGATGACAAGAGTAGTAATGCCTTTGACAATGAAGAGCAGATGCCATCCAAAAGTTCATGTATCTGGACAGACCACAGACCACAGACCACAGACCATGATGGAATATTAAGCAGTCAGCAAAAACCATTCACAGCCTGAAGAGCAAAGATGGATGACATACACTGCGACACCACAAAGTAGAGCTGCAGGCTGTCAGGAGGGTTCACAGGCTGGGACCAGGACAACAATGTCCAAGGGTCAGTGTGTCCACAGAACGGAGGGATGAACACATTTTAGAATGCAGAGGGGGTCACCTCAGGCAGGAGGGTGCAGGCTGTATTTTACAATTGGTAAATTTTATAAAACTTTGCTGTGTTGGAATCAGAAATAAAATTCAACAAAGATTTCTCAACCCTTTTCCAGTATCCCATGGCTACAGGTTGATCTCAAAACTTGACTATTTGGTTTTCAACTTTTTTTTGAGGTAGAGTATCGCTAAGTAGCTACCCAGGCTGGCCTCAAACTCGATCTTCTGTCCTCCACCTCCTTCAGGTTATAGGTGTGTACCAGCATGTCCGACATTAAAAAACAAAGCAAAACAAAAAGAACCCCACACCTTTGAGTTAAGTTTCAGGGGGAAAAAGGCTGTGTGAAAGAAAACCTAAAAAGCCAGCCCCCTACCACTGGCTACCTTCTCAGCCTTGGTCATCAGGCCTGTTACCATCTGCCGGCCAACTTCCCCAAAGAAGAGTTGGTTGCTCTTGTCTTCCAGAAGTCCCTAAGGAATGAGGAAGGGAAGAGAGTGAATGGCCAGTCTCCGAAGCCTGTGGACAGGGTAGAGCAATGGGCTGGGCAGGTGACCCCATTTGCCACAAATGGGCCCGTATGGGGTATGCCTGGCCAGAGACGGGGTGGGGGCAGCAGCCACAGCCTGCAACACAGCTCTGTGTGTTCCTTACCTCTGGCATCCTCCCCATGTGACTTCCAGACCGCACTCACCTCAAACGCCTGCCGCACACAATGCAGCTTGGCCAGGAAGTCCTGGTCACTGTAGCAGCCCAGCAGCTCCGTCCTGAGGGGAGGGATAGACAGTGTCACATCACAGGTCCTGCCCAGCAAAGTCCCATGGGGGCAGGGTATGCCCTGGGTGGACAGGTGGGAGGCTTTGGGTTCAGCCTCACCCTGCCTTCATCTGGCAGTGTGATCTCTGGCTGGCAGTGGCCCCCCTCTAGGCCTCAGTCTCCTCCAAACCAAAGGCAGAGGTAATGGGATGCTCTCTGAGGACACTTTGCACTTTGCACTTTGACACTGGGCACAGGTGGCAGGTCTGGTCTTGAGGGCTGGGCTAGCCTTGGCCTCCTTTAGGCCACAACCAGCCCTCGACATTCACTGGTAAAGGACAAAAATGGTTACACTCCTCCAAGATGGCAGCATATACTGGCAGGGGATTCTACACCCTCTAGCTGTCCTTTATCTAAATCACCATGGCTCCGACCTAAGCTTTCAACCACTTTTGGTCAGCGGACTTTTAAACTACTTAAATCTGCAAGCCATGACCAGAGAACCAAATTCTGGTCTACACCAACCAAAGAAGTTAATTTAAGAGGCCTACGCACAACCACAGATGAGAACACTGAGGCCAAGAGACACGAAACCATCTGTCAGGGCCACTCACTACAAAGTGGTAGAAAGCAGGAGAGAACCCAGGTATATGACTGCCCCTAAGTCCTGAGTCCATTTTTTTTTTCTGGCAGAACTGGGGTTTGAACTCAAGGCCTCATACTTGCTATGCAGGAGGTCTATCACTTGAGCCACTCTGCCAGTCCTGGGTCCATTCTTGACCTCTACTACAAAGGGTTGGAACAAGGCACTGGACTGTAGTTGGGCCCTCTGAGAACTTAGAATAGGGATTCACTATAATTTTATTGAGTAGTTACATTAATTACTATAATTGCTGTCATCGGGTCTGCTGGTCGGTCCTGGCTCTCCTCAGCTAGGGGCAGGACACCATGGTCCCCAGCCATCTTGTGCTCACCTAGCTGAGTCCTCGCCAAGTACTGCTGTCATCCCCTGCCTTCACACACTCTCACCTGAGGGTCCGGCAGAGCACTTTCCCCTCCTTAACCAGCTGAAGGGCCTCTTCGTAGGCAGCAGCAGGCCTGGAGAGTGGGACGGGGAAATCCCCAACCTGCAGGGACTCAAAGAGCTGGGGGAAAGGGCAAGGGGGAGGGCCAAACAGGTCTGTGAGCCGCACACAAAGGGGCAAGGGCACTATGCCTCAGCAGGGGCCACCCTCAGGGCCTGCCCTCTGCCCCTGTCAGAGACAGGAGGCATAGGTTCAAGTCTAGCCCCTAGTCCTCGGCATCCAACCTCCAGGTGCCCTTCCCAAAGGGACTGCCTACTGGACACATGCTTCTGTCCTTCTGTCCCAGACAAGGACACCATGCCCTACACATATGGCTGTGGCAGGAGATCAATGCCAAGTAACGAACACGGTGGGCTGGAGAACCAAGAGGCCAATGTCGGCTGGAGCACTCAGGGCAAGACCTCTGCTCTCACCCACGAGACCTACAACCCCTGACCTGTCAGGCCTCCCTGTCCCCTGCAACTTCACAGAATCCCCAGGGAGCAGCACTTGGTTCCTGCCAAATTCTGCTCCTGTCAGACAAAATGCCTGCATTTCCCTATAACACAGTGCTGGCCCAGCAGGGGCCTCAGCTGATCCCGCAGCATGGCCCCCACCAGTTACCTCAGTGGCTGAGAAGAAGGAGTCCTCTGAGGTCAGGCTGTCCTCATCGTCAGCCCGCAGACGCAGGGAGCCCTCAGTCAGGGGCAGCATGAGGGTCCTCTCTAGAAGGGCAGCAAGCGAGGGCTAAGCTGAGGGCCTGCACGGAACTGGCAGGAATCCTGGTACCCAGCACTGCCACCCATACCTGCAGAGGCTCTGCCTGGGGTGGATGGGTCTCTGAGCTGACCCCTTCTCCATGTGAGGACACTGGGCACGCTGCCTTGAATGCCCTCAGCACTCACACAGCATGCTTGGAGGTGGACACTCACCCATGGTCCCACCACTGGATCTGAGGCCTGGCAACCCCTAAGTTCTTCAGGAGAGGATTTAGGTGCTGTGTGGTCCTGGGCAAGTCGTTTCCCTCTTTTAGAGGCTGAAACAACCTTAAGGGAGCCCTCAAGTCACCCACCAGGTGTTCTTACCTCTGCCACTCAAATGGTGAAGGGTCTTAGAATTTTAAGGATCTTTAGCCAAGGCTATAGGCCTGGGGTGGCTGTCCCAAAGGCCCCAACAGCCTCTGGGCTGTGGAGGGAGCCCAGAGGGAGCAGGACTCCAGCAGGAGAAGCCACAGAGGATGTAGCTTTGGCCAACCTTCTCTGCACCCATGTGTCCCCACTGGTACAGCCAGGGAGCCCAACACTCAGGAATCTTAACAGTGACCACCCTGTGGCTGAGTGTGCCCCACGAAAAGACGGGGAGATGGCATGCACTGCAAGGTGCTGACTGTTGGGCTGAGCAGCCTAATTCTCTCTGTGATGTCCCATACCTTTATCTCCATAGGGTGACAAGAGGACATCTGTTCTTGGCCCTCTGGTCTGCTTTGCCTAACCATCATATAAGCCAACCTGTCTACCACTCCACTATGCAGGAGACGGGTCAACCAAAGGCCAGGAAGAGCCACTGGGGACTCCAAAGCTACAGGTGCAAAGTATGTGGACTGGGGACCCCCAGCCTTCATCCTGGCTCTGCTCCTGCCTCTGCCCTTTAAGGGAGCACCTCACTCTTCCCATCTGTGCAGCAAGAGTCTGGGGATGGTGATCTGTCTGCAGCCCCAGAGAGCCACGCCCTAGTTCTCTCTTCCAGTCCCCTGCTCCATTCCTGCCACCCTCGGCTGCTGTTTTCTGCACCAGCCCAACTCACCAAGGTCCAGAAGCATGCTGTCTGAGGGAAAGGTGGAGCCAAACTCCTCCTGCAGGTGGTAGGCCCGGTGCAGCAGGGCCTCCAGCTTCTCTGCGAACTCTCTGCGCTGTGACTCTGGCTGTGATCAGAGTAATTACTGTCAACCCAGGCTCTCCGATCTCACCATGTGAACAAAAGGTCCCTTCCTCTCTCCCAGGAGGCTCTAGACCCAGCAGCAAAGAGCACAAACTCAGCCTGTGCTGCCTGCCCATTACAGAAAGCACCAGACACATACAGCATGAACATGGTCAGTCCCAGGTGAGACCTGTGAGGGAAAATGCACTTGGTACCAAAGAGAAATGCAAAATATCTCAGCAATCTCTCACATTGACTACAGGTCGAGCGATCAGATTTTGGATATAGCAGGCTACATAAACCGTATTATTAAAATTAATCTTGCTTACATCTTCTTGCTTTTTAATGTGGTTTCTAGAAATTTTTTGTTTTGGTTTGCTTTTTTGCGATAGGATCTCACTATGTAGCTCAGGCTAGCCTCAAACTCAAGATCCTCCTGCCTCTGGAGTGCTGGGATTACAGGCATTCACCACCATGGTTGGCATCTAGAAAACTTTAAATATGACATCTAGAAGCATTCTACTGAACACAGCTGCTTTATGGCTGAGCACACCTGAGTTCAGATCTTGGCACTACCAGTGCCAAACTGGCCTCTGGCAAATAGCTTCCCCATCTCATACATTTCTTTCTTTATTGGTCAGTGGAGATAAGAGTCCCCATTTCGCCAGATGCCAGTGGTTCACGCTTGTAATCCTAACTACTTGGGAGGTGGAGATCGGGAGGATGACAGTTTGAGGTCAGCCCAGGCAAACACTTTGAGAGACCGCCATTTCCAAAATAACCAGAGCAAAACGGACTGGAGGTGTCGCTCAAGTGGTAGAGCACCTGCTTTGCAAGAGTGAAGCCCTGAGTTCAAGCCCCAGTCCCACGCACACACACAAAAGATGTGTCTACCTCCTCCAAGAGTCTTAGAAAAAACTTAAAGGGACAAGATACCCAAAGCACTGGCAAGAGTGACCCATGACAACCAGTGGGTGACAGCTCTCGTAATAATGACTGTGATTACTTTTACAGTAAGACAGCAATTTGGAGCCCAGAATGAGCTGGGCTGCACAGCACCACCCATGCAGGGCCTAGCATTCAGGGGGGAGCAGCAGACAGGTCAGAGTTGCTACTGTGCTCCTGGGATACAAAACGAAGGGAACCCAAGCACCACAATGCTTTGGGGTCATGGCTCAAATGCCTGTCTGACTGGACCAGGCAGTGAAGGACTAGCTGTCTGGGGAGAACCCAGGTAGCAAGAGAACACTTCAGGGAAGCCAGGCAGGGTCTTTGCTGGCAGGAGCCAGGGTGGAGTGTGAAGGTTCACCTGGGTACTCCCCACTAAGGAGTACACAGCCTCCTGTGGCCCCCATGGCTTACTGCTGCCCTTGGCCTACAGACCTAGGCATGGGTGCACCCAGGGCCCAGGGTGCAGCATGAGCTGGTCCAACTATTTCCACAGAGGCTGCCAGAGCCTGCACCTGCAGTAACTGGATACTGGGGAGGAGACAGGACCAATCAGGCCTGAGATCACTGGGAGAAAGGCTGGAAGAGCTCCAAGGTGACCACTGAGACCTTGTCCGGGGCCAGGAGCCTTGCTGTTCAGCAGCAAGCCATCCTTCCAAGACAGGGACACCATAATCCTGTTTCCAAGAGAAAACTTAAGGAGGGTAAGCGGCCCAGGTCACCTAGCTAGAGCCTATGAGAGCAGGGGTGGGCCCAGGCCCACAAGGCCATAGGCCTGGGAGACTCTGGACCCACAGGCCACTTTGTTGGGACACCTGGCAGGGCCAGATGCACTCCATGTGGCAGCAGAGCCTGGTAGCTCTGGCAGATGTTTGCCAGATCTTTCTCTGTGAATGTCCTCTGAGTAGACAAAGGTTTCCTAAGTCTGACACCAGAAACACAAATAATGAAAGAAAAAAAAAATAGACATACTGAACTTCAGAATTAAAAATTTAGTGCTTCAAAAAAACAATATGTGGATAGGGAGTCCAAAAAAACTAGTATTTGTCAGGTGTTGGCGGCTTACAACTATAATCGTAGTTACTTGGGAGGCTAAGATCTGGAGGACTATAGCTTGAGGTCAGCCCAGGCAAACAGCTTGCAAGACCCCGTATCTAAAAAAGACCAGAGCAAAATGAACTGGAGGTGTGGCTCAAGTGGCAGAGCACCTGCTTTGCAAGCCTGAAGCCCTGAGTTCAAACACCAATCCCAACAACAACAACAAAAACCCCAATATGCTATACAAAAAAAGCCGGCCCAAGAAAACCGGCATGATTCCATTTATAAAACTGTGTGGAACAGGCAAATCCATCCATGGAAAGGGTAGACTCATTTGTCTAGGGCTGAAGAATGAAGAAATGTGGGGCTGACTGCTGAAGTACAAGGGGTTTCAGGAAAATGCTCTGAGACTGGTTTCCATGATGAATACATGAATAATAAAAGCCACTGAACTGGACAACATAAAAGGGTTAATTTTATGGCATGTGAATTCTATTCAATAAAGCTGTTAAAAAAATTAGACCAGTGTTGTGGTACATGCCTATAATACCAGCTACTCAGGAGGAAGAGATCACGATTCAAGGTCAACCTGAACAAAAAGTTAGCAAGACCCCATTTCAACAAATAACCAGGTATGGTGGTACATATCTGTGGTCCCAGCTACATGGGAGGCACAGGTAGGAGGATAGTAGTTCAAGGCCAGCCTCAAGCAAGAACACAAGACTCTATCCAAAAAATAACCAAAACAGGGGAGATGGGAGAAAGAAGTGGTGGTGGGGACTTCAAGTATGATATATATGATACATTGAAAGAACCTTTGTAAATGCTAACATGTACCCACACCCAGCACAACAACAACAACCAAAAAGTGCTGGAGGCATGGCTCAAGTGGTAGAGCACCTGCCTAACAAATGCAAGGCCCTGAGTTCAAACCCCAGGGCTGCCAAAAAAAAAGTTATAGTCTAGCCTAGGAAAATGCTTGTGAAGATACAAAAAGGTTACCCTACAGGAAAGATACAAAGAGGTTACCCTGGAGGAATGGATGAAGCATGGATGAAACAGGGGCCAGGTCTGAATGGTGGGCACTGTGTCCCACCAAGAGTGCCAACTGTGGGAGGCTGAGGCCTTCACCCCATGTCATAAAAGTGAGCTGTCAGATCAGAGTCTGGGCTCTTTTATTTTTTGTCTCTCTTCTATTTCTGTAGTGTCTGCTACTCTATAAGGACTATTTAACTGCTTTCACAGTAAGAAAACAATGCAAGTTCTATGACTTTAAGATGCAGCTTCAACGACAGGATGGGAAATCAAATCCACCTCCCTCGATCCCCTTCCCTAACTCATGGCTGCAGGTGCCAGCTGTCTCCCTGCACGTGGACAGGCAGTGAAGGCCTGTAGCATGTGGGGCCTCCACTTCATATCCCAGCATTGCCATGCCTGTCACATCTGCAGAACTTCAGAAGTCATGGCAAGTGGCAGGCCACTGAGCTCATGTACCCCACCAGGGCAGAGGACAGGTGTGCCTCCACCTGGGACAGGCTGTGCTATGCAAGGCATGATCTCACACTTGCACTGCATACCGTTTCCCAGGCTCCCTAGCCAGCTGGCTTCTGGTCAATGGGAGATGCAGGTGGTGGTATAAAGGAAGGGTGGAAGGGTGGGGGCAGTGGGCATGACCCCTGCAGGTAGCACCACTGTGGCTCCAGCTTACACAGGATGGGCCTGGCCTGGCCACAGGCACACACCTCCTCCCACATCCCTCCAACCCCACCCTCATTTAGGCAACTGAGTCCCTGACTTAACCACCTTGTTTTTGGTGGTTTTTGTTTTTGTTTTTTGCGGTACTGCGGTTTGAACTCAGGGCCTCTACCTAGAGCCACTCCATCAGTCCTTTTTTGTGAAGGATTTTTTTTCAAGATAGGGTCTCACAAACTATTTGCACAGGCTGGCTTCAAAACATGATCCTCCTAGTCTAATGCCAATGCACTCCTTCCTTCCTTCTTCCTTCCCTCCCTCCCTCACTCCTCTGCTCCCTCAGGGTCTCTCTATATAGCCTAGGCTGGCCTCAAACTCCACATCCTCCTGCCTCAGCCTCCCAGATGCTAAGACTGCAGGCGTGCGCCAACACACCGAGCACCATTGCACATCTTCCCTTCACAGAGTCGGGGTAAGAGTCCATCTCTGGATCTGTTTATTGAGTAATTACCAAGTCCAGGCATCGTGCTCAGAGTACTATGTGAACTATTTTGTTCACTATAAATACCACATTTGTTTAAAAAAAATGAGGGCTAGTGGAGTGGCTCAAGTGGTAGACTGCCTTCCTAGCAAGCATGCAAGCAGGAGGCCTTGTGTTCAAAGCACAGTACCACCAAAAAAAAAAAAAAAAAAGGAAATTAGAGTAACACAGTAGTGAATGGGAAGCTACAATCCAAGAGGGAAGGAGGCTTGCTAGTGGAAGGCAGCTGTCATTCTGTCTCTCTTCCATTCCACCAACTTTCTCACACGGCCAGGAGGCAGGGGGAGATGCAGGGAAGAGAACCTACCTCGGACGGTACATCTGACACAGTCTCTGGGTTCCGAAGGCTGTCCCCTGGTGTGGGGGTACTATTGCCATCACCCTTCTGGCCCACACTCAGTGCCTGCTCCCACTTCTGCAGGGCCTCCTCAAACAGCTCCATGCCTGAGCATAGACAGGAGAGAAGGGAGCATCAGGTCCCCAGTCTCACTCAAGAAAGGGTACAGCATGGTGCTGAGGCAGGAGACCACAAAAGACTAAAAACCAGGCAGGACTGCATGGCTGGTCCTGACCACTTCAGGGCTTCATTCAGACCAGATGTCCCATCCAGAGAACAGCAACCACTACATGGGGAGTCTGGGAGAGGGTGGGGCAGGACCTGGAGAAGTGACCTGAGCCCTGCCTGGACTCCCAGAAGGCCATTCTTCCCAGCCGCCCACCCCTGAGACCCAGGGCCAGCCTCTACCTTGCACATAGAGGCTCTCAGCACTGCCATCAGTAGTAGGCACAGACTCCTCCATCCCTCTGGCTTCCCATGGTCCTGAGCATGCAGCCGTGGGGCTGGATGAGTTCACCACCACCATCTGGGTGCCAAGTGCAAGGCAAGGAGTGAGCCTTTCCCAGATCCTTTGCAGCCTGCCCTCATTGCCTGACCACATACCATATACTCTCCTAATACCATTCTTGAGTGAGGCAGGGTCAGTGCCCTCCCCTCAGAACGGCCTGGATCAGTCAACTCAAGTGCCTAATGATAACTCACAAAATGCCAAAGCAAGAGGAAATACAGAGGCCAATGCCAGCCTGGAAGCAGAAGCCTCCTATGAAACCCAAAAGCCCCGCCCCTGACCAGCCCTACCCAGCCCCTCCTCTACAAGACAGACAAGAAATACAGACAGCATCCCCCACATGCTGGGGCCCATCATCAGCACAAATGGCCACCAGCCCTCCTGCAGGGGGCTATGGGCTCCTCCAGAGCAAGACCCATCTGTTGCTCACCCCAGTCCCCAGGGCAGGGCCTGGCTCAGAGCGGGCCTCAGTACTTGCTGGATAGATTTAAAACTACATGAGTGAATGAATCAAAAGCCATGCTGCCAGGTAAACATCTCTGTCTTATTTATCTCCAGAACCTCAGCATCTAGCAGTGTCCCTGTCACCGCACAGCACTTGCTCATGTTTGAGGAATGAATGAAGGCAGGTACTGTCATAGATGAGCACCTGTGCTTATCTCTACACCTCTAGAGATCAGGAATAAGCTCTGAATGCCTGTGTGTGTGGAAGAGTGAATGAACCAATGAATAAAACCTTTTCCCATCTCCTGCCAGGTCTCCCTACCAGTGCAGAGGGCAGAGTCAGAGGCTGGGCTGGGTGTGCTGGCCACGCCCCACCCCACCCCACCCCACCCCCATCCTCACCGAGGCCAAGCTGTGGGAGGAGCCTGAGTGCTTGCTGGGCTCAATGGAGGAGATGCCACTGAGAGTGTCGTTGCTCTTGCTACTGGGGCTCTGTACCCGCCGGCTGGTGTAGCCTGAAAGGATGAGGACGGGTCACAGGCATGCCCCTGTGACCTCCCTCCCCATCCTCCTCATCTGGGAGTGTGTCCTGAGCTCCCAAGCCAGGGGCCAGCAAGCCCTTGGAAGACATGTACGTCTCAGAGGAACGCAGGAACCCTCCTGCTATCCTGCTCACCCTGCACAAGGCCAAGCCCAGGGAGGATCCCTGATCAACGGGCATAAGCTGAGAATGAGGTCCTGTCACTTCCCTGCCTCCTTACTCAGTTTCCCTGGGTTGGTGATCAAGTGACTGATTTAGAATTCTTCCCTTTCCAAAAGGGAGTTGAGACAACTTTTTAAAATATACAAACAACTTCTAAAATAGAAAAGGAGGGGCCAGGGTGGAACTCAGTGGCAGAACAGGTGCTTATCATGTACCAGGCCCCGAGTAAAGCTGGAAGGGAAAAAAAGGTGAAAGAAGAGACAGATGGCAGCAGTGGAACAGTGCATGCAAGTAAGAGGCTGGTGTGGACGTGGCACCAGGCTTCCTAGGGTCCATGGCAAGACGGCAAGGCCATCTTTATCAATATTCCTCAGCACCCTATTCTATATTAGTCTAAAGACTTCTTTTCTTTTTCCAATTTAAAGACAACACTTCCTTTTGTGATGATAATCCACAATTAAGATTCATTTTTCCAGAAGGAAATTTTGCTTGTTAAAACAGATTTCTCCAAAGATGAAAACCTATGAGAATTCCTTGCCTTGCAAAGAGACAGACAAGATGCTCAGGTGTGGCAAAGAGCTGTGTCACAAGATTCCCATGGGCTGTGAGAGTGTCTGAAACACACCAGTCAGCCAAAACCAGATCAGTGGCTCCCAGGGCTGGAAGGTAGGGAAGAGGGGCTAACAAAGGGCCATGGGCGTGTCAGGGAGTGACAGAATAATTACTGGCTTTGGAGGATTGATTACATGAATATCTGTGTCAAAGCTCAGAAGTGTATACTAAAAAGCATGAATCTGCAAGCAAATTAATCTTTTATTTTTTAAAAAGCAGGAAAGGGGAGGAATACTGTTTGGCTCAGGAACCACAGGGCCCTTCCTGCTCCTGAGCCTGGGAGAGCTTTTCTCCCTGGACCCAGGAGCTATGCCCGCCATCTCCCTCGGCACTGCGTGCCTCCCAAAGACCCTGATGATGAGAACACCCAGAGCCAGCACCATGGGCCAGACAACGTGCATCCAATATACCATCCACCAGGCCCTTGCAATGACTTGAAGGAGAGGGTTCTACAGTCACCCCCGCTTCATGGATGAAGGGAACTTGGCTGTGAGTCAAGAAGGCACTACAGTTCAAGATCCCACAGTGAATAGTGGCCCCACTGGGATGTGACCAGGTTGGTGCTCCTCCCTACCCTCAACCTACCTTTCTTCACCGATGGGACCTTGCGGGCCATAAGGATAGGCAGTGGTATCGTGCCCAGCTGCTCACCTCCCACCTCAGGGCCAACCTGCTTCTTCTTCCGCCGACGCCTCTTCAGCTGGTGGGCAGCCAGGGCCAAGGCCACAGTCCCCAGGGCTGTAGCAAAGAGGACTTTCCGTAGGCCTGGTGTCAAACGCAGCTGGGAGAATGCAGACTGCAGGAAAGAGAGATGGGCAGGTTATGTGGACCCAGGGAAAGCTATTCCAAGAACACCTAGGTACAGGGCACACAGTGTCCCTTTGCTCACTAAAAGAGGGACAGATTCAGCCACCACCAGAGAGGGGACCTGACCTGCCTCTCTGAAATGCGGAACTCAGAAATACAAAGACAGCACAAAGTCAGGGCTGAGGAAATGAAGCCTGGGGTTTGGCAGGCATCTGTGACACTGTCAGTCATCATGATATAGCTACAGGGATACAGCACCTGCTATCCCAGGCACTGCACCAGAACATGACCTATGTCACTTTGTCAGAATTCCCATCATTTACCAGGTGAGGATTTGAGGCTCAAATTCATTAAGACAAATGTGCATGATGACAGATACAACTTGAACCCAGGTCTGCCAACCCCATCTCTCAATGACTCTCAAAGCTGATGGCACTCACTCTGCCTGACCACCCCATCTGGACATATCCACTGCTCTACCTTCACCCTCTGCTGGTGGACTGGGAGCCCCTGGGTGGAGCTGTATCCCAGGAGACAGAGCTTTCTGACGTACAAGAGGCCCCATCAGCCACAAAGGTTTGGCTGTCAGGGATGGCAAAACTGACCACTTCCATAGACTAACAAACTGAAGTCAAGATGTCACACAGCCTTAGGGTAAAGGCTGAGTTTAGGGCCTCAGACTCCTAACCCAGTCCTTCTACTTCACTCAGAGAAGATGACAGGTGCAAGGGACAGCAGTGGCAAGGCCCAGGAGCCCCGTGTTTCACGAAGATGAAGCATAAAGGGCAGGCCCACAGCCCACCCCAATCCTTACCTGCCCAAACGTCGTGTACAGGAACACAGGGATCTCCGCCACTGTCATGGCCAGAGCCTGGATCATGGACATGCCCTCCGTCCGCCGGAACGCCATGGCAAGATGGGCACCCCAGGCAAAAGCCCTCAGGGACAAGAGCTTCCAAGAAAAATGTCTTCAACTGGTTTCTGGCTGAGTCCCAGGCACTGACCGAGTCCTGGCAGGATAGGGACACACATACCAGAAGGTCCTTCCACAGAGCTGAGAGACAGATGACCAAGTCAGATACAGAATGTGCACATCTGGGCATAGAGAGGTACACAGAAGAGTGCCCTCAGGGGATGGGGACAAGGTGAGCACAAGGCTACTCCCGGAATACCACATCTAGAATCAGACCCCACCCCTCCACACCTATCAGCAGGCCAGCAGCCAAACGCCTCACAGACCCTGTGCTCACCTTGAGCCTAGGAGCAAAAGGCAGCATTTCTGGCATGCTGGTTTGAAAGAGGACCTGAAGGTCACTCTCTAACTTGGGGTTTTCTGTCATAGTTTCTCTGCCTTTTTTTAAACCCACAGGGCCATTTGCTAAACAAAGTTCTCAGGCTCCAGACAGAATCATTACATCACTTTCACCTCCTACAAAGCCAAGAATGTTTCACTGGGGGCTGTACTCTGAAAACATAGCATCCTTCTCGGGACAAGCACAGCTACTATAATGGCACTTGTGGATTTGGTGCTTCATGGGTATTTCACCAAATCATGGCAATTCTGTGAAGAGGCATCATCCACCCTCTCCCTCAGCCTGTCCTCACCTTCCAATGAGGAAACTGAGTCTCGGGAAGGCTAGATCAGGAGTTGAAAGTCACATACCTGAAATGTGGTGGAATCAGGGATCAATGCCTTTTGCTAAATTTGACTTGGAGCAGCAAGTTCAGCCCCAACAGAACCGAAAAGGACAAAGATGGCTTCCCAGGACCTTCTGAAACCCACCCAGAGTTCTTTGCTGCCCTGTCCCAAGGACAGGCAATAAGTAGCTTGATCATACCAAGACCCTGCAGGGTGCTACCCAACTAGCAGTGCCACATCCAAGGATGCCTTCAAGGTCTCCTGGGACCTCAAGCGGAACACACAGGCCAGGACAGACCCTGTCTCCCTGGGATGGCAGCCAAAGTCACTGGGCCAGCACAAGAGACAGCTTATCCCCAGTGAGTGGGAAGGACAGACAGTCCTATCAGGCTAGCACTGGGGCAGGGGGTGGAAGTGAGGGTGAGGAGAGGAAGGGAGAGTAATGGTCTAGAGCTAAGGAAACTGCTACATTATTGAGGGTGGAAAACACCCTGCTAGGAGGTTTGGAACTGAGCTGTGACCTCCAAGAGTGGTAGAGGCTTGGGTTAATCCTATAAACCCCTCCTCCCAACCCTGAGCTTGGCTTGATCTCGGGGTCAAACAAGAGTAGCTCAGTTGCTACTTTTTCCCAAGCACTTACTATAGGCCAGGCTCACAACAGGCTCTCTGCCAGGGCTTTGAGTCCAGTCACTCACAGAAACTGCACAATATCCACAGTTCATCACTAGAATGGGGAAACTGAGGCTCTGAGAAGTAAGCAACTTGACCAAGGTCACTAGTGTGACCCCAAGGCTGCAGTGGTGTTTCCCAGACAATGCCTGCTACTACTAAGGCTGCTTGTCCATGGTGGAGGTGGGGACTGAGGCCTGGCCTTTATGTGTAGGGGAATCCAGATAGCCTCTGCTGTTCCCAGCAAGGGGAAGGTAACAACACCTGCCCCCCAAGGGTCCATCCATGCCCTATCTGACCCCCTGACACAACGCAGAGACTAAGGGGAGAAGCCTCCACTCTTTCCCTACACTAAAAATGTCCCTCACCACGAAGACACTTGTAATGCTGGTCAGGGCTTGGCCCTACCTGGGCAGGCACGTCCTCATTCTGCCTCCCCCGTGGCACAACACCCTTGGCCGGGATGCCACTGGGCATGGTCTTCTGCCCTAGACAGACAACCCCACTAATGCCTCCAGCCTGAGCACTCCCCCATCCCACCTTGAACGAGTAAGGTCCCCAACCCAGGCACTCCTGAGCCACCCTCTGCTCATCATCTCATCCTGGACACTTTAGCTGTTCCACTCGGTACGGCACTGGGCAGCCCCATGTTGGACCTCAGCAGTACCCAGATCGTTAGGATCTATTCGTTCCAGCCCAAACATCTTGCAGCCCACGCCAGGCCCCGACCCCCCGGGAAATCCTTGAGGATCGTCCAGCGCCGCCCCCAGCCGGCACACCGGCTCCTTCCAACCCGGGCATTTTCCCGGCCCGGGATCAGGTACCCGCGCCCCTGCTCAGAGACCCGCAACGTTCCAGGCCCGAGCTTCTCTCTGACCCAGGTACCGCCTCGTTCGACCCCCAAGCCAAGCACCCTCTCGCGCCGCCTCGGGCCCAGGTATCTACTCATTCCAAACTTGGCACCCTCCCGGTCGAATACCTACGCCCACCCAGTCCTCTGCGCAAGGCCGGCTCCCGCTTGCCACAAGTCTGTCTCTGGCCCTGTCTGCCGCGTTGCCCTCCAGCCCGGTGGACTCAGCCGGGTCAGCCACTCACCCGGGATCCCATCGCTGCGGAAGGGCAGCGTCTCCTTCCCCGGCGGCAGCACAACCGAACATGAGACTGCAGGGGGGCGTGGCCTCGAGGCGAGCCGACCTAGCTCTGGCCAATGAGCGTCTCCAAACCACTCGGTCGTCGCTCTGGGGCCCTTGGCCAATGGCATGGATCACGTGACAGCGTTGTTTCCGCCTCTCCCGTCCCATGTCCCACCCCCTAAGTGCGGTTGAGGTGCGGAAGTGGTCTCTTCTCTCCTAGGATTGGCCGTCAGCATTAGATTGACACCGGAGGCTGAGCGAAGTCAGGTCGTTCAGGCCTCCTACTGGAGACGCTGCTAAGTCTGAACCCTTGTGTTAGACTCTTTTGCCTGGGCCGCTTGACATGTGGACAAGTTCTTCCTGCACTGTAAGCGCCCATTTTTATTTTTATTTTTGTAATTCAGTCTTCAAATATCTTTGATTAGAAGGTCGTGCAAGGCCGTGCCACGTGGACAAGTTCTTCCTGCACTGTAAGCGCCCATTTTTATTTTTATTTTTGTAACTCAGTCTTCAAATATCTTTGATTAGAAGGTCGTGCAAGGCCGTGCATGGCCTTCATTTATTGTATTTAAAATCACGGTACAGTTATTTTTGTGAATGACATTGCCTCAAGCACCCATTTTTAAATGCCACCGCCTGTGACTTCCCTTGGGATCTTTTTTTGTGGTGGGACTGGGGTTTGAACTCAGGGCTTTCTCGCTTGCAAAGCAGGCACTCTAACGCTTGAGCCACACCGCCAGTCCATTTTGCTCTGGTTATTTTAGAGATAGGGTCGGGCTGACCTCGAACCGGAACCCTGATCTCAGCCTCCCAAGTAGCGAGGATGTGAGCGTCCAGCACTGGCTTCCCTTGAGATCTTAATCAGTTGCCACTCCACCTTGTCCTGGAGCTGCTGCAAAGTTGCCATCTCTCCTGCCAGACATTGTCTCCCTATGGGTTGGAGTCGAATGGGATTCAATTCTGAGCCTGCACTGAACACTGGGGCCTTGTTTGTTAACTGCCGGATTTGTGGTGCCTAGAAAGAACAGTGCCTGGCATGTGTTACTGATTTTATTTTTGTCAATGTGAGCTATTGAGTGAACATATAATTGTATTGATACGTGGCTATTAAGTGATATGGCTGTATGCTGGCAAAATGAATATTATGTTCCACTATGGACATACTTGTAAATGAGTCAATGATCAATATAGACAAATAAAAAAATACATAAATACAGAACCATGGAGTTGATAAACAAGTGTTTGCATGTGTGAGTGATCTGAAAGTCAATCAAGGTCCCACAGCACTAAGAACAGGACTGGGAAAAAGACCAGGGCCTGGGTTTGAAAGCGCTCAGGTGACTGGAGGCTTACCACTACACAGACAGGTTTAGGTGATAGGGAAGTAGGTAAGGATCAAGAGATGAACAAGGCAGGGAGGAGCAGGCTGCAGTTCAGAAACAGCTCCTCCGGGGTTAAATGAGGATGCTTAGAAGTAGGGAGAAAGAACAGGCAGAGACAGGGAATAAGCTCCCCTACTCCCCAAGCCACATGGCAGGCTAGGGGGCCCGAGTATCCTCCAGGGCTGTGAGGAGCTGAGTTCAAGGTTAATACATTCTCTCCACTCTGGCAGACAGACAAACTTTGGCTTCCTGACCAGCGTCTCCTCCTCTCCTTACACTCTGGGCTGTAGGCCCCAATTCCAGTACTCCTTTCTTCCCGTGATCCTTTGTATACCCTTCTCCAATTTTGGGAAACCGGAGGGCCTCCCAGGGAAACAAAAAGCAGCAGTACAATGGTAAGTAGTCCCCAGCTAGCCTGTCCCTGATTCAGTTGTACTGTAGTATCACTGAGGTCAGGGCGGAAGAAGAGAGGGATAGATAAGGGCTTCAGGAGCACCAGGAAAAAAGAAGTGGAGAAATTGGGAGACTTAGGGTCTAGTGGACAAGGGAGAAGGCTCCAATAAAGAGAAAGGGAGATTAAGAGGCATAAATGGGGCATGGTTTAAGCAGTAGAGCACCTGCTTAGCAAATGTGAGGCCCTAAGTTCAAACTCCAGTACTGCCAAAAAGAAACCTGCTCATTTTCCAGATCTATTGTAGGAGGGAGGAGGATCAGAAGAAAACAGACTAGGCCTGAGTTCTGATAACGTGGCAGGGAGGTAGGGATGGCATAGCAGAGAGATAAAACCTGAGGGATCTGAACATGGAGAGGGTTACATAGCACTGGGAGGAGAAAAGTCACATAGCACTAGGGTGAAGTAGCCTATAGAATTAAATATAACCATATATGGATTAGACCTTGCTTTTTGCTTCTGTAACCTGCTTGCATGGGTATATAAGGGGAGACCCCTTTGTTCTCAGGGCTCAGCCTTTGGACACGAGTCCTCTGGGTCTGTGCCAGCACAATAAAATGTTGCTTCCTGCTAAACTGACTCAGTGTCCCGTATCTCAGCTTGTGATTCTCTCAACACTATTGCACAGCTGAAGGGTGACAATAGCTAATAATAATGTATTCCATGTTTAAAAATTGCTAAAGAGCCAGGAACCAGAGGCTCACACCTATAATCCTAGCTACTTGGGAGGCTGAGACTTGGAGGATTGCAGCTCGAGGCCAGCCCAGGCAAAATAGTTCTCAAGACCCCCATCTCCAAAAAAAGCAGAACAAAATGGACTGGAGATGTGACTCAACGCTAAAGCACCTGCTTTACAAGTTCAAAGCCCCGAGTTCAAGCCCTAGTCCCATCAAAAAAAAAAATACTAGAAGTAGATGTGAAATGTTCTGCCTCACCCAAAAAAAAAGGCGAACAAACTGAGAAGTAAGTGAAAGAGGTGATGGATATGTTAATTAGCTTGATGTCATGATATGTGAACATATATCTACATATCATTTGTACCCCCTAAATATATACAATTCTTATTTTCTTTGTCTTTTTTTTTTAATTAGTTTATTTGTATGTGCATACATTGGGCGATTTCTCCCCCCTACCTCTTATTTTCAATTAAAAATAAAATTTGTGTAAAAAACATTAGCAAGATGGCAAATAGTATGTAATTACTGCGTGTCTCTCCAGTTATCGAAGAGGACTTGTGTTTTCGGTGGTAATTTTAGTAAAACGATTAAAAAAAAAAAAAAAAAAAAGAGTCCGCGGCGGCCGGCAGGGGGCAGCAGCGAGCGCCCTGCCCCGCCCCCTGCCCCCGCCCCGCCCCCCGCTCAGCCGGGCTCCTCCCCTGGGCACGCCGCGCCCCGCCCTGCGCTCGGCTCCTCGGCGGCTGCGGGCTGGCGGAGGGCCGGTGTCGGCAGCAGGTGGGCGGGGTGCGGGCGGCGGCGGCGGCGGGGCGGGGGGCTGCCAGCTGCGCTCTAGCCGGCTCCCGGGCGCGCCATGGACTTCAACATGAAGAAGCTGGCGTCGGACGCGGGCATCTTCTTCACCCGAGCGGTGCAGGTGAGGCCTGGCGCTGCGTCGGGCGCCGGGGGCCCGGATGTGGGGCAGGCGGCGAGCACCCTGCGGCAGAAGGCTGGGGCGCAGGGAAGCCCTTCTCCTGCTGCTGCCACCGTGCCTGCCGCAGGGACACCTCGGCCCTGCTGAGCCCCTGCGCTGTCCAGAACGAGCTGGGGTGTGGGGGGGAGGGGTCTGGCTGCACCTTCTGCGTGGCCCAGGGGCGGCCCGGGCGGGACTGGGCGCTGTTGCCTGCCGGGAGGTTCCAGTGCCCATCATTTGGACGGGCCGACTGGCCCCGCTGCCCTGGCGCTCTGCCCAGCTGGGGAGGACAGTGGGCACCGGCTGGCCCCCGCCTCTCTGCCCATGTCCGGCATTGCTTCTTGTTCCCGACAGGGTGGTTTGGAGGCCAGGATGCCAGGCCTGGGGCTCACACACCCTCCACAGCCCCATCTCCCGGCCTCAGTCTCCACACCTGTGTAATGGGCAGGTGGTGCTGTGCTTCCATCAGGTCCCTTTTCCATGCTTGGATAATCAGGCCAGAGCCCAGGAGTCATTTCCTCTCTGCTCTAGGGGAGGCCTTCTTTCCTCTAATTCCCAGAGCTTGGGGGATGAGAAGAGGGCTAGGGTTTAGTTGGGTGCCCTCTTTGGGAAGCTATCCAGACCCACAATGTGGAGACTGGAAGAAGCCCTGTCCACCTGGGGTCAGGGAGAGAAACTGAGGCATCTTGGTGTCACTCTGATGATCTAGAGTCAGATATGGTTGACAATGCCCCTTTTGTGACCTTGGAGGGAAGGGGCTTCACCTGGCTGGGCCCCTGTTTGTCAATCCGAGAAATGGGATGAGTGTCCCCCTCTGTGGGGATGGCTGTGAGGATTCTGCAGGACTGTGTGGGTAGTGTGCACTGAGGTGAGCTGCTGCTTGGGTTACCGTGCCTAAGCTGCCCCTTGTGCAATATGTGACCTTAGGCAAGTGTTCTCTGTAAGCCTGGCCTCCCCTTCTGTAAATCAGGTGTAAGGTGGTGTCTGCCTCCAAGGGTGGGTGTGGACTTTAGTGAGAATCTGGTCCATGGCAGCACTCTGGGAGCCAGCCCTCTTGTGTCCTTGTCATTGTTGTTGACTCTGCTGGGTATGGTTCTCCCTCCCTAGAGGAGCTCAGCCCCAGCCAATCTCTCAGAAGCTCATATGGCCATGTTTACTAGAAAGCACAGTGTCCCTTTGAGAATTAGGGTCCCAGGGAGGGGGGCTGCTCCATGTTACAAGCCTGGTGGGGATTCTGGGACCCCAGAGCAGCTGGGAGGTGAGGAACACTTCTCAGTGTTGGTATAGCAACCATGCTATCTCCCATATCTGGGAAGAACCTGATCTGCCAGTTCCCTGCCACTGTCCAGGCCCTGCCACCTGACCTGGCCAGGCGCACAGAGATAGCCTAGGCTTGTAGTGTGGACTCTGTGGCCTTGTTCAGCCTGATGGGGGCTGGCCTCCAGGGTCACTTCTACTGGAGATAGAGCCAGCGCCCAGGCCCCAGGCTGTGGAGGAGGGAACTAGGAGCGTTATAAATAGAGCCTTTCTCTGCTCTGAACACCCACCCCCTGCTGCTGCCATCTTGTTGAGAGCAGCCTGGACCCCAGCACTGATCCCCTTCCCCTTGGCAGGCAGGGGACAAGGTGGCAGGCCACAGGAGAGAAGGGTTTAAAGTGTGACCTAGAAGGGGAGGCCCAGAGGGATCCGTCTGGGGCCAGGTTGCCCTGGGAGGGAGGCAGCCAGGAGTTCTTTATTTTCAATCTGTGGGCATCTCCCTGTGGCAGTGCCGACTTGCCGGGCTCAGGAGGTACTGGTAAGTTCCTAGTCCCTCCATGTACCAGGGACAACTTTAAGAGCCTCACCCATCCCCATTCAACAGGGAACAAAGGTCCCAGTAATGGGATGAGACCCCAGAGGGCAGGATTCCATTGCAGGAATGATTCTGGGGTGACTTCCTGCAGGGAGGTCCCCAGAGCTGTGCTTGGAGTCAGCAGTGTTTGCAAAGAGAGTCTGGGAAGGGCCTTCCAGGTGGCAGCCCAGATCAGGACACTGAGGCAGGAAACCCAAAGCATGTGCAAATAGGATGGCAGTGGGGATGGGCATGGGCACCACTGCTAAGACTCAGCAGTAACTGCAGTAAGTCCAAGTACTCGTGGTCATGACAAGAGTCAGAGGCCATGGCATCGTCATCGCCCAAGCCAGGCAGATAGCAGTGGGCAAAGGATGGATGGCAGGGCTTTGGCAAGTCTGCTAGAACCTCACCTGGGTGGATGTGTGGGTGAGGGCTGATAACTGGGTGGGGAGCACTGCCTTTACCTTAGAAGGAGGGAAAGTGCTGAGGTGCACATTTACAGCCACACCCCCGGTACATCTGGGTATCTCCTGGGAGCCAAAGGGGCCTGAGGGAGCCCTCACAGAGATGATGATGATACCAGATAACATTTGTAAGCCTGGGGCTGGGGTAAGGCTCAGTGGCAGGGTGCTTGCCTACCATGTACCAGGCTCCAGGTTCCATCCCCAGCACCACAAAAAAGAGAAACATGTACCTATACCGTGTGCTGGCCAAATGTCGGTGAGATGGGTTATCAGTATTCTCCAGGGGGAAACTGAGGCCCGTTGAGTGAGTGACTGCCTCCCTGAGCCTTGGTTTCCTCAAAGGGCTGGATGAGGAGAGAGCCACGGGCATGGCCCTGGGGGAGGGCAGGCCTGAGAGACCTTCCTGGGTTTGGGGATGTGAAGAAGAGGGGGAGGCTGAGCTAGTCAGGGCAGGAGGGAGGAGGAGGCCAGAACCCTCGCCCAGGGACCCTGCCAGGCCTGTAGGGCGAAACCCAAGCCCTGCTGCATAATTGATGGCTGCTGAACAGCCTGGTGGCTGTTCATCACCGCACAGCGGGGCCTCCAGGCCCTCAGACAAAGCCAACACTGATGCCAGCATGCCTGGCCCTCCCTCAGTCCTCAGTGGCTGTGTCTAGAAGGGAAACTTAGCCATACCTGCCCTAGATGTTCACAGGGTCCTGGACTTTACGCCCTGGTCCAGTATGCACACAGTGTCTGTTGTGCCTGCAGGTCTTCACACTTTTGTTGTTTGGACATGACCTTGGGCAAGCCCAGTTCCCTGGCTGGAGAAGGCCTAGGTGACCCTGTTTAGAAAGTGGGACTTTTGTTCCTGGGTCTGTCTAGATCAGAGGGCCAGGAATTGGGCCAGTTTCTGGTTGTTCTTAGGTGGCCTGCATGGCTCCTGCCAGCTCTGATAGGGACTCCTGTGACCTCCTGGGTACATCCAGCACCTGGCTCTGATGGGCTAGCAATGTTGCCTGTCCACCACACCCGACAGCCAGTGGCTTCGCATGTGGGTTTCCTTCCTCACTCCCTCCCCTCCCCCACAGAGCCCTTCCCCATGCCAGCCACCCACGGCTGGTGGTAGCACCTCACAGGGAGGTCCTCTGTGCTAGACCCCTCATCTCTCCTGTTTTCATCCTCACAGCATAGAGGGAGCTGCTCTCTTTCTTCCTTCCTTCCTTCCTTCCTTCTTTCCTTCCTAACTTCCTAACTTCCTTCTTCCCAGTTTTTATGAGACAGGGTCTTACTATGCAGCCCAGGCTGGCCTCAAACTCGTAATTCTCCTTCCTCAGCCTCCCAAGTGCTGGGATTACAAGTATGTACCGCCGTGCCTGCTCTTACTACCTGTTTTTAGCTCAGGAAACTGATGCTGAGAGAGGCACTGCCTCTCAATGCCCAAGGTCATACAGCTTGATGGGAGCAGAACTAAGACTTGAATCAGGTCCCTCTGAGTCTGGAAACTGGGATCTTCCCATGCACTCCCCCTGCCACCCCTCCCCAGCAGTTCCCAAGTGTCTGTGTAGCTCAGGTCTGTGCTCTGTGCCCTGTTTGTTTCCCTGACACTTGCCATCAAATCCTCACTCTCAGAGTCACACTCAGAAGACCCTGGGGGGCCTGGTGCCTGTGGCTCACACCTGTAATCCTAGCTACTCAGGAGGCAGAGATCAGGAAGATCAAGGTTCAGGCCAACTATGACAAATAGTTTTTAGGCCCCTATCTCGAAAATCACATCATGAAAAAAGGGCTGGCAGAGTGGCTCAAGTGGTAGAGCACCTGCCTAGCAAGTGTGAGGCCTTGAGTTCAAATTCCCAGTGCTGCAAAAAAAAAAAAAAAGACACTGGAAATGGCCTTACAAGGGTCCCTCCCCACCAGGGTAGTGTGCTGTGTTACAGAGTGTGCAAGTGTGAGGAGAGGAGCCCATGGCTGTCACTGGCCTTCTAGGAGCCTAGCCCCTCTCTTGGTCTACAAAGAGGCAATAACTTGGTGACCCTGGGGCCTCACACACACCCACACACACCCTGCCCTGCTCCACCCCTTCCTTCTGAGTCCTCCCTGCTTCTCTCCCAGTTCACGGAGGAGAAATTTGGCCAGGCTGAGAAGACCGAGCTCGACGCCCATTTTGAAAACCTCCTGGCACGGGCGGATAGCACCAAGAACTGGACAGAGAAGATCCTGAGGCAGACGGAGGTGCTGCTGCAGCCCAACCCCAGTGAGTGCCCGGGCCGCGGGGAGGGCCGAGGGTGGACCTTCCTTACATGCCCAGGGCCGAGGGCTGGTGGGCTCCAAGACGCTCTCTGAGCATTGGGAACACCAGGTTTGACACAGGAGAGGTGGAATGCAGGTGGGAGAAGAGGCTGGCAAAATAGAGGCCATCTGCTCGAGAGGTCTGTAAGGAGGCCCTGAGATGGAAATGGACTTGCCCACATCACCGTGAGCTGGGAGCAGCAAGGGTGGCTGCCAGAGAGCCGGGGAGAAGAAGGCCAGCTGAAGGCTCACAGCCTGTCACCTGTAAATCTGTGTCACCTGTCCAAGTGTCCAGACAGTTGTTTTCTTTTCTTTTCTTCTTCTTTTTTTTTTTGGTGGCACTGAGGTTTCAACTCAGGACTTCATGGTAGCCAGGTGTTCTTAGTGCCTGAGCCACTCCTGATCTCTCCCTCCTGAGTAGCTAGGATTATAGGCGTGAGCCACCAGCACCCAGCTCCAGAAAGGTTTTGGGGGCCAAGACCAAGGAGTTGTTCAAACATGTACTGTTATTCTACAAGTCACCAGTCTGGGTGTTCTTTCGGACAAGGCCCAGCCTGGGTCTGTTCTGTCACCGTGGCTTTCATCTTCGTGTTTGGCCCGGAGAGCCCTGTGGCTTTGGCTGCTGTCTCCCTACAGGTGCCCGAGTGGAAGAGTTCCTGTATGAGAAGCTGGACCGGAAGGTCCCCTCGAGGGTCACTAACGGGGAGCTGCTGGCTCAATACATGGCAGAAGCGGCCAGCGAGCTGGGGCCTGCCACTCCCTATGGTGAGCAGGCTTGTGGCTGGGAGCGGGGTCATGGTTTCTTTGAGAAGTGTGTGATGTTTTTCATCTTTTTTAAAAACTATGCAAATAATAACTGAATTTATTCTAAATGTAAAATCCTCCATGCAGAAGATAGTAGAGGAAGAGCTGGAATCTTCCCTTAATCAGTTTTGGGGCGTGCGTGTTGTTTTTGCATACTGGAGTGATGCTATACGGGCCCTCTGCCACTGGCTCCATGCCCAGCCCTGTGTGGTGGTTTTTTTTTTTTTAATTCATTTATTCACATGTGCATACATTGTTTGGGTCATTTCTCCCCTTTTCCCTGTGTGTTTTTAATGGAATCTTACTGTATTTGCCACTCTGCAGCTGGACTTTTAATATGACATCATTATTTCAGATATGTATTCTCTGTGACACTTCTAGAGTCACTTCAATCTTTCTTTTCCTCCATTTCTTAATTTCCTTTTTTTTTTTTTTTTTTTTTTTGGTTTTTTGTTTTGTGGTACAACTGGGGTTTGAACTCATGGCTCATGCTTGCTAAGCAGGAGCACTACCACTTGAGTCACTCCACCAGCTCTTAATTTCCTGAAGTATATATTACATACCATAAAATACTCCTGACTTAAATGTACTCTAGTGATTGAGCCATACCTCCAGCATGGCTCTGGGTATTTTTGGAGATGGAGTCTCAAACTCTTTGCTTGAGCTGCCCTCGAACCAAGATCCTCCTGATCTCAGCCTCCCAAACAGCTACAGGTGTGGGCCACCGGCACCTGGCTGATACATTTTTTTTAAAGACATCATAGCTGCTTAAAGTCTTTGTCTGCCGAGTCTGCTGTCTGTGCTTCCTTGGAGAAAATGTCTGTTCGTTCCCTTTTTTCCTGTGTGTGGATACACTTTCCTTATTTTCTTTATGTCTCATAAGTTTCTGACATCTGGACATTTATTTATTTATATTTATCTTTTTATTGAGCCAGGTTCTCGCTACATAGCTCAGGCTGACCTGGATCTCCCTAAGTAGCACAGGGATCCCCCACTTCAGCCTCCCACAAGCTGGGATTATAGGCCTGTACCCTACACTCAGCTAAATCTGGACATTTTATTTGTTTATTTTTATTCTTTGAAGATTTAGCAAGGATACTGAAATTGTATAACAGGATGAAGTAGAGAGATGTGGAGTAAGGAAAGAGAAAATTTCCTGCTCCCACATAGGAAACAGGAGTAAAGACTCAGAACGGTGGTGCAGAATCCGTGGTCTCACACTTTCTTGGGATGGGGGAACCCACGTCAGTCATTAGCAATGGTTCTCAGCGCTCATGGACACTTTAGATAATGTAGCAGCTCTGGATTCGGATCCACCTGGGGGTTGTTACTGCTCTGTTTATTTAGAGATTTGTCTTCGGTAATTGTTTATAGAATCTGTCCCGTTGCACGCAGCTACTTAATGTTTCTGGCTCTGCTCCTTTAGAAAATTACCTTTATTTATTTTTTTGAAATAGGTCTTACTGTGTAGCCCCAGTTGTCCTCAAACTCTTAATCCTCCTGAGTCAGCCTCCTGAGTGCTGGGATTGCAGGCGTGTACCACCATGCCTGGCTTGTTCTGTTTCTATTTTCAAGCACTCTCCTGAGGAGTGGCTCGTGGGCCAGCACATGCTAGCTGGCCAGTGTCGGTCAGAGGTTGTGCTCAACCATCTTGGGCCATTACAAGTTTAGCAATAGACGTGTGAGTTGGGAAACATATCCAAAGTTCAAGGGGTTTCCACATCTGCCCAGTTGTTTTGTTTTGTTTTTGGTGTTTGGACTCAGGGCCTCCATTTGCTAGGCAGATGCTCTACGAGCCTTCCACTCAGGTCTCACTTTGTGAGCGTGCAGGGCCTGTCCGCCTGTCCAGACAAGGATGAGCAGACAGCTGAGTTCTCGGCAGCGCTCAGCGTGTGGCAGGTGCACTCAGCCTTTTCTGGTCCCTGCGTCCCCTGGCTGGTGTGCTTATCCAGCCAGTGCTCCAGCTTCAGGTGGGCTGCCATCTTGGCCGTCCCCAACTACTTGCCATTGACATTGCTGTAGCTTCCAACAGTGTGTCCTGGTTTTTCTGTGTTTCTGCCCCAAATCAAGTCAGCCCTCCAGCAGCTGAGCTCAGGCCTCAGTAGAGAACTGAAGAGCTTAAGCAGATGGGAACATCCCCGGGCTAAAACACCACTCCTGTTCTTACTAAGGTCCAGTAGTTTGTCTTCAAAAAAATTGGTCTCAGTTTTTTCTTTTTTTTTTTTTTGCCTTTGGTCAACTTCTAGAGTCTGACAGTAGATGCTTTTGATAGTTATATCCAGTTAATCTTACTTTTGGGGAAGAGGATTTGTCAAGCTCCTTTCTCTGTCATTCTGGAAGTTTCCCCCAATTTTGGCTGTACTGAGATTTGAACTCAAACCCAGGGCCTCACACTTGCCGCTTGCTAGGCCTTGTTTGTTTTTTTTTTTTTGTGGTGTTGGGGATGAAACCCAGTGCCTTATGTGTATAAGCGCTGTACCATTGAGCCATGCTCCCCTCCTGGATGGCCTCAAACTCTTGATCTTCTTGCCTTAGCCTCCAGAGAGCTTGAATTACAAGAGGGAGCTACCACATTTGGCTTCCAGGCTCCCAAATCTTTTCAACAGTCATGGTGTTTCACCTTCATGGATCTCACTATTTGTTTGTCAGTCCCTGAATGATGGCCGTATAGGTTGCCTCCATTGGCAAGTGAGCCATTCTAGTCATGCCTGGGCAGCTTGTCTCCTCTGAGCTCTCCCTGCTGCCTAGGGGTGGGACCTACTGACTCCTTCCTCATGCTTCAACTCTGTTTCTTCAGGGAAAACACTAATCAAGGTGTCAGAAGCTGAAAAGCTCCTGGGAGCTGCAGAGCGAGATTTTATTCACACTGCATCCATCAGCTTCCTCACGCCCCTACGCAACTTCCTAGAAGGGGACTGGAAGACGATTGCGGTGAGGGCCAGGACCACTCTGCTTCCTGTAGCCACACAGCCCCTTAGAGCTCTTCCCACACCAGGGACCTGGGACCTCTGGGTCTGAGATGTTTCCTGTAGACTAAGTGAGCTGGGGTAGCCTCCCATATCTGGGCCTGTTTCCCTGTGTTGCAAAAGCCCTGTGGGGTGGGCATGGGTCTTGTCATGCCCAGGATCTCCCAGGCCTGGCTAGGGCCTCACTGTCCCCCATTGCTTACCCTGCAGAAGGAGAGGCGGCTCCTCCAGAACCGGCGTCTGGACTTGGACGCCTGCAAAGCACGACTGAAGAAGGCCAAGGCTGCTGAGGCCAAGGCCACGGTAGGTGTCCCCACCTGCTTCCTGGCCTCCAAGCTCTAGTCGGAGCCCTGGGCTGGGGGCACGCAGGGACCTGGTGTTTAGCATGACTGTCCCTCTCGCTGACTGGGGGGCATGGCTGGGGGCTGGACTAAGCCGACCATTCAGGACATATCTCTCTCCAACCCCAAGGGAGCCTTGGTGACCACGCAGACATTGGGTGGGTAGACCAGCAGTGCCCCCAGCTGGGAGCAGGACACCCCACAGCCTCCCCAGATGCCAGCTGGAGTTTCTCGCATGCCCTTATCCTGCTTCCCCAGATGCTTGGCTTTCTGTTCCCGGCTCTGCCCGGACATGGCTCCCCACTAACTCCCCCTGCCGCTTCAGTGCTGGACCAGGTGCCCTGTGCTCAAGCTTCCCAGGCTGGTGTGAGAACTTCCGAGCCTACCTGTCCAGCACAGGACTGAGAGGCCTGTGTAGCCTTGGCCAGGCTAGTGGGATACAGCATGGGCTGATTTGACTGGTCTAGGCCAGGAGTGGGAGGGCTGAATTTGAGAGCGAGCACACAATTGGCTTGCCAGGTTTACTCAGGAGCCCAGGGTCCTAATGCCCACCTCAGGCCCTAAGGAAGAAAGTCCCAGGCCTGGGACATTCTAGGGAAACCGCCCACCCTTCTCCCCAAGCTCTTAGTTAAGGCAGACCAGGGCAGCCTAGGTGAGCCCAGGTGGGCTCACAGCCATCCGTGACCCAAGCCTTCCTTGCATTCCTCTACAGTGTGGCCATGGAGCCCTGAGGCCACATCTGGGCCTGCACTGTCTCCTGCCAGATCTGTAGCAGAGTCTAAACTCATCCAGGTGTGGGTCCAAATGCAAGGGAGGGACCCAGCTACTGCAGTCTTGGAGGGGTTGGCCAGGCCAGGGCTGTTGGGTTGAGAACTTGTAAGTCACCTGGGTAGTACAGTCTCTCCCTGTCACTCAGGGCTGGATAACCTTACACCAGAACAAACTTCCTCAGTCAGCCAGGCCAGAAGGCCTTTTCCTAGTCCCTACAGGGTACGACCTCTTCTCCTCTTGGGCCCAGACAGCCTCAGGCCTGTGGGCCAGGTCAGGCAGGAGCAGTGTCCCAGGGGACTCAAACCCAGCAGCTTGCTCTGGACTCACGCTCCTCAGGACTCCTGCCAGAGGGTGGGCTGTGAGCACCCTTCCACTCTGTACCTGGTGTCCCCTCCTGCGGGCCAGGGACCCGCTCCACCTGCGCTGTGCACTCACTAACTCTCTGTTTTTGTTCCTTTCTGTTCTGCTTGGGTAACTTGGCCCAGTGTGAGGGAGATGTGAGTATACCTGTCCCACGTGCTGTGCTGCTTCTGGTCTGCCCTTCTCACCCACAGGTGCCAATGCCATAGCTGGCCCAGGGCATGTCCTTGGGTGTTTTGCAATCAGCTGGTCCCCCTCAGTGCCTCTGCCTGCCACGCGGAGTCTTTGGTTTAGGGGGTGCAGGTGTTGAAGCCTGTGAGACAGCTTCTTGCAAATGTCAAAAGCACGTCACTGTCCATCTATGCATCCATCTGTCCACCCTTGCAGGGGAGGGGCCTGGCTCTCGACGAAGTTTCCAGATGGGTGTGTGGAGATTTGGGGTTTGAGAAAGCTGTGGCAGGGTGGGCCTTGGGGAGTTGGGGGGTCTAACTGGGGCCTCTGGGTGTGCCTGGGGTCCAGGGGGAGGGGGCCCATCCTGTGGGTGAGAGCTGCAACAACAGCTGTAGGCTGCTTGTTTGCCACATGGACTCATGAGTTCCCAGCACATCCATCCACTGGGTCTTTGTGTGGACTCACCGAACCCCAAGCTCGCCTCATTTCCAACGGATTGGAATGAGCACAAGGGGACTGTGTTATTTCTGTCTATGTCCTCCTGTCCCTGTGGCCAGGGCCTCTCACATCTCCTGGTAGGAGACTCGGGGGCAGCCTCCTGGTCTCAACCCCAGCCCGGGCCCAGGGTGACCGTCTCCCCCATGAACTCTTCCCCGCCAGACGGTGCCTGACTTTCAGGAGACTAGACCTCGTAATTACATTCTCTCCGCCAGCGCCTCCGCGGTAAGCGCCCCCTCCCTGTCTGGTCTCCTCCCCCAACTGCCCCAGTGCTGGCCCTGAGTGCACAGGACCAGCAGCCAGCAGGTGAGATGGGCCCGGTGACTGGTTGCCACGGAGGCCGGGGAGGGCAGTTCTGGGTACAGGGAAGCAGCATGCCCGCCTTTGCCCATGGCCTGCCCTGCCTATGGCTATGTGGTTGGGCTGGCTCCTCCCAGCACAGTGCTGAACTATGTGATGGACTTAGGACAGCACTGTCCTGCCTCCAGGGGATGTGAAGGTGGCCTACCCACTCGCCTCCCATGAGGAGCACTGTCCCTTGGCCCCTCCTATCTGAGTGCTAGGCCCTGGGTGGGTGGAAAATAGGATGCAGCCTGGGCCCAATGCACAGTCTCCTAGACAAGCAGCTCAGCAGCCACCTTTGTGGCATACCTGCTGGGTGACCTGGGAGGCACAAGAGGGGACAGGTGGGTGGTGGGCTCCCAGCTGAGCCCAGATCCAGCATAGGGCATGTCCTGAAGACAGCTGGGCTGGAGCTGGAGGGAGTTAGGCAGGGGACCTGTCTTTGCACTTTGTTGTGAGGTCTGTTGGCCGCTTGAGTGAGCTGGTAGTATGTCCGTTCAGGGTGGGAGCTAGGCCAGCCACACCACCTCTCATACCTGTCACACTCCCAGTACACTTTCTGTTCTCTCCCACCATCCCCAAAGGGTGAGGCCTCCTACACCGCCCCTCAGCCCTCCTCTCCTGTTCCGAGCATGTTTCTGTGTGTCTCATGCTGTCCTTCTGTGGCTGGCAATTGGTCCTTGAGGTGACAAGTGTACCTTTCCTCTTGGGCTGGTTGCTGGGCCTTCCAGTACAGCATGTGAGGAGCTCCTCCCCCACCCCACCCCGGTGTGGGCCCTGTGCACCGCTGCCCCAATGGTTCTGCTTTCTTTGTATCAGGGTGTTGTCCTAGGTCAGCTTCCCATGAGTGGCTGGAGAAATGGGTCTCCTAAGTCACGGCGGGGGGAGGGGGGTCTTTCTTCTCTAGACTCTGGATGACACTTCCCGGCCCCCTCCCCGGGCCAAGTTGAAGGAGAAACATCCTGGAGGGTGGAGGCCGCCCTGTTTTTTTCTTTTGCCACTGACCCCCAGTGTGACTCAGGCCCGAGGCTGCCTTTCTCTGCTGGAGGACAGAAAGGTTCAGTGACTGGCCCAGGGTCACTCATCCTGCCTTCCAGCAGGAGTCAGGGTGGGGTGGGGACACTTGGTCTTTCAAGACCCCACTCAGAGTTGGGGGCGGATGCTATAGGAGAGACCCAAGCAGGACTTCCTGGCTGGCTGTCCCCTGCTTGCATGTGGCATGTTAGATGGGCCGTGGTTGTCACTCCCCTGCCCTCACGCCAGGCCTTATCCCACTTCAGCTCCTGGTTGGGCCAGGGTGGGTTGGGGGATAGGGTGGGCAGAGGTTGGGTCCCTGGGAGCTGGGGCAGGGCATGGGCTCAGGGGTCTGGCTGTTCCCCTCCCCTGCTGATTGGTGCCCACTGTCCCTCTCCTGTTGACCGGTGCTGTTGTGGTCTCTGCAGCTTTGGAATGATGAGGTGGACAAGGTGAGTTGGGGTCTGGGAGGATGGAGGCAAGGGCTAGAGGGGTGGAGACGGTTTCACCCATACCTGTCGCTGTGGGTCAGGTGTTCAGAGCACTGGGCTCTGCTCCACGCTTGCTGGGGCACTGGGGTTGGTGGGGAGCATTTTCCCTCTCTGGGCCTATTTCCCCTCTGTGGGAAACATTTGCTCCATAAAACCTCAGCACAAATAGGCCTGGAGATGCATCTGCTAGGTGGCTTTCCCCTGCCTGCAGCTGCCTACAAGATCCTGGGGTTTCAAGTGAGCTCTAGCTTCTCCAGGGGTCAAGGCTCCAGGTGTGAAGCTGAGATAGACCCAGATGTCTGCATCCCAGGGAGAAGTGTCTGTTCATGGAGGGCCAGCTGTGGAAGCTGCCTGGGGGTGGGAGACTAGAGCATGGGGAGGTTGGTAGGAGGGGGCAGTGTGGCTCTGTCACATCCTCACTCTGCCTGCCCCACCCCACACAGGCTGAGCAGGAGCTCCGAGTGGCCCAGACAGAGTTTGATCGGCAGGCAGAAGTGACACGTCTCCTGCTGGAGGGTATCAGCAGCACTCATGTGAGTCCTGCCCTGTGCCCACTGAGGCTCACCACTAAGAGTTTTCACCCATGCCAGAACCAGGGCAGGGGCTGGCAGTGAACCTGGGTGGGATGGAACTTTTGTTCGCTAGGACACCGCCTGTCCTGGGGCCAAAGGTTAGACAGCAGCACTGGCCTTTTCCCCCAGGTGAACCACCTTCGCTGCCTCCATGAGTTCGTCAAATCTCAGACAATTTACTATGCACAGGGCTACCGTCACATGCTGGACTTGCAGAAGCAGCTGGGCAGGTGTGCTTGGGCCCTGAGTCCCTGGGGTTCCCCAACTCCCAGACCCAATAAATGGCCTGGCTGCTCCAGCTAGGAGCCTTCTGTGAGCCACCACACGGCTGGCTTGAAGGGTTCGGCAGGAACTCTGCCTGGGCACACTGTGTGGTGGACCCCAGGTGGCTGTCCTCAGTGGCTATTCGGTCTCCTGGTCTACAGTTTCCAGAGAAAGCCTGGGTGGGGAGGATGGCAAGGACAAGGGGACGGAATCACCTCATCTTCCTTGCTTTGCTTTTCCCTTTGTGCTGCCAGCTCCCAGGGTGCCATGTGAGTAGCTGGGGACAGGGCCTCCTTCCTGGGACTAGGGAGAGGCCGTGGCCTATGGGGCGTCTGGTGGGGCACATGGGGACTGGCTGCGGCTGCTAACAACATTCTCTCTTCCAGATTTCCTGGCACCTTTGTGGGCACAACAGAGCCTGCCTCCCCACCCCTCAGCAGCACCTCGCCCACCACTGCCGCAGCCACCATGCCTGTGGTACCCACAGTGGCTGGCTTGTCTCCTCCTGGAGAAGCTGCACTCTGCCTGGAGGAAGTGGCACCCCCTGCCAGTGGGACCCGCAAGGCCCGGGTGCTCTATGACTATGAGGCAGCCGACAGCAGTGAGCTGGCCCTGCTGGCTGACGAGGTGGGCCTGCGCAAACAGGCTAGGGCTGGAATAGGAGCTCCTGGGAGTATTGAGTCTACAGACCTGAGGTCACTGTCTTAGAGTCTCCTAGGGACCCTGGGGCAGAGCAGGTCTGGGGGTAAGAAATGGCCCTTACCTGGTGTCTGAATAGCACCATGAGGAGATGGGACACCTGCCACTGAAGTGTAGATGCCCTGGCCACAGGGAGATGGCACCTTTGTTGCTCCCCTAGTCCTGCTGCCAGTTTTGCCCCCATCCAGGGCATGACCTTTTTTCTGTTGTTCTTGTAGCTCATCACCGTCTACAGCCTGCCTGGCATGGACCCTGACTGGCTTATTGGCGAGAGAGGCAACAAGAAGGGCAAGGTCCCTGTTACCTACTTGGAACTGCTCAGCTAAGCAGGCCCCTCCCAGGCTCTGCCCTGCCACTTGTCTGTTGGTGACAGCTACTCAGGGTGGGGAGACTAACCCCATTCTGCCCATGCCCCCTCATCCAGCTGTGAGACGGGCTGAACGGCCCGCCCCTCTCAGCCCTGCTTCTGACCTGTGGTTCTGGAGCCCTGGCCCTGCCTGCACACGCTGCACATCCCAATCCTTCCAGCTCCCCTAAGGAGGGCCACTGGGCTCGGCATTGCAGTAGGCCCAGGACCTGCTGGGAGCACCCCTGCATTGAAGAAAGCACGTGCCTTTTAGTTGCCAAAGGCCAGGAGGGGACAGTAGCAAGGAGGCAGGCAGATCTCTGGCAGCCCGGGGCCTCAGTACTGCCCTGGGAGGGGAGAGGTCAGCAGGAGATAAACCAGCCCAGAGCAGCACTGTCTGGTGCTACCCTCTCCCCTTCTCCCTCACAGCTCAAGCTAAGGCCGTGGCTCTAGCCTTCCCCTCCCACACTTTTTAACTGGTATTTTTACTTCTGCCTGTCTGCTTGCTCTCTAGCCAAAGGTGAATAAACCCTACTTTGTGTGCAAGTTGCCTGGGCTCCCATCAGGGTCTTTTGAGTGCACAGGCTAGCCCTGAGGTTGCGGGGTCCAGATTTTCATCTTCTTTGGGTGGGGGTGGTGGATTGCACCCAGAGCATAGGGCAAAAGGTAAGTTTTTCAAAGCTTCCTGGTCACACCAGGGCTCAGCCTCTCCTGGCAGCACAGTTCCCACTGTGAAGCTGTAAAATAAAAACACTTTGTTTCTAAGAAAAACTTCCCTAAATTTGGACTGTAGAGTGGACTATAAGTGGCTTGCCTGCCAGCTGAAACTCAACTAGCTGGCAGCCTTCTGTCGGCCCAGCCTGGAGCCTAGCTTGTGCCCACAGGTCCTCACAGCAAATTCAGTGTCCACACTATAATGAGGGAAGAATGATCAGAGATGGTCACCATCTTGAGGTGCTACAGCTGGCAGGTGAGCAGGCCCAGGGACCAAACCCTGGTCAGCCTGACTTGGGACCTCAAGTGTGGTCATATCTTAGATGGGCCCAGCATTCTGCACTGTGGCTTCTGTAAGTGGGAGAAGGGGTCTGAGCTATAAATAGAAGTAGAGCTCCAGAAAGGCTGCACCTGGAGATAAAACACAGCCAGCTGGGCAAGCTAAAGAAAGGAGTGTCTGACACCAGGCACCCAGGACTTAGAGAAGGAATGCTGGTGAGTTAGCCATCGATACATATCCTGCCTTCCCCTGGCCACCACCATGCTTACTGGGCCCTAAGCTGACGCCACCTGTCCAAAGTTCTGAGGGAGCTGGCATGTCTACCCCTTGCTTTGAAGGCACACCTCACTCCATCATCTATAAACAGTACTTTAATATTTGTATAAATAGACCACAGTATTAGCAAAAACTGTAAGAACAGACCGTGGAAACCCTCACACCGCACCCAGCTTCTCCTATGCTGCTGGGAGGCTCCAGTGCCTCCCTGGCTGGCCACGTGCTGTGGGGAATGCTTGAAGGAAGGAGCCACCTTGGGGATGTTTTGACCTTGAGCGCCTGAGCGCACAAACCCCTAGCTCCCCACCCCTGTTGACCACTTGATCTAGTACAAAAATAATGTCAGCGGGAAGGTGGTTGGAGTCGTGGCTACTTGGGAGAGGGTGATGGGAGCTGCTCTCAGTGGCTGGCACCCGTTGCAGGAGTACCCTCTGCCCAGAACTGCTGTGCGGGCTGGTGGGAGTGGCAAGCAAACAGCATGCCACGGTCCTATCTCTGCACATGCCGGACGAAAGCCTGCACCAGCTGGATCAGAGGCTCCTGACTCTCGGGACTGGCTTTGGAGACAGAGGTGGCCTTTCCCTGGGGTGAAGGCAGGATGCCAGCAGCAGGGGAGCTGGGGGCTCCCCGGCGGAAGTAGCGTGAGAGGCTGGAAAGCAGTGTGCTCTAGAAGGAAAAGGGCAGTTTGGTGAAGCCAAGCAGCCCCCAGGCCACTGTTCCCAAGCCCCAGGGACTGGCCAGACAGTACCCCATGAAGCTCTTTCCCTGTGCCCCAGCTCTCCATCCAGAGCCCCTCTCTATCCCTCCATACCAGCTCTGAGCTGAGCTCCTGCTTCATCCTCTGTTTGTCCCGGGGGTGCACAGCTGGGTCCCTAAGGTACCGCATTGCCTGGGAGATGAGCAGGTAGAAGCAGTTTTCCATGGTGAACATCAGGAGGGACCTGAGAGAAGGCAAGGTTGCCACTGCTGCAAAGGGCTGCCTGGCAGCTGCAGATGAGCCACTTAGCCCACAGATTAACAGCCCTCAAGTGACCATGCCCAGGGACTGTAAGGTCTTACTTTAATGTTCTGGTCCCTTCTGCCTGTGTGCTGAGCCCCACAGCCTGGGTGAGGGGCTCCTTTTTCTTGTCCAGCTGGAGAAAGAGAAGCAGTTCAAAAATCAGACATGGAAAGCTCCCAGTTACTGAGACTTCCTACTTGGCAGGTCCTATACTATGTAATTTTTTCATCAGTTACCTCAGTGAGTCCTCCCATTAGATCTTAGTGTACTTTTTTTTTCCTTTGCGTTACTAGGATTTGAACTCAGGGCCTACACCTTGAGCCACTCCAACAGCCCTTTCAAGCAATGGGGTTTTTTGAGATAGTCTTCTGAATTATTTGCCCCAGGCTGGCTTCAACCCGAGATTCTCCTGATCTTTGCCTCCTGAGTAGCTAGGATTACAGACATTAAGAGGTGTCACAGGGTCATAGCGCTCAAGTGGTAGGGCGCCTCCCTAGTAAGCACAAAGTTCTGAGTTCAAGCCCCAGTGCCATTACTAGGGAGGGTGAATAATATGCCCCATTTCACTGGGACGTGGCAGACAGTGGAGAGTTGGGTGGAGGGGCCAACAGAACCTGACTTACCTCTCCAAGCATGTTGAGGGCCACATTCACTGTTGCCAGGAGCGTCCCGAAGGAGGGGGCCACTTCAGAGTCAAAGGTGGGAGTGGTAAAACTCAGAGCAAACAGGAAATTGTATTCAGCAAGATCTAGGGACTGCAAAGCAAAGAAAACTGCTCTGGAACCTAAGACCCAGAGCAGCACAGAGCAGATTGAAGGCTGGCTGCTGGGCCTGGTGGTGCGTGAGGTGGTGGCAAGTACCTGATCCAGCAGGATCTGGCAGACATCTGGGGTGAAGTGGCGCAGGGCTGCCAGGGTTCTGCTGAGGATCTTAAGAAGGCCATACTGGACCATGTGCAATGCTCGCTGTTCTGACGCCTCGGTATTAGCAGTGGGCTGCTTCGAGGAGCAGCTGGAGAGGGCAGCAGGAACTGCAGTGGTGAGTGGCCGCTGAACGCGGGGGGTGACAGCTGAGGGGAGGCCATCCCCATTTTTGTTCTGAGGAAAGTCAAGAAATGAAGGAGAAGCCCAAGGAGGCAAGGGAAGACATGCCAGGCTGTGGTGGGGTCAGGGACTGGTTACCTGCAGGTAGTGCTGCAGCATCTTGCGGCTGTGCAGGAGTGAGGTGCAGGCCTGGCACAGGTAACCCAGGTTCACCTGGGACACGGGAAGGTTTTGGTGACAGTCCCCACCACCCACCTAGGCCAAACAAACAGGCCTGTCCATCCCAGTGCACCACTCTTCTCACCTACGGACACTAATCTAATGTCCGGTCATCCACCAAATGTGCTGGGCTGCAGGCTCTGTGCTAGCAAGGGCCCAGACCTGGACTGTTACCCTGGGACTAGCTACATGCCTGCACATTACAAGGTCTCAGTAACTAAAGAACATGGGATTACTATTCATATGTCACAGAAGAGCAGAGGTGAAATGACCTGGCCAAACTGACAAAAGCAGCACCTGCCTGCCTGCCTCCAGACCCTGTTTTCTCCCTGGTTCTTCCAGCTTAGGTCTGCTCCTGAAGGGTCTGAACCCAGGTCTACCTCATAGAGCCCATTTCCATCCTACTCTGCCATACATCACTGCGGAGGAAAGAATTCAGCAGTCTGAGCCAAACCCTGTAACCCTCAAGCAAGAAGCCCACACTGAACAGCGTGTACTTTCCTAGAGATGCCCCCACAGTCCCCGCAGCCTCCTTGCCCCTGGCATCTCACCAGACCCTCCAGGAAGCTGTGCCCTGAAGCCCCACCTGGACATCACGCATGAGCTGAGGCAAGTGGAAGTGCCATTCCTTCCTGAAGTGAGACAGCTGCAGAATGAGGCCCACAGTGTGATCTGCCTCCTCCAGGCACGCCAGACTTTGCACCGTCCTCACTGCATTGAGGCACTGGGAGGACAGAGGACAGCAGAGGAGGACAGGATAACTCAGGGACCTGATACACCATGCCTGCCTGCCTACCTATGGAGGGTAGAGCCTGGGCCCGGTCACGCTGAAGTGACAGTGCCAACAGTGTCCCGCTACTCAGGACAGGCTTCTGTCTGAGCAAGCCCACGCCCATTCCCCCCAGTCACAGCTCTGGCCCACATGGGTAGGGACCCCACTTCTGAGGGGCCAGCAGACCCTCACCTGCAAGGCCCGCTCTTGGTGGACACCCATGAAATCCAGGGCCTCAGTCAGGAAGTTGTAGCGCAGAGTCTTGAGCAGCCGCTCCATCAGGGACATGGACAGACGGTAGACCCCTGGCCAGGATGGGGCATCCAGGGCCTTCCGAGAGGTGCTGGGTGCCTAAGACAAATGGCAGCCCAGCTTAGGACATGGTGCCAGGAGAACCCGCTGATAGGGCAGCAGGGCCTCCTTGTAGCCCAGCTGCTGGGAGGAAAAAAAAAAATCATCTTGGAGCAGATACAGCCACCACTGGCACCAGCAGGGCCAGAAGGGGTCAAGGGCAATGGACATGGACAGGTACAGAATCCCAGGCTCTAGAATTTTATCTGCCACTAACCAGTTGTGTCAACTTGACACGTCCCTGCTCTGGCCCTCACGTGCTCCCTCCAAAGGGCAGCTGAAATAGACAACGAACATATAATACAAGCAGGAAGGAGGGAGGGAGAAGTTTGGTGGAGACTACTCTTGAGACTAGAAGGCATATACCAAACCAGAGGTAAATGAGGCACCCAGAGGTCTGAGGGGCCAGGAAAAGACAGTTGCTGAGTGGTGGAGGCACAGCCCTAGGGACCTGTTCTTAGCCCAGTTAGGAAACAGTAAGTTCATCCCATCTCCCAAAGTTGGTGTACAGGAAGCAAGGACCAGGTGGTACCTATTTTTCTCGTCTTTTTTTGGTGCTACAGATTACGCCCAGGGCCTGGCTCTCTGCTAATCACTCAGGGCCTTTTAGTGGCTGAACTTCTCTTGCTAGCAATTTGGCAAAGGCAGGAAAGACTGATATACTGTACAAGCCAGGAGAGGAGAGCAGCATCAGGGTCACACAAAGCAGTGATGGGGGAACCTTTCACACTGGGAACTACAGATGGCCAGGTCAGGCTCCTGGCAAGCTCCTGGTACTCACCTGCCCTGTGCCATTGCTGCTGAGCTGGTACACACTCAGGAGGGGCAAACAAATGCTCTGGGTGATGCCGGCTCCAGCCACTGCCGTGGCTCCCTAAGCAGAAAG